TCTTAGTACTATTAATACTAGCTCAAAATATACTATCTCTAGTTACTATCTAATATACTCTTAGAAAGCTCTCTTATAAAGAGTAATTATTTCTAAATTTCTACTATATCTAGTTCTCTATAATAAAATAGTAGAACTAGACTACTATTCTATTAACTTATCTTATTACTTATTCTAAATAGTCAAGAACCTCTACTTAATTTAAATACCTCTCTTTCTTTAAGAGTTCTTTTACTTTATTAATAAGAGTTTTAATATTACCTAATTTTAACTAAATATCTAATATCTAGAATATTACTCTCTTATTAATTAATACTTCTATACTCTCTTCTAAGTTCTCTATTTTCTTTAGAGATTAATAGTATAGCTAGTAGATTATAATTATATATTTAAAATATATTCTCTAGTAGCAGTCAAGAAAGAAGAAAAGTAAACTTAGAGCTTATATATTTAGCCTACTAGCTAATTAGCTTCTAGCTTCTTAGTAGGCCCGCCCTTACTAGTACTACTTACTAAATTTAAGTAAGTTTTAATATTAGAAGCTATTTAAAGGTAAAGCTATTAGCTAGTTACTTTTACTAAGTATAAATTACTTTATATAGCCTAATTTAATCTTTCTACTTTTAATCTATTTCTAGCTCTCTTAGTAAGCTTATACTAATCTCTAGAAACTCTTCTTTTACTTTCTAGCTAATCTAGTAATAGCTCTACCTTACTATTATTCTATATAGATAATCTACTATATATTATAGATTACTCTCGCTATTATATCTTCTAAGTTTACTTCTATAAAGACGTTTAACTTTAAACTAGAAATAATAAATATTATTAATCTAATCTATAGCTTAGTAGTACTAATTATAGAGACCTAGTAATTATATAGTTAGAATACTAGTCTAGAGTATAGTAGACTACTATATTATAAAAATAGAGATAGTCTTCTTTAAGTTAGGCCTTTAGAATAACTATAAGCTTAAAAATAACTTTATCTACTTAGACTATTTCTAGAATAAACTTAATAGTAAAGTTCTTAAGTTATAAAGAGAAGTAATATATAACAATCTAGAGAAGTAAAAGAGTTTTAAGTTATCTTTAATATTATAAATTTATATCTACTTAAACTATTAAGAGTAGAAGAGATATCTACTCTAGAAAGAATAACTATATCTAGAGTTAAAGAGAACTAAGAATACTACTTCTCTACTTAGACTCTAGGGCTTTTTATAACACTCTATTAATAATAGACTAAAGGTTATCTATATAAAAGCTATTTCTAATATTCTTATTATCTTGTCTAATAAGAAAGAGAATAGTACTCTAAAGATAAAGTATCTAAAGACTACTTCTATTACTCTATCTTTCTCTAAACTACTCTTATAGCCCTCTTCTTTATAGTTAGACTCTAGAAATCTATTCTAAGATAATAACCTAGTAGTCTACCTAATTTCTAAGTCTAAGTCTAAGTCTCTAGATCTTACTCTCTATAAGTACTTAAGTACTTATACTAATACTCTACTAAGTAAGTACGAGTTTTTATCTATACTAGTAAAGACTCTCTATAATATCTAGTATAGCTAGAAGTAAGATAAGGCTTAGTTAAACTTTCTTATATATATTAAAGAGTACTTTAACTAGTTTAAGCTTCTTACTACTAATAAATCTAAATTATTTAATCTCTTTATTAAAAACTTATCTAATAAGAGTATTTATATAGAGATATCTCTTTACTTTCTTAGAGAGATTAGTACTATTAATAATACTCTTACTAAATATAAATAAATATATAGTAGTAATATTTCTAATATATCTAATTATTAAAGGTTAAATTTGGGATAAAGCGTAATAAAGACTAGATAACTTAATAATATATAAAAAGTATATATTTTACTTAAAGAACTTAAAACTATAGAGGGGATTTCTAACTATATATAAACTTTAGAATGAGTTATTAGTAAGCTTTAAAGCTAAACTATTAACCTATAGTATAATTGCCGATATCTTAAGGGATTTAATTAACCTATAGTATAACTACTAATATCTTTAGATATCTAACTAGCCTATAGTATAAGTGCCGATATCTATACTATATAAAGCAGCCTATTAGATTAAATAGCGCTATATACACCTATATACCGGCTAAATTACTAAGGCTTACTATATTATTATTCTTATCTTTAACGAATAGAAATAATAAGAATACGTAGACTTAGTTTAAACTATAGTACTACTAAGCCTTAACCTAATTAAGTATAGAAAGAGAACAATATAAGTATTTATTACTATATATTATATATAAAACTAACACTAATCTACTAAGTACTAAGTATTTATCTAGAGTATCTATAATATAGAGAAATTAAAGTATAAGCTATTTAAAAAGATTATCTAGTTTTTTAATAACTAGTAATACTACTTTAATAAGAACTTTATATATAAGACTAAAGAATTTAGTATCTCTTTATTTAATAAGAGAGCTTTTTAGATATCTAAGAAAGAAGTTTCTTAAGAGATACTTACTTTTACTAATATAAGTACTAAGAATAGTAAAAATAGTAGTATTAGTAGTAAGAGACCTAAATATAATTCTTATAATATAACTAGTACTACTAAGAGTAATTATAGAGAAAAAGGTAGAGAAAAAAGAAAGTAGAACTAAAGAGTATCTACTTACTTTAGTAATATATTTTTCTTCTCTTTTATTAATAGTCTAGACTAAATACTAGTATAGTAGTATTATAGAATTTTTCTCTCTTTTACTTTTATTTTAAATAATCTAGAATAGATAACTCTTAGTAGTAGAGCGATACTAGATAGTTATAATTATAGTTTTTAGACTTCTAATTTAACTTACTTAAGTTATTAGTTTTTCTTTTTTCTCTTCTCTTTTCTTCTCTTCTCTTTCTTTTCTTTTCTTCTCTTCTTTCTTTTCTTTTTCTTTCTTCTTTCTCTTAGCTATCCTCATGTAATCGTACATTTCGAGATTAGTTGCGGCGGTTGCGCCAAACGTATCATATGCTACGCCATGAGGTGAGATCTCGATTGATTGGGTTGTTTACCCTCTATCCGTTGTCAGGGATTGCCTTCGTCGCTATTGCGATGGGTTTGTAACTTGGACGAACAATTTCGCGCTGCCAGTTGCAACTCGGTAGCCCAACTTCACAGGCGTATGAACAATCTCCACGAACCTAACCATTTGCTATTAATTGCTTCAAGCGTGTTGTCCAGTAGTACTAGAAGTCGATTCCGATTCAGTGACGATGGCCCCTTTCTCGCTTAGTATCAACAACTTCGAGGAACGTGGATAATAGAACATCACCATCAGCATAGCCAATTTGGAAAGTTCGTATGGCCCTTACAAACATATTCCACCTGGAAATTGCAAAATCCACCTCACTGGACGGCCGTAATTTGGTTCGTACTAACTATCGTGCTCGTGGTTCTCGCTTAAGGGTACAAGTAGACGCAGTTTTCGCCACAATCTAAGCCATGTTCTAGGGACTTAGCATCCGGTCCAACCGCACAAATGGCATACGCTGCAGGTACCGTCGATCTTCCGGAGAATCATTTATCAGATCTGGAAGGTCTCTTCATGGAGCAACCGACCGCCTGGCCTCGCGGAGGACAAAATGGGTGGCAGTCGAATCAGAATAGTTCTTGACTAAGTTGACGAAATATAGTAATTTAGTGGATCAACTTAGAACATTATCACTATTTCGTCAATTATTTTAAGTAAATGAGATTTTAAGCTCCCGACGTCCATTCGAAGTCGACTTATTATTCAGTCTAAGATTAGTGGGTAGGTAAGTGCCACTCATTTTGTCCACCGCGAGCTGGCGTCGCACAGCGAAGTCAACCTCTTCCATACCCTGGTCTGGTTGAGGATGAAAAATTACAACATTGGCAAATTGCCACCAAGTTTCTTCAGACTTAGTTCATCAATGGGTGAATTCCACCGCGGATGATCTGTCCAGGATCATGTATTTCAACGTCCAACGGTAATAATACGGTGTGATGTTGACAATATCTGCCTTCATGTCTTTGGTATATTTTTTGTCTACATTAATCCTTGCTTTATTCTTGGATTAAACCGCAGTCTCTATGGCAACATCTGGTTTGCGAGGGAAAACAAACAGTGCGAAGGGCTGCCCATGATAAAAGTGGTTCATTCTCGATCGGATGAGGGGGAAGCCCATAAAGGTGTCTAATTTAGTCGAGGACTGCTGTTTAGTGACAACTTTAAGCATGGTTTGAAACGAAATCGGAATTAGTGCTTTGCTTCGTCTCTTGATTTGCTTGAGCTCCTTGAACGAGATCAGCGATCCCGCTATCATTACGGGGCCCCCGCTAGACAACTGTTAGCAGCGGAACTACCGACACCTCGCCATCTTTCAAACCCCGCTGGAAAGCGAGTTGACAGTGTTTTTCCATTAAACAAAGGTCTAACCAGACCAGAATACACGATCCTAAGGGTCGCTAGATAGCTGTAAGGTTTATCCTATTGTAGATGAAAGGAAATGTGATCTGCATTGTGTGATCACATTGCATCGTCACAAGTAGCGGAATAAGCTACAAAAACCAATGCGAAATCTTAACTAGCTGAGAGCATTCTCCGTTGTTAAATAACGGGCATGTTCATTATGCCTCAAGACTCGGGTACCTGAATAGTCGAGCCAGCCTATGACGATCCCCAAGAGTTTTAACTCAGGAGAAGCAGGTTATTGGACACGAGATTAGTTCATGTCCTAAATTAGCGTTACCCCATTGTTCTTCGTGTTTAAGCTTCATCTATTCTTAAATTTTCACTGGCGGACAACTTGGCAATCAACTAGTAAAGTCAAGCAAGTTATCCCCCTGTGTTGCCCTGCATATAAGAATGGGAACGTACGCTCTCCTTTTGCTCAACCAAACCAACCAACACACAACAACACTCGTTTCAGTACTCCACAGTCACTCGCTCAAGACTCCTATAATCCTTTAAAATCAATACTAGCAATCTCAGAATGCAATACTCACTCATCTTCGCTGCCGCGTTAGCCGGTTCAGTTGCTGCCACACCAGCTTTCCAAAAGAGGACCTCCGATTCATGTGTCGACAAATGCAATTCCGCATATGATGTGTGCCGAACAGCACCAGACGCAAATCGCGCTGCTTGTGCTTCCGAGTACTCTGGATGCCTTGGATATCTGTAAGCTTTCACCTATACACAACAGGCGATGCTTTCCATCAATGGTCTGAGAGCTAATTGCTTCTTGTTATTTAGTCCATTTGCATCAAACGGTACTTTGATCACCCCAACTGCTTGCTCCAGCAGCTCAGCCAGCGCTACCACTTCTGCAATGGCCACCTCTACTTACTCTCCTTGCGACCAAGTTTACTATGACTGTGTCGCAGCCAACAACAAAGGAGCAGCTGGCAGCCCAAACTTCGCTGTCTGCGCTGCTAGCAGTGCTGCATGCGTTGCAACCGCTGGCCCAACCGGCGGTCCAACTGCAGTCGCACCAGTCTATACCACCAAGGTTGTCACCTCGTTCACAACCTACTGCCCGGCCCCAACAACCTTGACCTACAACAGCAAAACCTACACTGTCACCTCCGCCACAACTCTCACGATCACTGACTGCCCATGCACAATCACCACCCCAGTCGCAGCTCCATTCCCAACTGAACCTGCTTCAAACGGAAGTAACGGTCCGTCCAACGGTGTTGTCCCAACGCTCGCAGCCGGTAGCAACGACACCATGATAACCTCGACTATTCTTGCTACTTCCACTTCCACTATCCTCTCTTGCGCACCAACTGTGACCAACTGCCCTGTTGGTTCCGTCACTGATGTCGTGTATACCACCACCACTATTTGCCCGGCAACCGCTGTGTACCCACCGGCTCCTCCAGCCACTAGCGCTCCAGCTCCTTCCAACGGTCTTGTTGTCCCACCACCAGCTGGCGGTAACAGCGCTGTTCCAACAAACGCAGGAACAGCCACCCAAGGAGAAGCTGGAGGAAACGGCGCCGCGACTGGTACCGGGATTGCTGTTGTCCCGGCTACTGGAACCAACCCAGCCGTCTACACTGGTGCTGCCCAGGCTGTCAAGCCAGCCATGGCTATGCTTGCTCTCGGTGCTGTCGCCTTCTTGTAAATCATAGAAGCAATTTCTCGGGGGATGATCAAGGATTGAAGAACAGGAGACGGTTTCTGTATATAAAAATACTTTGGTCTGGCCTGATAATGGCGCAAAGTGTACTGGTAGATAGCATATGATGCTGAATCAAGTCAGCATCTTCACAGAATGCATACATAATAATAATAATACAAAGTTCTTAAGACCTACAAATTGATTGGACTGCTGCTAAAGCGATTCAGCTGTGAAGTGATGATGTTTTTACATTCTGAGGTGAGTTTTCGTGGCATTGGATTTAATTCCGCAAACTCCATAAGTTACTCTATTATAGTAGTCATTAATTGGACACTCTGAATTAACACCGCCAGGATCGGCTTGTCCTTGCTAGCACTCATTGCCTGTGATCCTGTCTGCAGTGGCTCGCGGAGGACAAAATAAGTGGCAGTCCCTAACCACAAATCTTTAACTTAGTAACAAGTCTACTTCGAGTAGAGCTTAAAAAGTCTCATTTACTCGAAATAATTGGCGAAATAGTCGTAGTGTTCCGAGTTAATACACAAAATTACGATATTTCGTCAATTTAGTCGAAGAACTGTTTTAGTTTGACTGCTACTTATTTTGTCCTCCGCGAGAGTGGTTAATGACTCGAGCTCGTAGTCTTGACTCTAACGCCACGATCTTTCTGGCTGTCAACATCTTTTCGACTCTACTCTGGACCGGCATACATTATACGATACTTGAAAGAATTTAGACGAAAGCTGATATAGTTTTCGATTGCTCACCTCCAAAGTGGTCATTAATGCACGAAGACAAGATAATTAATTGCCTCAGCTCGTATCCTCGATCACGCTGAGTTATGGGGAGCGAACAGCTCAGGGATAAGGAAACCCGAAAAGAAATTTGTACAATATTGCTCCAACTGGTAGAATAGAAATTTGCTTGATTTCACTCCATGTATGACTAAAAGTGTTATAGAACAGCCTGATCGAAAAAAGAGCTTGGACAAGTTTATTTAACCCAGTCGAAGAACTAGCTGTATTATAGGCTACAGCTTCAATGAGGCTTAATGGAATACGCTGAGTGGCTATTGAAGCTCCTGCTCTTGGATTGACATGACAAAGAAATCTAATGAATTTTTTGGATAATGTGCACCAGGAATGCCAAGATGGTGATGTAGTGCAACATATCAAGGAAGTCAATGGGAGCCAGGAAGTTTTCACTTCCTTGCAGCCTTCACGCTATCCAGCAAGGCTTGTGGAGGTGACTGGCGATATCCTTGAGGATTATTGCTCACCCATCTCCACAAATCTTCACACGCATCCTCAAGGGTCAGCTCAGTCTTCCAATTCAACTCTTCGTTCGCCCGTGATGGGTTCGCAGTGAGGTCCAAAACATCTCCATCACGGCGACCCACAACATCATACTTCAGGGGATGACCGACGACCGTTTCAAAAGCGTTAATCATCTCGAAGACAGTACAGCCGCGTCCAGAACCCAAATTCCATGCTCGGACGCCGGGGTTCTTTTCACGAAGATGGTTGAGAGCAGCGAGGTGTCCTTTTGCAAGATCGACGACATGTATATAATCCCGAATGGCGGTGCCATCTCTTGATGGATAGTCTGGAAATATTGATTAGTGCCGGACACGGATGAGAGAGTGGAGCTCCCTGCGAACCTTTGCCAAAAACCAAAAGTTTCTCGCGCTGACCAGTCGCAACCTGGCCGAGTAGAGGCAAAAGATTGAAAGGCACGCCCAATGGATCCTCTCCCATGATTCCACTAGGATGAGACCCAGCTGGGTTGAAATACCTCAACAGCGCTCCATTCCAATGTTCGTATGGTTTTCCTGCTTTTTTCAAATTGTTTCGCTGAGCATTGATGTGATCAGTAATCACCAACTCAATTGTGCTCTTCGTCCGTCCGTAAGGGTTGGTTGGGCCAATGGGGCAGTGTTCTGGGATAGGAATCATGCCTTCGTGCTGGCTTGCATCCCCGTAGACCGTCGCAGACGAACTGAAAACGATGTTTGGTGTGTTGTATTTGGTCATGCATCGTAGAAGCGTGATCGTTCCTCCAACATTAACTCGATAGTATTCAAGAGGAATTTCGGAAGATTCTCCCACGGCCTTAACTCTGCTTAGTGTGGTTGTGCCAGAAGGCTATACAGAGGCAGAAGCTACCTTCAATGCAGCGAAATGTATCACACTGTCAATCTTAGGATGAGCAGCAAATACTTTGTCTAACGCTTCCTCGTCCGTGATGTCTGCTTTGTGGAAGGTTGGTCGCTTGCCGCAAAGAAGTTCGATTCTCTTGCGGCGCAGGATTAGCCCTCTTCGGTTCCTGAAAGTTCAGTACTTACATCGAGAGAAATTTCACTCGCGTTATACAATGAATCGACAACAATAACCTCATAGCCGTGTTCCAGAAGCGCAAGACTCGTGAACGAACCGATGTAGCCTTGACGCACCACTCAGCCCAATTCTCGCAATGATTCCCGCTCATACGAGATGGTGTGAAGGGGATTTACCTGCTCCGCCGGTAATAAGCACGGTGCCAACGGGCGCCATTTTGAGGTCGAATCGATGAGGATGTCTTGTATAACGGAATGGTAGGTTGGTAGATTGTTTGGTCGTTTACCGTTCTGTGGAGAATATTTGATTGCGAAATTGGAAGTTCAGGAGATGGATCATGCCCATGTTCTTGGTAGTGGGGGTGGCTCGAGCAGAATGACCCCGCCATGGGTTCTACCTGAGCTCGAGCTGAGGTAGGTACGGAGTCACGTGAGAGCCTCGCATCGAAGCTTGGTAACGCAAGTACATGGCCACCTAATGCGCATTAGGTAGGTAGTGAGGTATGCAAAGTAAAAACTTAAATTATGAAGCAGTCATTGTAACCAGGACTCCTCGACTGGCAGTTTTCCATAATATAATTTGCCAATCAACCTCAGTGCTCAGGTGCACACCTGGGCACCCAAATAGCGGGCCCGGCCCGGTTTCGGGGGAATCAAGGGTATCACCAGCCACATGTTGCACAAACAGGCTGCCCGTGCCGCCCCAAGCTTTCCAGTTTCACCGGACGCGTTGTCAACCGAATGCGTCGATAGCGAATTTGCATTTGGACATTTGGACAAAGCTTGACTTCCGCAAACAATGAACCTACAATCTGACCGCTATCGCTTTCGTAGTCTCTTTGTCAGTTCATTGGGCCGACTGCTTCCGTCAGACACTGCTCTTGTCGCATAATGCCCGCTGAAGTCCTGCTCTTTGTCGCAAACTTCAAGCGACTCGAGACTGTCAAATACAACTTGCGCGCCGAACTAAAGCAATCGACACAACACTTTGCAAGAAACGCCGGTGGTAACAACCTGCGCAAGAACTACTGTTGCGTTCGACACGACGCGTAACATTGCACTTCCATTGTTGCGGATCGTCAACAGGACCTTGAAGAACCGATTCTACAGCCCAAAGAAGAGGGGATAGCTTCATCGTCACGACAGTGAGTACTGACACGGCCATTTTTCTGCATACCCACAAGTCGCGCGTGTTCACCCCGAAGAAACTCTCCAATTCACTTGCTGACCGGTCTCTGATCAGATATTCGCTGTTGCAATTGCAGTTCGAGACAACATCACACCTTTTGCGACTGTAGCTTGCTTCGCAAATACACAACATAATCCGTCGAGCCACATATATCGAGTCAACCTCCTCGGCACAATGTCTGTTCGACGAACAACCCGTGCGTCTAGTCGGCAAAGTAGTCGTGGTGTCTCGCCGGCTTTTACAGAGTCTTCTGCACTTCCTGTAACAACATCAAGAAGAGCTGGACCAGATTCGCTACCTGCAGTAAATCTTCGGTCGAGTACAGCCTATGGCAAGGATCCTTTGTTTCTGGCAACGACGAGAGCTGGCCGGCATACTGGACAAGTTATCGAGAGCGTTCTCGGGGATCTTTTGGAACCCGTGCGAGAAGACGCTACGAATGCAAGCCAAGCTGCCCGCGGTTAGTAACGCGTCACATTTTTCTTGAGTTTAACTGATCTTCTTCGAAGCTGCTCGAAACTCTCCAGCTGTTCGTTCCACTACCGGTCGCCCCCGAGGGCGACCTTCGAAGCAACCCGCCCAGTCAAGTGTTGATCCCGATCGTACTTTTGGTGAAGAGAGCAACCTCTTTGGCGCAGCTGGGTTTGACACTTCTTCGGTAAATCAATCTAGCGACCAAGAAGATTACGACGATCTCGCCAATGAAAGAAAGCCCCTTTCGAATGTGTATAAGCCGCTGCGTGGGCCCCTTCAGCAACCACAACCACCGCGCGCAGTTGTCAACCAGCAAACTCCAAAACCAATTGCTACCCAGCACCGACCAGTGACGCCAAAGACTCCGATCTTGCAGAAGAAGACTTCTCCAGCAAACAATAATCTAAATGTCCCTAGACCCGTGAAACCCTCTTGGGAATGGCGAAGTACTTTTGACTCTGTCCATCAATACTTGAAAGATTGGCTGCTTCAGTAAGTTACTCATTGACTCTCCTGGTCGTGCTCCAAGGCTAATGAGAGCAGTTTATGGGACGTTATTCGGGACCTGGTGCCCTTTGCTGTCAAAGTTCTCGGGCTGCTATTCCTGGGAATTTTCGCTCTTTCTTTCGTAACCGGAGTTTTCAATGCTCTGTTCAACAATTCAAGGACGTCCGACAGCTTTGGCGAAGACGGCGATATCGCTGATATTGGGTATCAATTCCATGGTCTGGACTTGCGACACAACCTGGGCCAATTCATTCCTAATTGGCTCGCCCATCCTCTAGAAAATCTTGGGCCGGACATCCTTTCTGATATCAATAATAGCATCAGAAATCTGGACTACAAGTATTCCTACCTCAAACGAAAAACCGAGATCGATGAAAAGACCATTTCCAGGATCGAAAAGTCTCTTCCCGATTTTCTTGTTGTAAGAAAGAATGATAGGGGCAAAATGGAAATCCCGCTCGAATTCTGGGGGGCTCTTCGTGATCTTATTCTATCGGACGGCGACCTACTACCCAGCTCGGCTCCACCGACTGTGGTTTCGACTGGTGAAGGAGTGTCTATGAAAGAATTTGAGAAAAAGGCTGACCAACTATGGCAAAAATATATCAAAGAGAACCAGGCTAAGATCACATCCTGGTCTTCTACCGAATTTGAGGAAAAGTTCCCTCATTTATTCAAAAAGCATATTCTTGCTTCCAAGTCCGAAATTGTGGACATGATTCGCCATAGTTGGAAAGATAACAATGAAGCTGTCAAGCAAGAACTTTCAACCCTATCCAAAAAACTGGATAAGGCTAGGGACCAGATCATCCAATTACAGGATACGCCATCGAGCATGTCATCAGACAAGCTCAAAGCCATGATCTCTAATCATATCAACAACATTCTACCTATTGCCCAACTGGAAGCCCTTATTAGCGCAAATGTCAAGGGCAACGTAAACTGGGGCCTTAGCCGCGTTAATCATTGGTCCCATGGCACAGGAGCTGTCATCAATATACTCATGACTTCGCCTAATTACGCCTTTCCAAGCATGAACCAGTGGACGCATCAAAAGCTTTTCCGATGGTTTATTGGAAACCCTGTTCCGACTCCAAACCCCCCAGAAGCAGCACTCACAAAATGGGACGAACACGGAGAATGCTGGTGTTCGCCCGCAAAGCACGATAACGGATTTGGGCCGACAATAGGCGTCATTTCTGGTTCGGATATCTTTCCAGATCAGGTTGTTGTCGAACATATCTCCCCATCGGCTTCACTCGAGCCTGGAGCTGCTCCCAGGGAGATGGAGCTATACGCTTACATTGAGAATTTTGATACTTATGACGCAGTTTCTGGTCTTTCAAAGGAGATGTTTGGCGAACCTGACAGTAAACTTAAGTACCACTACGTCAAGGTCGCCGAGTGGACCTACAACGCTGAGCTAGGCTCAAATTCAGCCCAGGCGTTCAATGTCGCGATTGATTTGAAGCAGTTCAGTGCACCCACAAACAAGCTTGTTGTGCGTGCCAAAAATAACTGGGGAGGAGATAGCGTGGAGTACACTTGCTTGTACCGAATAAGAGTCCATGGGGAGATTGCTGTTGCGCCTAAAGATTAGTTTGGCGCCTGATGACTAGATGAGACTGGGATATTTTGTTGGCTTTTTCTGTGTTTTTGTTTTGGTTTTATAAATCTGGGTTTGGCGTTTTGGAAAGGCGTTTAGGGAAGGAATGGTGGGCAAGATACCCTTTTGTATCAACGTACACCTCTTTTTGTTAACTGATGTACATCCAGGCATGCAATTTTTGCATGAAAATACATTAAGTATCTTAATTATGCCGAGACTTTGGTGTCTGAGAACGTGCTAATGTCGATTATGCTGAACTTCACTCCAAGGCCGCGATAAAACTGCGCATAAGTTAGACATTACTATCCATCTACCTATGCTACGAGTCAAAATGTTCGAGATTTACGGAGTACGTAGGCCTACTCGTACTCGCTCGCGATAATTGGGCCAAAGTGAGCAGCCAATGAAAAATGCTTGGCAAAAAAGTCCGAGCGCCGTGCGCCGCGGCGGTGAGGGGTGTGGATTTAACATCCCTACCCTTCGCAAAATATTTATTTTGCAGCACAAGAACAATGTTAAGAACGAATGAACCAAGGACTCGATAGCGCTCTCTCAAATCATGGCTCCCCCGACAGCTCGACACAAGCCCAATGCGCCTGGGAAGTTCAAGTCGGATGCGCGATCATTAAAAAGAAAACGCGACGTTGTTGACCATGAAAAACTGCAAAATTTGGTCGACGAGCTGGTATGTTTTCCACTACAAGTTTAAATCTACCCGTACTCACAAATCACTAGGATATAAAATCAGAATTCAAGGAGTTTTGCGACCTGCCTCTTTCGCAGCCGACAGCTTCTGGCCTGGAAGCCTCTCATTTCAAAACTTTGACCGATGTTCAATCGAAGGCTGTACCTCTTGCGCTGAAGGGAAAGGATATCCTGGGTGCGGCGAAGACGGGGAGTGGAAAAACTTTAGCATTCTTGGTCCCAGTACTGGAGAACTTATATCGGCAAAAATGGACAGAATTCGATGGACTAGGCGCTCTCATTATATCACCTACGCGAGAACTGGCAATACAAATATTTGAGGTTCTACGAAAGATTGGGCGACATCATACGTTCTCGGCAGGGCTTATCATCGGCGGACGAAGTTTGCAGGAGGAACAAGAGCGGTTGGGAAGGATGAATATTCTGGTGTGCACGCCCGGAAGGATGCTTCAACACATGGATCAGACTGCAGCTTTTGAAGTCGATAACCTGCAGATGTTGGTGCTAGACGAGGCAGACCGGATCATGGATATGGGATTTCAGACGGCGATCGATGCTATTGTAGAACACCTACCGAAGAAACGTCAAACTCTACTTTTTAGTGCAACACAGACTAAGAGGGTGTCAGATCTGGCGCGGTTGAGTCTGAAAGACCCAGAATATGTTTCGGTTCATGAGAGTGCAGCTAGTGCTACACCTATGTCGTTACAACAGTTCTACGTCCTCTGCCCGCTAGCTGATAAGCTGGACACCCTTTTCAGTTTCATCAGATCAAATATCAAGGCTAAAATTATTGTATTTTTGTCTTCCGGGAAACAAGTACGATTCGTATATGAAAGCTTCCGACACTTGCAACCGGGTATACCTCTCATGCATCTTCACGGCCGGCAAAAGCAGACCACAAGATTGGAAATAACGTCAAAGTTTTCGGCATCTAAAAACTCTTGTATTTTTGCGACGGACGTTGTAGCCAGAGGTTTAGATTTCCCAGCGGTGGACTGGGTCATTCAGCTAGACTGCCCCGAGGACGCAGATACATATATTCACCGTGTCGGTCGGACTGCGAGATATGAGAGGGCTGGGAAAGCGGTGCTGTTTCTTGACCCGAGTGAGGAAGAGGGGATGTTGAAAAGGCTAGAGCAAAAGAAAGTTCCAATCCAGAGAACGAAACCCCGAGAAAAGAAACAGCAGAGTATCAAGAACCAGCTGCAGAACATGTGCTTCCAGGATCCGGAACTCAAATATCTAGGACAGAAAGCGTTCGTCAGTTATGCACGTTCCATCTTCGTTCAGAAGGACAAGGAGATATACCACATCAACAAGTACGATCTGGAAGGTTATGCCGCTAGCATGGGACTTCCAGGAGCTCCAAAGATCAAATTTCGAAAAGGAGAAGATGCCAAAAAGGCAAAGAACATTCCACGAGCACTGTTGTCAAGTGAAGAGGAAAGTGACGATGAGCCCAAAGAGCCGAAGAAACCAGAAGTCCGGACGAAATATGATCGCATGTTTGAGCGACGTAATCAAGACGTTTTGTCGGGCCACTACTCGAAACTTATTGCTGAGGACGGTCATGATGAGATAGATGACGCCCGGAAGGATGCTGACGATGATAACGATTTCCTTTCTGTGAAGAGAGTTGTATCTGTGGACGAGTCAAGCGACGACGATGAAGCTTCTGACGAAGGCGATGCGATACCAGGGGCGAAAATCATCCCAGGAGTTGGTAGAGAGGCGATTGTGATTGACTCTAAGCGAAAAGAAAAGCTTATGACATCGAAGAAGAAACTCCTCAAACTAAAAGAGAAGGGGACGAAACTGGTTTTCGATGATGAGGGCAAACCTCACGAGATGTACGAATTAGAGGATGAGAGAGACTTCGTTCGAAGAGGTCCTGCTGATGCACAGAGAGCAAAATTCGTGGAGCTGGCGACTGAGAAAGTTCGCGAAGCTGATCTTGATGACAAAGAGCTTGCAAAACAGAAAAAGAGGGAAAGACGCGAGAAGAAGAAAGCCAAATATGCTGAAGAGAATGCTGGGTCAGAAGATGAAGCTCCAGCATTGGTTGAAGATGGGGATCATCAAGACCCGCTAGAATTACTCGCTTCATTACCACTCGCGGACGAGGAAGATAGTAAGCCTGCCAAACGACCGAAGAAGTGGTTTGAGGATGATTCAGAGGATGAAAAGCGAAAGCCCAAGAAGAATAAGAGAGTAATAGAAACAGCGGATGAGCCCGAAACTCTGGAAGACCTGGAGGCTCTCGCAGCGGGGCTTCTCAAATAACATTCTGACCATATGTAGAAGCTAGAACCGGCGAAGATAAATATTAATCAAGATACCCACCCCTGTTTGCTGCATGGAAATTACATTATTCAAATCCCTCTTTGCAATTGAACTTGTCCCAATCTCTACATTGCTTTTTATCTGAGCAACAACCTGGAAGTCTTCATTCCTCGTAGGATTAAGCAATCACCTAATCGAATAATGGCCGTTGCTGCGCACCCCTCATCGCGACCCCTCCATAACCCCACATTTGATGTTCTCGGCTCCGCTAAAACCAAACACCACGACCACGACTCCCGGGGCACCGCAGACCTCCCGGCCTTCTATCAACCACACGATTCCTCTCTTGCACGCCTGGCTTTGGGTTTCTTGGAGATATGCTCCATGTGCAATAAAGGACGACGAGATGCCCCAGGCCACCGATAACAATGCGACCATTGTTACCAACGGCACTCCCATCCCCTCACCCCATGACGCGGATACTATAGCACCAGTCTGTGCGAAGGTCTATGAAAGGGTTCATGCGTTCCTAAACTCTGAGGTCGAGGGACAAACTTTGAAGGGGGTGCAGCAACAGACCCGGATCGCATTGGGGGTAATAGACGAATGTTTGCAGAGATATAGGTAATCCAATCTTATTTTCGGTTACCACCCGCGTCAGCATAGACAGAAAGATACTAACAGGTTGCCGAAGTCTAGAAGAAATATCACTATCCTACAATGGCGGCAAAGACTGTCTCGTACTCCTAATCCTCCTCCTTTCCGCTCTCCACACGCATTCCCTACGAACCTCATCTCCTCTACCGAAGGCGCTTCAATCCGTCTACATCATCTCGCCTCATCCATTTCAGGAGGTAGACACCTTCGTCAATACTACGCTTCAAGAGTACCACCTCAACCTGGTTCGCTATGCAAAGCCTATGAAAGAAGCCTTTCAACAATACCTAGACGATGTTCCCGCGGTAAAAGCCATATTAGTGGGAACGAGAAGGACGGATCCTCATGGGGCGTTATTGACCCACTTCGATATGACAGATCATGGATGGCCGAAGTTTATGAGAGTACATCCTGTTATTGATTGGCATTACGCAGAGATTTGGGCCGTAGGTTGCCATCGAATTTGCGCAATTTGCTATGTGGGTCGTTGCTAATTTCACAATTGCAGTTTATCCGCCACCTCGAAATTCCATATTGTACACTTTACGACCGGGGATATACATCACTTGGTGGAACTACTGATACACATCCAAATCCAGCCTTAAAGGCTGGTGATAATAAGGAGAATAATGATCAGGTATTCAGGCCAGCATATGAGCTTGTCGAGGATGAGGCTGAGAGGCTGGGGAGAGATTGGTAGTACAAGTGCAAAGTGGATGAGTTGCCTTCTTCCCCGAGATGTGGCCATAGATTTAGAATGCTTGAATATAATCAATCGATAGGTTATGTCTATTGAATATGCATGTCTATAAAGTTGGATTTGTTTCAACCCATGTTCATTGTATAATTCATGATAACTGAGGAGCTCCTGTATTTCAAGCAATGTATCGATATTTTGTGTCACGCGATCTCGAATTACCTTGTTCTCAAGATTGTCGTTTCGTCTGGCAAACTCAAAGGAGAAGAAGCAAAGCATTGCAATGGCATAAGCAGCTTCAATGCAACATCACGTGATCAACCGCGGTCGTCGTTTCATTTGTTCCCGTCGATTAGTGAAAACCAACAACTCATCCTGAAAGATACCTACCTGGCTATGTCCTAGTTTCGAAACGTAAAATCGAGTTGATGATGTCATGGTTTCCTTCGAGACGGGATTTTTCATGCTTGAGTGTAGTACACGAGCGGCTATCCGATCACTTGGACATAGTGTTCTGCTAGATGGCGTTGAAACAGACGACAATGTATAACAAGATTCGCAATTAGATACACCGAAATTAAGAATCCTCGGGATCGCTCACAGTGGCATGACTCAATACTTATGTTGTACCGGAAAACCGCCTTGTAGCCTTGGATCTCAAGCTGCTTCTCAGCTGGCCATTTCGTTGGATGGCTGTGTTCCTGCACTGCCTTAATAGTTGAATCTCCACAAATGTCGACATTTGCAGTCGACCGGGTGTTCCCATAGAGATGTGGTAGGAGAGTCGTACAGGAACTGTGTAGGCATTGCATATCGATTGATCAATTGCATATTCTTAGGATACCACCGTACGCAAACAATCGACGTTCCTTCCCCTTTTCCCCCTTTCTCAACTCGCCTAAACCTAAGCCTAAACTCGCTTGGGCCCCATGACCCCTGGTTTAGGTGCTACCGGGACATATCCCGGCGCCGGGGAACAACGACAACAACACCGCCAACAAGAAATTTCACACCGAACAACACCAAAACACCAAAACACCACGCACGATAAAACAGATATTAAGCGCTTCAAACACCCGCCAAGAACCCTTGCTGACTCATAAAGCGAGGCAAAAGCGGCATCAGTTTAGGGCCTGCTATCAATTCCGAGACAATCAGAATCTGAGCGCCTAGGATAAACAGACGCCGCCTTTTCCGTCCATTGCAAGTCGGTTTCCACTCACCTACCGGAGCGCTTCCTTCTGCTATCTTAAGCGACAACAGAACACCGTAATAGGCACCTGTCCGCAGTAACCTTCTGACATCCTTCTGCTGAGTGGCGATAATTCTTTTCCATGCTTTTATCATTTTCTCATTTCCCACATGGTGAAGTTCGCTGCCCTATTCAAGGTGACCGCCCTCCTTGACTAGGGGCATACGGATCTAGGATCCGCATGCCCTGCCCTACAGCGAGTCGGGGCGGTCTCAAAAGGCACCGTTTTCTAAAGTCAGAGGCGTCGGTGAGATTGTTTGTGCTAGAAGGATGCTGTGCTAAAAGACAATGGCTGTTGTGATCGCATGAGTGTCCAATTGTCTGAGGCCGTCTAGTGAAAAGTTCTGTCTGCCGTGGGGTCGATTTTATATGCCTACAATGGGCTCATATAATGCGGCCTATGCCGCTATGTTTTGCTTTCACAACAATCCAACATTGTTCAATGTCTGTTCCCTGACTCGTTTATACTTTCTTTTGAATCCAAGTTGGTGCTTTGTTTAGATGCGTACTCGAAGCGGCTTGATTCTTTCTGGTAGAGAAGCCAATGAATCCGCCAACATGGCCGAATCTTCAGACACTCACTCGACTGAAGCTCAGTGGGGCACCCCTGCACACACTTCTAGGTAAATTAGTAATTTCATCTCTCTTAGAGATCTCTACATTTTACATATATTGGTGATCATAGCCCTAACATCTACAGCTTCGAAACTTTTGGTTCAAGAGGGATATCTTTAAGTCCGTTACGGGAAGGCTCCCATGGGTCACGCTCGAATCCATCACCTTCTCACCACACCACCAGCGAAGGGGCTCAGCTTGCTTCATCACTAGCCAGATCATCTCACTCACGCAATGCTCGTTCGTCTACTCGCAATATGCACCGCAATTTCTTCCAGCAACCTGGATATCAAAGTCACCTCCACGTCGACCAGCCACAACACGACAATTCAGGCATTTACGAAGAACCATACCATGATGATGATCAATATGGAGACACTTTCACCGCAGGGTCGCCAAACAGCCGTGAAGCTATCCGTCGCTACTCAGAGGGAGAACAGCCTTGGAACCCTGCTTTGATTGGAGACAAGAGGTCATGGTCTGAGATGACAAGGGAGCAGCAATCGCCCGACCGTCGTCACCCAGACAAATTGCAATCAGAGATTGAAGATCTAGAGAAAGGAATGAACGTTGAAGATGGCAGTCACCGACCACAGAAGAAAAAGAAGGAAGGTCGACGAAGTGGTGGAACTAGGGCGAAAAACAGTCGCCATGGCAAGCGTAGAGATCACGATAGGGACAGACGTGGAGACGGCAGCATGGCAACCTAAATCTGAAAGGCCTCAAACCTCAGCTTCAAATGTCCTTGTCCGGGGACATACGAGAAAGCGATTTTGACACTAGAATGCGCATGTGTTCATGGCTAAATAAGCGACATTGGATAGGGACGAGTGAAGCCTGAACGAGGCGATCAAGTGGCAAATTTTCATCCGCCATGCATGAGAAGATCAACGAATTTACTGATATACCGGGCGAGCGATTGAAATTCGGAAATAAAGGAGGATTTTTCTTTGGGCTTTACTTTCAGGCGTGGGCAATGGTGGTCAGGTCGGGCGATTGTTTTCGTTACCGAAAACACTTATACCTTTACGATCTCGGTCACATGGATGCCAATTTTTTATACCTTTTTCTTGTTACTTTATTGCGATATTTTCAGGATAAAGTGCACATGGAATCAGATGTTTTACTTATGTCTTGGGGTGGTCTGGGCAGGAATAGGCAGATGGATTCGGATCATTACGGTCACTGGGCGGGATTACACATAGATTTCTTATGAACGAGAAGGATCTTATAGACTAAAAAAATCCTTAGCGTTTTCTATTACGTTTATGTGAGCCGTGCCGATTCTTTTGTTTGCGGAGAATTTGATTTGCATGTCTTGCATGTTGGGCGAGGTCGGCTCGTGGAGGACAAAATAAGTGTCACTTACCTGCCTACTAATTTTGGGACTTAATAAATCGACTTCGACTAGAGCTTAAGGAGTCGTACTTACTTAAAATAATTAACGAAATAAGTTATATTGTTCTAAGTTAATCCACTAAATGCCGATATTTCGTCAACTTAATCGAAGAAATATCGTGCTTCGATTGCCACTTATTTTGTCCACCGCGAGGTCGGCTGCTGACGGTCATATGCAAGAAATATAAAACATGTGTATTACGGTTACACCAACTGCTAGCTAGTCTAAATGTTTTTGATTTCAAAATATTTCATGGCCAGATGATACACATATATGAGAGGAAATTTGTTGATGTTGAAATCATGGCGTATCTCGGTAAGATCTCAAACAGCCTCAGCACTCACATTCCTCTCCTTACCCTTAAGCATAATCCTACCTCCTGTCCACCAAAACACAGGAAACGCAGCAACACCACTCAGCAATCCTAGACTCCACGTCATAGTCCCCCAACCAGCCGTATCATTAATAAATCCAGCCCACAACGGTCCAACAATTGACCCAATCGCATAGGCGAAATTGAAGAGTCCAAAGCCCTGAGCAGCTGCTCCCGTCTTGCCTAAGCTTCCAGGATTCTTCTTCTCCTCGACAGTCAGACAGTGATCTATTTCCGCCATCAACGGTGCCATGATCATGGTCATAAAAAGTCCGAGCATAGCTAATAGTGCACAGAGCAGGACTTTCTGGCCGATGGTGTTGTACGTGACGAAGCGGAGACATACCCAGACTGGGACGGACGCAAAGAGCCCTACGGTGGTTAGGGTTCTGGTGCCGTATCGATCGGATATCCAGCCGATGAGAGGACCGAATAGAGCAGGGACAACGAGACAGATGAATATTAGACCGGCGCCGGTGGAGTTCCAACCGAATACTTGCTGTACGTGTAGAGGAAGGACGCTGTCGAATGCTCCTAGGGAGTTGGAATTGACGGCACAACCTAGCAGGGCAACGAGAAGACGGGGGATACGAAGGAGTGTGATTACGGGAGGAAGATTCTTGGTCCATTTCTTGGGAGTTGGAGTATCTAGGCGTTCTAATACAGATTTCTCATCGATTGGAGCGTTCTCGGGGTTAACTGGTTGGATAGTGTTTCCATTCTGGTCAGAAGAAGTTATAGATTCGGGAGTATCCGTAACTGTAGTCTCTTCTACGGGAGACAGCCATTGGTTGGCAACTGACTTTTCAACCATGAAAAGGCGAAGAAAGACGTCGAGACCAATAATCGCAAAGCCCATAGAGAAAACAGCGTAGTAACCAGCAGCCTCGTAAACAATACCACCTAGGAGCGGACCGAAGAGTGATCCAATACTCGTGGCAGCTGCGATGTAACCCATCGCTTGGCCGATATTCTCTTTCTCGATGGTGTCGGACAAAAGTGCAAGGCCAACAGTCCAGACAACTGCAGCTGATAGGCCTTGCATGAATCTTCCGACTAACAAAAGGGGTAGCGAGCGTCCTATTGTCAACATAACAGTGGAACCACCGAGAGCTAAAAGTCCTAGTAGAAGAGGAGCCCTACGGGATCTAGATCTATCCGCAAACCACCCGAACACGGCTGTAAGGATGTTAAACAGGAAGATAATGTTTTAAAACGCAGAGTGACGCACGAGATCCAATAGCCAACGCTGCTCCATAGATACTCAAGAACACCGACGTCCATTTCTGTACATCTTTCTGTTCTAACCCCACTCTTTCGGTGAGAGCAAAAGGTAACACTGGTACTACCAGTGAGTACAGGAAGATATCCTAATGATTTATTAGTAAGGTTAAAGTACTCTTACAGGTTAGCAATACCGTAAACACAGCTAAAGCGATCGTGCTAGTGATGAATGCCTTTGACGAGCGGAATTTCAAGAACAAAGGCGGCTCGGCATTTCCAATTCTTTTCCCATATATGAAAGTGTATAGGCCATCCTTGGTAAACATTATTGATGATTTTCAAACATTCAAGTAGTGACAAATGCTCTTCTGTTTGAACCGAGTGGAAAGCTATAAGATCGTTTATGGCCCTTTTTGGCCACTTTCGTTTGAAGTGTAGAGCATAGCGAATTATTAATCTAAGTTGTCAGTGCGTAGACACTTGTGGAGGCGAAGAGTCATCTATTCCGCTTTGGCTATAGTTGTTCTCAGGTACTCCACATGGGCTGCTAGATGCTTGTGTAACCAATAAGAGTCCGAGCGCATTCCGAGGCACAACAAGGGAGGAGGATTACATCGCTCTGAATCAATAATCAGACCGTCTTTAGGAATGCGCTAAAAGGCAATTCTTGAGTTATGATTGGATTGATAATGAGCAAGGCAGGTTAAAGTGACCAGAAGGATTTCATTCGTCGTGTGCTGTTAGAAGAGCATTCGGGTGGGTACATAGGCAGCATCTTTGTACCAAATGATGCATTTTGGCTGGAGTATTTGAGATTGATTAGGGATATGATGAGCTTATATTTTGAGACCATGTACGGCAGGCGGAACGAGTTAGTTGATGAAGAACTTAGTTGCTAATGTCGCGAAGAGATGCCATGATTGAATAACTCATGTAGGTTGAAATTGTAGGGAGGGCAGTCTGTGTCAACTATGCTTCCCGTCATCATAACTAATAGCCAAAAAAATTAAGCTTAATATCTGGAATTGAAAAGAAAAGCGGCATTTAACAACGCAAAAGGTGAAGAGATTCAAGCATGTGTACCCAAAACGGTCGAGAATCACCTGCAACGGCGACACGATCCGATAGTTTGGTATTAGAGACTGGACAGAAGTGAGCAAGATGGGGGAAAGCCAATTTGTGCAATTGCCAAGGACCTCATACCTTTTAAGTCTAAAGAGTGCTTTGTACCCAAAATAATCCCTACAATGATGCAGAATCTTCGAGAAATAAACAGTCTCGGGGTTCTAGTTAGGAATATAAAAGCAAAAACGTAGAAGCTTTGATACCAACATAATCGAGGACTGAACTAGACATCATGCTACCAAGCGTATATGGCGTCGCTTCGTACCGGACAGGATATATCGCCAGCGACTCAGATCCTGTGTCGATCAGAGTATTATTGTTCCTGGCAACCTTCCTATTGCGGCTTTGTACGATTGGATCAAGAAGGCGTAAAGTAAAAGCGGATTTCCAAACGAAAGGAAGAGAAATCTGCCTCAACCAGCAGCTTTTACCTCATGTTAACGTATTCCAAAGGACGAGACTTAGTGTTCTCAAGTAGCTGAAACTAAGCTGTTAGAAATCGAAAGCATGATTGTTGTCCCGCCCTTCGTTGACCAAGGTACAGCTGATGCTAACGCCAGTGAAATGAGAATCATCACATCCGTGGGGAGGGCGGAATAACGAGAAAGCGGATTTAGAAAACGGGAAGCTGTCGGACGACGGTGTTGTGGCTCGTGGAATGAAAGCTATGGGATTCCCTGTTAGTAACGGCGCTGGTCGCTGGGTAGGGTTACAAGTTTCTGGCCAGAGTCATAGGTGTGGACTGTGTTTCTGTCTACAGACCAAAAACCTGTGGAGTTGATCGTATATGGAACGGTTCGGCGCTCTACAGCTAGCCAGAGAGGTTGATGTTGAAACCGCCCTGGAGCTTGTCATTTTGTGTCATGAGTATCAGGGACCTAGGCTTCAAGTATCTTTCAACTCTCCTCCTTCGAGTACAAACGTATGGATCTCGATTGCTGGTTGATTCTGTTAACATTATGATGGTTGTTTCACCCTTTTCGACGGAGAAAGATGGAGCGACAGGACCATCTAGTCCACGTGATTGATCATACTCTCAAAGGCGGTGAGTCGGCGACGTGCCCCACAATTTGGCAAATCAAAAAGTGCCTGGAAAAATAATTGCTTTATCGATTGATAAGATCGCGAGATGGAAAGCAGTAAGGTCTACTCAACCTCCACCGAACGCATAAAAATCTGTGGCAATGCCTCATCGTGCGGCATCCCCGGCCGCCTCCGAGAATGACTATGATATAACCAAATCTCTATTTAGTGAGGACTCAGACGATGAGACATTCGCGACCGCAACGAAGAGCAGGAAAGATGGCGAGGAATTAAATGCTGGAGGAATTTTGGATCTGGCACAGGAGAGCGATGGGGATGGAGGTGACGCTGCGTTTATTGCGGCTCAGCAGTCGGCTTCGAACCGAAAAGCGTCAAATGTTAAAGGAAAGAGTGTGAAAAAAGGCGGGGGATTCCAGGCGATGGGTAGGTCACCCAACAGATTATCCCCTGATGGTACAAATGTTAATGTACACAGGATTGAATGCGCATCTTCTCAAAGCGATTAGCCGTAAAGGATTCTCAGTACCGACTCCAATCCAGCGGAAAACGATCCCGCTCGTACTCGATCACCAAGATGTTGTTGGAATGGCTAGGACTGGTTCTGGGAAAACTGCAGCCTTCGTTATACCTATGATCGAGAAGTTAAAGGCCCACAGTGCCAGAGTTGGAGCACGGGCATTGATTCTGTCTCCATCTCGAGAACTGGCGATTCAGACATTGAAGGTTGTCAAGGAATTTGGTCGAGGAACAGATTTAAAGTGTGTCTTACTAGTTGGCGGAGACAGTTTGGAGGAACAGTTTGGTTTCATGGCCTCAAATCCAGACATAGTAATTGCCACGCCAGGTCGATTTCTGCATCTCAAAGTTGAAATGTCGCTTGATTTGTCATCTGTCAAATATGTGGTTTTCGATGAGGCTGATCGATTGTTCGAGATGGGTTTCGCAGCCCAGTTGGCAGAAATTCTACACGCCCTTCCTGTGTCACGTCAGACACTGCTGTTCTCTGCGACATTGCCAAAATCTCTGGTAGAATTCGCAAGGGCTGGTTTACAAGAACCAAGTCTGGTCCGTCTCGATGCGGAAAGCAAAATTTCTCCTGATCTTCAGAGTGCATTTTTCAGTGTGAAGAGTGCTGAAAAAGAGGGGGCATTGTTGCATATCCTTAATGATCTGATAAAAATGCCAACCGGTGCGCCAGAAGGCGTCGGTGCAACTCAAGACAACGGGAAGAAAAGGAAACGAGGCCCAGAAGGTCCGAGTCGAAAGCAGAAACCGACAGAGCATTCAACAATTATATTTGCAGCAACGAAGCACCACGTCGATTATCTGGCCTCGCTTTTACGGTTGTCTGGGTTTGCGGTGTCCCATGCCTACGGTTCGCTTGACCAGACTGCAAGAAACATACAGGTCGAAGAATTCAGAACTGGTATGACAAACATTCTGGTCGTTACGGATGTTGCGGCAAGAGGTATCGATATTCCAGTTCTAGCGAACGTTATCAATTACGACTTTCCGCCGCAGCCAAAGATCTTCGTGCATCGGGTTGGTCGAACAGCAAGAGCTGGACAGCGAGGATGGAGTTACAGTCTTGTACGAGATACAGATGCGCCCTATCTATTAGACTTGCAGCTTTTTCTCGGAAGAAGATTGTTGTTAGGCAAAGACAGCGGGGAAAATGCTAACTACGCGGAGGATGTGATAGTAGGTGCAATGGTTAGAGATAAGCTTGAAGCTACGAGTGAATGGATAACGAAGCTCCTTGGCGATGATGATGATCTCAATGGTCTTCGAAATGTCGCTGCGAAGGGTGAAAAGTTATATATCAAGACGCGAAATTCGGCATCAAACGAAAGTGCGAATAGGGCGAAGGAGGTCGTAGCTTCCAAGGGGTGGATGCAACTCCATCCCCTGTTCAATAGTGAAACCGATAATGCAGAGCAAGCCCGGATTGAAATGCTTGCGAGGATAAGTGGATTTCGACCACATGAGACTGTGTTTGAGATCGGATATAGAGGGAAAGCTGGCCATGGAGAAGCAGCGGAGATGATGCGACATCGACGAGAAAAGATTGTACCACGAAGACAGAAAGAGGAAGAAGAAATGGCCGCCGCAAAAGCTGAGGCCGAGGATGATGGCGAGGATGATGTACCTCAGGGTGTCGCAGAGACATTGGATGCTGATGATGACAGTGACATCGAAGTAATTGTGACGAATAATGATAATGACATGGAAGAGGCATCCGAAGGAGAGTTGGAAGTCACCTTTTCAAAATCCGCGCAAAAAGGCAAAGGCCGAACTCTGTCCTGGAAAGATTCGGAAAACTTCATGTCATACACGCCCAAAACGATCAATACAGCGGAAGAACGTGGTTATGGTGTTCACTCTGGATCGTACAACACTGCCTCGCAGAATTCAAATTTCGTAGAGGCCGCTCGTGGTGTAACTATGGATCTCACAAATGAAGACGGCGGAAAGTCCTTTGGAGAACCAACAAGAGCTAAAGGCATGCGCTGGGATAAAAAGAATAGCAAATATGTCGCCCGAGCCAACGACGAGGATGGGTCCAAAGGAAAGAAAATGATTCGCGGTGAAAGCGGACAAAAAATCGCAGCATCTTTCCAATCTGGTCGCTTCGACCGCTGGCGTAAAGCTCACAAAGTGGATCGACTTCCACGTACCGGGGAAGCAGAACGCGATGGTGCTACACCCGGTGCCGGTGTTGGTCGTGGCTTTGGAACGCGCTATAAGCATAAACAAGAGAGGGCTCCTAAAGAGGCAGATCGCTTCAGAGACGATTACCATGTTCGTAAGAAGAGGGTCGACGAAGCTAAGGAGAAGCGTGTGGGCAGGTTTAGGGATGGAGGTGGGAAAGGGGAAATTAAAAGTACTGAGGATATTCGTCGGGAAAGGAAATTGGCGGAGAGGAAGAAGCAGAAGAATGCTCGGCCTTCGAAGAAGGGGAAGAAATGATGGAATTGATACCATTTTAGTTGATTAAATATATCCATATTTTGTCATGGGTTACTTTGCTTACTTGAAAAATGCTTGTAATGGTGAAGAGACTGTATACGACCTGACATTGGAAGCCATAGAGAAGAGCCATAAGCGAGTACGTTTAAGGCAGTGTTTTCTTGAATAGAGACTGTTTTCACTCAGATTCTCAGATCATTCCTGGGCAACTAATCGGAAGTGGGTAATTTCACTAGACCTTCCTGTTCTACTAGTGGAAAATTAAGGCGGCACAACCTACTGTGGCTCGCGGTGGACAAAATAAGTGGCAGTCGAAGTGTGATATTTCTTTAATTAAGTTGACGAAATATCGGTATTTAGTGGATTAACTTGGAATAATGTGACTTATTTCGTCAATTATTTTAAGTAAATAAGACTTCTTAAGCTTCGTTCGGAGTCGACTTATTAGATCCCAAAATTACTAGGCAGGTAACTGACACTTATTTTGTCCTCCGCGAGTGTGGTTCTGCTAACTTTAGTCAAAGTTAATAAACGAGTATGGGTAAGCACTTTTAACTATTAATTGGTTTTAGACAGAGTCTGAAAACATGTTACTAGAAAGCAATCAACAAAATATATGCCATTTTATTAACTTCATTGAACAGATATGGTATTAAGACTCCTACTTATCTTGTCCACCACAAGTGTTATGTTATCGTCGAAATGTTTTTGTTAAGGAGACGCAGAATGCAACAGGGGTATATGTATGATTTATTTAAACAAGCATACGGAGGCTTGTGTTGGATGCATCGGTCTATGGTAGTCTTTCTATCTATGTCACGCTACCGATAATTGTCTATAGGCTCATAAATAGAGACAACATAGCTGGGTAGTTTGGTGTTCCTAGACCAGTCACTGGATCCCAACCTGGGCTAGCTGAGAAGCCCTTAGTCCCACAACCGGCGTTGGTACCTTTCACAATGTCATGTAAGACGCCTGGGTGTGCGTACTGAAAGTGTTAGCGTAGTATGATCGGAGATCAAATCATTGGCTTACCAAAGTAGGGTTCACAAATCCAATGGTACTCTTGCCTGCTGCGATCCTTTCCTCGTTGATACGGTTCAAGATAGCGCCAAAAGCAGGACTGCTAGCACTGGTCCCACCAATCAATCCTTCTGAGCCACCAGTGAAAATAACGACATTATCACCAACAGCGCTCACATCAGGATAGGCGCGGCCAGCACTGTTGTAGATACCGCTGTTAGCACCGACATTGGTGGAGTTGACCGTTTGGTAGGACTTGTAGGTTGGCGGGTAGTTTTTTAGGTAGCTGGCGACGGCGCTGGATTGGTATGACGGAATGGCGTAGATGTTGGAGAATCCTCCGCCGGAGGGGAAGCGTGTTACGGCTACCTCGGCGTCGATTGCTACGTTTGCTCCAGCAGGGAGGTAGGTGCCTCCTACAGCGGTGATGTAGGGACATGTCGCTGGAAAATCTGGTGAGAAGATCTTGCCTGTTGGATTTAGTGATTGATAACAGCTTCAACTCTTGGGATGGACTTACCAGTAGATCCAAGACATTGTGATCCAGCGACGCCAGAGTCACCGGAAGCGACTAAAATCGAGACCCCTTGAAGACCCAACTTCATGAACTCATTGCACTGACGACGCTGATAAGCGACAGGTAAGCCAGCCTCATCTCCACCGTATGAAATAGAAATGACATTGGTCTGTATTATTATTAGTAATCCGAGTCATTGGATAGATTTCGACAACATACAGGCTTATAGACACCACATTGCAATGCACCTTTGTATGCACCAGCCTTAGAAGAAGTATCAGGATACTTTGGATCTAGTGGGTCGACAGTTGAGCAGTAAGATCCGTCAAGAGCATCGAGAAAGGTGTTTAAAAAGCCAGAGAAAACATAGTTGTTCTCATATACTGGGTCATCTGTCTGGTAAAGAACGGTTCCTTGTGGATAAATAATCGGCCATGCGATTTGAAAATCTAAGTTCGACTCGGCTCCGGCAGCGGTAACGGCGACAGGAGCAACTGCACCATCGATTGCGTTAAGTGTAGGCGCAGTACCCTTTGGGATGTTGCTGACTTGGTCAATACAGGTTCATCCATGAAGTAGAACATACTCACGTTGCGTATTTGGCATAGAAGGAGTTCAAGTCAGCTTGGCTGTAGACATCCCCCAGGTCCTCGAAAATACCCATTTTGTTGCCGGGAGCTGCCAGTACAGGGGGGGTAATATTATACATAACTGTTCAGATGTTAATAATTTTCACCATGTTGGAACGTGTGCAGTCATTCTATACCTTTGATGCATGCCGGGGTCATTGTAGTATCACAGCCTGTTAGTAGTGGAGCAAACTGGGAAGCGGGACGGAAGTCAGGCAGTTGAAGATCACTGTTGCCTTTGGCGCTGGTGACACCAAAAATACGCTTTCCGAGGTTCGCGCTGCCGGCACGTCCTCTGCCAGGAGTGTGAAGCTTGATTCCCGGTGAGATGTAGTCGACATGTTCTTGAATATGAGGTGGAACGTGGTACCTGATTGAAATTTAGCCATGGTCGACCACTACGACTTCATGATGAGAGATCCAATATTTTTCACTTGAGGCCTTTGGACGATCAAATGAACCGGACCCTGCCGAAAAAAGGCCAACTTCGAGAGAGGCAACTCACTGTTCACAAGCAATTGTCGCCTTTCCAGTTTTTGTGTGCTCGTACACGTGATAGTCCGTTTTCAGGAGTGACTCTAGTTCGCCAGCAGTAATATCTAGCTGCATCCACTGCTTGTTTGTAGACTGAGAGACTGACTCTCTTGGGATACCGAAAGAAACAAGCCATTCATAAATAGCATTCGTAGTCGACTTGGACGGAGCAAACAGATCGGCCACTTCTTCTGCTGTGTAGTGCTTTCCGTACCTTGGAGAATCATGCGCAGAACTGGATGTCTTAATTATTTCTCTGGATACAATCAAGATAGCAGAGCAAACTTACACTTCCATTAGTAAATCATGGCCATTTTCAAGATTGCTTTGGGTCATCCCAATTCGCACTGGTATAACGATAGAAGACTCAATTCTATCGCGTTTGACCCATGCGTGGGACCTAAAGTCACGGCGCTCGTGGACGACATGATTTTCCGGAGCAGGAAGTGCAATGACTCCAAGTGCAAGAGCACTTATCAAACTGATCTGTGGCAGAAGCATTGTCCAAAAAGTAGCCGTGTTGCTTGAATTGAGAAGTGTCCTGATGCGAGAAGTTGAAAGACAGGAACGTAGCTTTATATGTATTTGCAAATGGGGTTCAACCCACGGGCGGCTCTTGGAGTGAGTTATTTGAGATTTACATTAGTCTGCCACATAAATACCCCTGACGATGACCACCGATAAGAGCACAGTATACTTACAGCTGGTATGGGGTATGCCACCTACGCTCTCCCGTCTGAGACCAGAATAGTGTGGAGAGAGATACTGGTTAAGCACCTGCCAAGAGAAGATGGCGAAGGAGCTTATAGGTATCTACATTCCCATTCAGGATGATCTTTCTGAGATCGCAGGCATTGGGCAACGAATAGACGAGGGCTTGTATGACATACTGCGCTCCCAGTAGTCAGCTAGTTCCCGCGGTGAACTGTAAGAGGCTCAACGATACAAGGTATGCAGTGGCAGCATGGTGGTGGCAAGCATAAGAGCAAGGATAATGAACACCACTTCGTCGCCAAGGCTGCAGGTGCAGTTTGGGCGCAGAAGTTGTGTACACCCAAAAGCTTATCAACCAGAATGTGAGAGGAATGACTGCATGAAAGAAGGCTTGAATTGCTTGGAAAAAGCTTGCTCTCGGCAATGGGTATTGCTGAAGGGGAAAACGGAGACTTGCGCTAGCCAAGACGGCAGAGGTATCGAAGCTTTTGATCCTTCTCCCCTCCACAGTATAACCAGGATGGATAACTTTACAGAGCGTTTCGGAAAAGGTAGCAGAGACTACATTCTTTGTTGCTCCTGATGCATTAGAACAAGAGGACTATAACAATCGCCATAAACAAAGTAGATTACGCCTTTCATGTAGAAAAATGTGAGAGGTTCTTCTGATTCGGAGCCGAATTATACTCCTGAAGATGTCTGATAGACAAGAACTGACGATCCACCGGATGTGTATAGGTTGATCTATGCCTGTTGAGGGTGTTCAAGTATCCCAACTCCCGCATTATATCTTTAGTCCACCCATCGTGCAAAGGACACGGCGATAAGAAATCGTAATCAAGTGGAGAATCCCACTAAAGGAACCGCAAACCTGGTGCTTGATCATCAGCGAAGTCATACGGTGTCATTCAGAAAGCAGAAGCACGCTCTGCGGCATCCAGTCGAATACTGGTAAAAAGGATCTATGCTCGCGCGACATGAGGTGAGAGGCGGCAATAGATGACCAATAGGCTTTCGGGAGGGCAACGGTTCTTGCATGACATGCAGAATCTTAGACACACAATAGTGGCAACTGTCGGTACTCATGTACCCTTTTGCTGGCCACCTTCCCTGTTGGGACGGCTTTGCTGCATAGTAGACTGAGCCGCCCTCCTGACCGAGGTCGAAAAAGGAACAAGCATTCAGACAACACCCTCTCGAATATGGAGCTGCTTGAATGGTACAATACTCCGATCAAAACTAGGAGATATCTGAGGCTGTTCATGCGGGCACGCAATAGCCCAGGAGCCGGCGCTCGTTTTCCACGAATACACTATTGCTTTGCTAGTATGGCCTCGGCTGATAAGAATGAAATTGAAGTGGACAGAAACCAAACATAAAAGTCTAGTCAGGGCAGACAACGACGGCTTCTTGTAGCCCCAGTAGAACTATGAATACCAGAACTGTCCGGCTTCAACACATCGGACTGTGTTGGCTCCCAGACTACCATCAGCAAGTCAAAGGGGGGTGTGCTGAGTACATGAGATACCGAGCCGGCGAAGACCCAATGATGCCGCCACAGAATCCTTATAATCGAATAGATCGTTAGAGATCCTTACCCCGCGATCGTAAGGTCTCAGGTTTGGATATGACAACTGGATGCCGATGTGGTATCAGGTATCCTTGCAAGACGGGACCGCCATGGGTGAGCGCGGTAGCCCAACTTGACCGGAACACCCCCATTGTTGTTTGATCCAGCACTTTTTGTCTTTCAGTAGTAGGAAAATGCGACCTTTGACTTGTCGAATAACAAACATGTGGCTGTGGGAAATAGAAGTGACAGAGCGGAAAGTAATACAGAACATATAACTGGATATTTCTCGGTCTTGCTTCCACAAGCACATACCACTGTGGAAAGCGGACGAGGACCTTTGATCCCCTCGAACCAATCTATCCTGATTCCCACAGAATCTCCTATCGCTCAAATCGTCCTTGCCGGGATGTGGTTGTGGACTATGAGCAATGAAGAGATCTTGGTTGTTTCGTTGAATGCAGGTTTCTAGGGAGCCGCCATAGGAGAGGAAAGGAAGATAAAGAAGCAACAATCAAGAGCGAGCGCTTTTTCGACAATCTGTAGGACCAGCATAATTTAAAATGAAGAGAAATCAGCACACAAGTTGATACGATGAAACCTCAGCAGTTGTGAGGAGTATCGATTTCGCCGAGCAATTGTGTAGCGTGATGACAATCGCAATTGCAAGACGAACCTTGAAAAGAGCCTGAACAGCACGTGATTCAAATTATGCCGCCACTCTACGCGTGCATCATCGCGTACCTAGCCAAACGCGTCTTCCTGAAGTGATGCTTTTCTCAACGCCATCGAAATAGATCAAGCCAGCACATAAAATGGGTATGAAACTTATGTGCCAGACTTGAGTAACTATCTAACACTACCGCAGGAGACAACTACGGATACCAAGGCTATTCAAATGCCAACTACGGTGGACAAAACGCCAACAATAATGGCGGGGGGTTTATGAGCGGTTCGCAACAGGGCAGCCAGGATTCTCCTAACGGTCAGAAGGTATTTCTGATCTTCTTTCGTATTGCTGTGGAACTGACTTTGGTGACAAGGTGTATGGGCAAGAAAGTTTAAGGCCGGTTACAATCAAGCAAATTCTTGATGCGTAAGAATACCCCTCCATATTTATTCAATCTGCTAACTTTCACTAGCACCCAAGCCCACTCGGACGCAGAGTTCAAAATCGATGGCTCGGAAGTAACACAGGTACAACTGCACTTGTTCTTTTTCATCCAACACCATCTAACAGATTCAGGTCTCTCTAGTCGGCCAAATATCTACCATCTCTCCCCGCGCCACAAACATAGTCTACAAAATCGACGACGGAACCGGCACCCTGGAAATCCAGCAATGGATAAACAGCGACATGGAAGAAGGAGCCACCAAACCGATCGCACTCGAAGGCCAATACCTCCACGTCTGGGGTCGCATAAAAGGATTACAGAACAAACGAACCGTATCCTCACAGATGCTACGTCCCGTAGCTGATTTCAACGAAGTCACATACCATCTTCTCGAAGCCACTGCTATTCATCTATATTTCACTCGCGGACCACCAGAGGGTGCGACGGTCAAGGCTGAAGGCGGAAATGGCATGTTTGTGGATAACAATGGAGGGGGTAATGTAGGTGCTGCCCAAGGACAGGCTGCTGGGAAAAAGTTACCAGCGAAGACGAGTGCGATTGCGAGGAAGGTTTATCATTTGTTACAAGAGGCGCCCCAGAATAACGAGGGGTTACATGTTCAGAATATTGCGTCCCAGCTGGGGATGCAGGCAAATGATGTGTTCAAGGCAGGCGATGAGTTGTTGGGCGATGGTGTCATTTATACGACTGTAGATGATGAGACTTGGGCGGTTCTGGAGTATTGAATGTATTGTAATGAAGAGCCGGATGATGGCGTTTTGGAAGGAACTCTGGGATGTGATATTACATATGAGAGATCATGCTAGGGATATCGCAGAAGCAATACTAATGCACAGCAACTTATAACTTTCAACTTCCGCATCAGAACTACGTAAAAGTCTCCACGTTGGTAGTAACAGTATGGTTGCTTACACTTAACTTGTCCGCCACGATATAGTTCACCAAGTATAATCTAAACAATTTAACAGATAAGTAGACGAACTTGGTACTAGTAAGTTAAAAATTAGACTTCAATTTAGCTTGTTTCCTAAAATGATGGACAATGTGTATGACACCATGTCAGAGTACCACTTATCTAGTCTACTTAGCGAATATCAGGGTGACGGGAGTGTACCTTTATGTTAGCGAAAAGGTACCCTGGCTCGCGGAGGACAAATTAAGTGGTAGTCGAACCAGAATAGTTCTTTAACTAAGTTAACGAAATATCGTAATTTAGTGGATTAACTTATAATATTATTACTATTTCGTTAACTACTTTGAGTAAATAAGACTTTTAAAGCTTTATTCGAAGTAGACTTGTTATTTATTCTAAGATTTACGGGTAGGTGACTGCCACTTATTTTGTCCTCCGCGAGCCTAGATTATTGGCTGTGTTACACAGCCAACAATCACATAACAATATGGACAAATCAAAGCGCATTTTTACCTAGGCATAATACAAGAAGTCCGTAAATTTAGTGCTCTGAACTAGCTAGTGTCAAAGAAACATCTGTCGATAGCTCCCTCCAATTCATTCACAATGTGCCACTTCTCTCAATCCATCAAATCCATCCCCAAGTTCCCCTCTTGTCATCCAAATCCAGTAATCAGAAGTAGTCCACAATGTCAGTTCAATGCCTGAACAGCATCCCAAAAAGCAATTAAAGGCCAACCAACAGTAGACGAAACGAAACCAATCTGTCCCCTCTTCCTCAACGCAGCAAACAAAAAAAAACAAGTAGACGATTCCGTGTCTAGAGCATTCTTCCACCGACCCTCTCACCTCCCTTGGAACCCTCGGCTTCGTTAACGGGTTCTCTGACCATGATATGCAATTTGATAGGTTTTGGACCACGCTCAAGTTGAATATCGCTTTTATGCACAAAGCCATATTTCTCGTAGTACGAGAGATTGCCATGAGCACTGGATTCGAGATATGTTGCTCTATTCTCCGAGTCCGCCTGTTACCATTAGCAATACGAATTAAATGAAGGCGGAAGATAATATAAAATACCTTGACAGTCATATGTTCAATCAACTTTCTGGCGTACCCTTTACCGCGAGCGCTAGCTTTAGATCCGAGGTAGACCAGGTAATAGGAATTTCCATCTCGCTCGCCCATAACATTGTGCTTGGTATCATGGAGCAATGGGAAGAACTCCTTGAAGAACCTAACGCGGCCCTCGGACGAGAGTTGGTAGTAGAGTCTCCAAAGTCCGGAACGGAAGAAAGTAAGCCAGTCATCCATATCTGCTGCTGGTTGCATCCTAATGATTTGTTAACTTGATGCCAATCCAAAGAGTGTTGACTAAGAAAGTGAATCAGCAGGTGGAAGTACCAGAGAGCTACAGCGCCATAATCATCACCCACTGTTGTCACGATACCTTTATAGCAATGAGCGGCGGTCATGTATCGCATGATACTTAGATGTAACTTCCACTTTGCAGCCTCGGTCACATTTTCCATATCAGGTGTATCAACGAAGTATCTAGCCACCTCATCTACGGCAAAGGCTTCAGCTAGACATTGGGCCGCGCCTTCACATTCAGAGATAGAGAGAGTACGAACTTCTTCCATGACAGATGGAGTAAGACTACGTTTCTTTTCGAGAAGTAGGGTGGAGTTTGAATTATTGATTTCCGCCATGATTGCGACTTAAAATTCAGTTTAAAAGTGGTGGTTTCTGTTTAGCTTGTTAGTCTTCCAGGTGTAAATTCACGACAGTTTTGGGAGCAAGGTGAATAACGGACAGGACGGTTTTTCGGCTGGTCTTGTCAAATCTCCTGTATGTTGTTTCGAAAGCTGCGATCTCGACACTGTTTCGTATCGAGATGGAAAGCGCAGGCAATTGAGACTTTGGCGTATGTCAACCGACATCAATGTTAATGTTCGAACGTTTTCCTGGAGTTAAGGAAGTAGCTGGATCTTTTGATCCTGTTGTGGAAAGCAGGTGGGATGAATCAACAGAAAGATATAAGACTGTTTAGTGGTAAGTGTGGGTAGCAACGGTTATGCGAGGAATGGTCTGACAGCAATTGATTACTTGTAGAAAGAAATTTGAGAAGGTCTTGAGGATTTTGTAACTACAAGTATTGTTGAAGTGAGGAAACATCATAGAAGCGGCAGGACAGAGTTTATGTAGACCAGCTAGGCATGTCGTACCCCACTTAGTCATTTGTGAAGCCACAGCGTGGGAGATAGGATTTCCATTGGATGATCCCGAGGTCCTGGAGGCCTCATGCAACCATACAAGTTGCAACCTACGATATCAATTCTTGTCAGTTATTGGCCATGCATGACAGGGCCATCCAGGAAACCGAAAAGAGTTGATCAAACATGGCTGTGAGTTCCAGTAAAAGTGGTTTCCTGGAGTTTATCGTGAGACGTGGGGTGGACAGTCAGTCCGCGTAGACATTCCTTTTAGGGTTAGAAGAAAGACCGTTCGGTGGCCGACCACCAGAAAGCTCCGTAGGATAGAAATCTGATTCGAATCAGGAGCATCGGAGGGTCGAGGAGGCTGATGAGGACCGGAAATACTATGAGCTGCAAACAGAACATGGCGATTGCCACTTGGCTCAGACAAAACCCAACGTCTCATCCCTGGCGAACTAGAAAGCGTAATAATGAAAGAGCACATGTTGAAATGCAAATTTCTCTGAAGAGATAAGAAATTTAACTTGCTTGAATAAAAGAGAAAGTGAGAATTGGTTGACGAGGAGCTCATGATACTCGGTGCTGCACGGCTTACAGGATTGAGTCGTGTGACCGTTCAATATGCGCGATCGTCGTAATGGATGATGGTGGTGTTAGAACATAAGTCGCCAATTGCCAATCGGTGTGCAACTCTTCACTGTTGTATTTCATCATGGGGTATATCGCTCGTTGTCCTGCGCAGCCAAGCACCAATGTCTCGCTCGACCTGTGCATAATCTTCTGTCCAAGTCCAATAATCCTCGTGGGGCCGAAGCCACTCGCACGCTCCTACATAATACATCCCACTCACATACGTCGGATCTCCTGTTCGTTCATGTATTTCTCAAGTCCAGAATCTAGATGCTCCCACCATTCGAAAAGAAGAGAGTTGCAGATAAGTTTGAACCAGGGAGTAAACTTCAGAGAAGGGTCTTCGAACATCGACCTTAGCCCATCGGCAGAAACGTAGCACGTATCTCGGACTTCGTTCAGGTTGGGTTCTAGGTCGACATTCGCTTTGATAAACAAGATGTAATCAACTATTGACCACGTTAGGCGCTTCTTGGGAGCTTGAAAGTGCGCACTTACTCTCATGCTCGCCCCATTTTCCATCGCTAGGGGCCTTGTAATGGATCCGCGTGAGAAATTTGAAGTTCTCGATTGGCACTTGGGAAGCCTTGATACCTAGCTCATGTTCCAATTTCCGCACAGCGGCGTTCTTTACACCAGCGACAGACTCCTCCAACTCCACGCCGGTCTCACCTGGTATTCCAAGGGGGTGAGAGCAGCAGGTATTAGTCCACATGTCTGGGAAGGTGATTTTCTCTGTCGCACGCTGTTGCAGTAGCAGTTCGTTTTTGTCGTTAAACAGGAAGACCGAAAACGCGCGATGAAGAAGGCCTTTGTCGATGTTGGTCATGAGGTGGCCTGCGGCTGTCAGCTCTCGGCCTTCAGAGCCTCAACGATCTACCTACATATTTTCTTGCTGAAATTTCCAATAGGCTTGTCATTCTCGTCAAGGACAATACAGACCTCGTCCATGAGTCGGATTTGCTCCGCATCATGGCCGTCTAACTCAGCAGAGCTGGTGTCGATATCAGGGAAGAGTCGCAGAATACTTTGAGCCGTGATGGGCTCGGCCTGTGTGACTGTGGTCGTGGTAGACATTGTTGTGGGTGGCGGGAGGTGATTTGTTTATAGGAGTTGATGGTTGCGGCAGACGAAATATCCCTCACTCGATAGTGGCCGTCAGTGCAACAATAACTTTCCCAGGGGTGGAAGGGCCCGCAACTTAAATGCGGCTTACCCCTGTCAGCGGGGTTATTGGCCCCAGATCAAAAAACATTCAAAAAAGTTTTTGGAGTCGCATTTTGAACCCCGCCAACAACAATCACAAATATCGATATTTTAATCATGGGCAAATCAAAACCTCGTAACCGCCAGAGGAACCGCCAGGACCCAACTTCAAAGGCCAGCAAACCCCCAACAGACCCCGAGCTTGCGGCTATTCGAGAGAAAAAGATCCTACCAGTTCTGAACGATCTCACCAGCACCGACTTACAGACTCGGTCCAATGCGGCGAGTGCAATTGCAAATTTGATTGAAGATACCCGGTCGCGGAAGCTTTTACTTCGAGAACATATTGTGCGGATCCTGTTTGAGCAGACTCTCACCGATTCGAGTTTAGAAATTAGAACTGCTGGATGGGGAATTTTGAGGAACTTGGCTCTGGAAGAGGAGGCGGATTTTTGCGTTCATCTATACAGACAGGATGTTTTGACGACAATTGAAGGCACTATAAAAACAGTATGTTTTATGTTAATAATAAAACTGCCTTGTTGCTGACAGCCTATAGGTCATTGAAACTATCGAATCCCAAGCCGTACCATTTTCCACCCTCCCAAAAGCTCAACAAGGACTTGCCTGGACCTTGACAAGCTCATTACTGAGCCTTATCTCGTCTCTTGCGGAAGCACAGGAAGAAATAATCAAGTCCATAAACAAACGTCCTACTTTTGTCAATTTTCTCTTTGGTTTACTAGGATTTGACCTTACACCCACGGAAGTCCAAAGCGAAGTGCTATCATGCTTGACTGCTCTGACAGAGGACAATGAATTGCTGGCGCAACAAGTAGTTGACAATGGCGATTGGCTAAAGGGCTTGATGCACTTGAAGAGTGCCAAAGGCCCTGTTGCTGTTGGCGCCTGTGGACCTTTACACAATATATTTTCAGTCATGCAGTGGTCAGACCACAAGACTCCAGTACCAGGCGCTTCGGACGCATCGTTACTTCCCACCCTAGTCCAAGCCATGGAGACCATCATCCCGTCGGCCATTGGTACAAATGGTCACACATCGCATTCAACTCCAGATCAGATTCTCCAATTAGCTTTGGAGATCACCGCATCAATTGCCACAAGCCTCCAAGAAGCTTTAGAGAACGGCCATGAGAAAGAGTTCGAAGGTTTTGGGGATGACGATTTGCAAAAAGGTGATATGGACGATGTCGGAGATGATGATGATGGAGAAGATGCAGATGGTGATGAAGAGGATCACGAGATGAACGAAGATGAGATTGCAGCGGAAATGGAAATGGTGACCGGCGATGGACCGGATGATGACGAAGAGCCAAGTGAGGAGCCGACTCTGGATGAGCTTGTGAGAAATGCAACACCCAGAGTCCTCAGCCTTGTACAGTCATCTGTCGGTTCACAGAACGAGACTGTACGAGTCTCCGCCCTCTCTGCCCTGAATAACATTGCCTGGACGGTTTCGAGTATCGATTTTTCAGCACGACACCTCGACAGCTTGAAGGATTTCTGGTCCTCAATGGCTCAAAAAATTTGGGATCAGACAGTTACGCCGGTTCTGGCCTCGAACACCGCCGACATAGAATTAGCGTCTAGTATCACTAGCCTTGCGTGGGCGGTATCGCGTAGTGTTCAAGGAGGTATTAAGATACAACCCGACGAACCGCGCAAATTCATGTCTCTATACCAGGCCTCGTTGGATCTGGAAAGCGCACCAGAAAAACAAGCCAATGGTGCAAAGGCCAACCAACCCGAGAACAACGATGCTTTTCAGAGCTTGGGAGTCAAGTGTATTGGTGTTCTAGGAACGCTTGCTCTTGATCCCGCACCACTCCACTTAAATCGTGAAATTGGAGTGTTCCTTATAACAACACTAGCTGACCTGCCCAGGACGTCTGCTGCCGTTTCTGTAGAGGCTTTGAATGCGGTTTTCGATATTTATTCGGATAGTAGCTTCGCATTTGATGAGCCTGTATTTTGGGGGGATGGATTTTACAAGCATCTAGAAGATATTCTGCCGAAAGCTAAGAAGATGGTGAAGAGTATAGACAAGAGGAAGTTCGAGGAACTGCGGGCCCGAGCGAATGACTCGGTGCTCAATTTAACGCGATTCTTGAAGTACAAGAAAACAGAAAAGGAGAGCAAGTCTGGATGAAAGTTGGTGTCATTGCACGAGAATCACTATAGAGGACAGCGTGCGACTGGAGCGGCGGAGCCTGTCTCTTCGATGACATGCAAAGTTGTAGAGTGCGGAAGTATCCGTCGGCGTCCTTGCACAATCTAGCGACAATTTATGGTCTGACAGTTGACGCTGTCTTACCAACGACAAAGAATTGACTATAACATTTACACACTTGTATGCGTATGTTGCGAATGAGGTGAAGACACCGCAATATGGCTGGTTGATGTTGGTTGTGTGCGCAAATCTGTAGATACCAATTTCGATGAGTAGCACAATATATCATCATGCTCACTTCAATATGAAGACTCGTCCGTGTTCCGGTAAAGATTTCTGGGTGTTTTTTTGGTCCATTGAGAACTACCACAACATATATAACAGTCTTCGGTTCATATCACCAATGTTATGGCGGTCTTGACCCCTTCCCGTCAGTACTCGACGGACTGCTCGACCCATTGCTTGCTCCGAATCCAAACATGTCTCCGAAGATCCCGCTGGGCTTAGGTACTGGGCACTCTCTTTTCGATTTCACCAGAGGTCCTACTAGTGTAGACACACCCTCACATACTTCCGTAGTTTCTTGCACAACACTGCTATTCTTCAGTGCCATTTCTTTGTCCTTCCTCCGCTGCCTCCGTCGTCTCCTTGCTCTTAGTTCGTCCGGTGATACATCCTCATCTGCATATGCCACCCTTGGCGCCGGACATGGAAGCGCGTGTGGGAGGGCTACGACAAAGAAACTGGCGAAAAGGGTTGTTGCGAAGAGGGAGGATGTGAGTCGACTTCGTGGATGTAGATGTGGTGGCATGATGGATGGATTTCGTGTGCCCGACAGCCGGGGGAGCAAGTTGGAGCTGGATGGTGTAAGCAAATATCATATAATGAGACTTAGTAGATTGCAACATACAGCTTCAAGTCTCACGAAAGCAATTGACTTGTTCCGCGAATTGATAGGGGACTAATGTGGAGTTGGTTGGACTAGGATTTTTGAAGCTTCATATCTAATGTGGTTAGCGCAGATCATCGCGGCGCGTTTTAATGTATCCCGATTTCCCCAGCCTCGGGCAAGCTTGAGCTTGACCAACATCGAAGCATAAACTTTTTTAGTGAGCGCTTCAGACAGCGACTTCAGATGCCAAGTGAGGAAGTTCAACATCACACTATCTAGAAGCACTGAGTACCGCATTGGATATTCCCTCATATTTTCGCCACTTCCAAACCCGCAGCCCACTGCGTTTCGTCTGCCCCGCGAGTATTCCTGTATGCGCCTACAAATCCTTGGAGCCAACATCGCCCAGTATCCGATCAAATTCCCGTCCGTTCGGTTTTCAGGAGACTCACGAAGAAGTAAACCGGCCTGACGGCTTTCTGGCATTAGAATTGCACTATGAGCGATCTAGATAAGTAGGAGGTTCTGCTCACGCCTTAAAAGTAATATATACTAAGAATTTCCACAGAGCCATCGCCCAGTTACGAGCATGCCGTCCTATACCCGAAGCACAAGTGCGAGAGCTATGTCACAAGGCGAGGGAACTTTTGATTGAGGAAGGCAACGTGGTCACCGTGAAAGCTCCAGTAACGGTGCGCGGTCCTGTGAGGCTGGTCAAAAGAGAAACATGCTTATCAAAGTCTAGATATGTGGAGACATTCATGGACAATTTCACGATTTGATGGAGCTATTCAGAGTCGGTGGGGATGTGCCAGACACAAATTATCTCTTTATGGGTATTTATAAATCCTTCAACAGGCACGTTCGACGCTGACCGGTGCAGGCGATTTCGTCGACCGTGGCTTCTACTCTTTAGAATCTTTTCTTCTCCTTTTATGTCTTAAAGTACGATACCCAGATCGCATGACTCTGATAAGAGGAAATCATGAGTCGCGACAAATCACAACCGTCTATGGCTTTTATGACGAATGTTTAAGGAAGTATGGGAGTGCAAATGTGTGGCGATATTGTTGCGAAGTATTCGACTATCTAGCTTTAGGTGCGATAGTATTAGGTGCAACAACCCAACTCGAACCAAGCAGGCAACCAGTGACGGCCCCTAGCCGCTCATCAACTCAAGAATATCTTGATCCGGACGTCGAAATCGAGGTGCTAGACAGCGGTGGCAGCATTATACAAAGATTCCCGAGGGCAAATAAGCGGGCGGCAAGGGCAAATAGTCCTTCAAAAGACTCGTCGTCGCCTAGCAGCAAGACCGGCCCTCCAGGCACGAGTGCTTCGGGGTGGACTAGAGGAACTACAGGAAGCACCAGTGGAGCCGTACTTTGTGTTCATGGCGGTCTCTCCCCTTTGATCGATACGGTGGATAAGATAAGACTGCTGGACCGTAAGCAAGAGGTTCCTCATGAAGGTGCCATGTGTGATCTTCTCTGGTCAGATCCCGACGAGATTGATGGCTGGGGGCTTTCTCCTAGAGGGGCCGGGTTCCTTTTCGGTGCCGACATTGTAAAGCAATTCAACCACAAGAACGATTTGTCAATGATAGCCCGAGCACATCAATTGGTCATGGAGGGGTTCAAAGAAATGTTCGACAGCAGCATCGTCACAGTATGGTCAGCACCAAATTATTGCTATCGATGTGGCAACGTAGCAGCGATACTGGAACTTGCGGAAGATGGTATGGGCGAGAGCGCACACTCGAGAAGTAATGGAGAGGTAAATCGGAGTAACGGCGGGTTCAAAAAAGAGAATGACCGGACCCTGCTTGCTGGACCAGCGCGAAGATATCGAGTATTCCAGGCCGCGCCGCAAGACTCCAGAGGCATGCCAGCTAAGAAGCCTTCTAGCTTTTATTTCTTGTAGGTCTGCTTCATCTGATCTGAGATGGCAACTAGGAGTCGTGGCTTATAAACGACGGTTAACGAACAATGGGCATGTGGAGTTGTTGGGTGCAAAATTTCCAGTGCATGACGAGCGTGTATGATAAACTAGATATGCAGTAATATCAAATCAGATATGGTTTATTGAGGAAATGTGCCAGTCTCGTAGTGGACACAACATTTGGCAGTCTAAATATGATATTTGTTCTATTAGGTTAAACGAAATATCACATATTTCGTCTACCGTCTCCAGTAAATCTAGGGGTTCAACATTAGCTTTAGATGAGTTGATAATTATAAGTTCTCATTTACTCTCCACCAGTGAGGCAAGAGACACTTATTTTGTAAAGTAGAATAATCTTAGCCGAAGAGGATAATTCGGTTCGGCATCTCAAGCATTAAGAATAAACATTATAAAGTATTAAAACAAGCCCTCATACCAGAAAGAAGCACATGACCGCATCGGTTCAATTCAAACATCACAACTCAAATCCTCATCCTCCCCCCACACCTCCGTCTTCGGTCTGTTAGTCAACTCATACCTCGCCTCCCACATCGCAAACTCCCTATTAATCAAATCCAAATTCCGCTCCAGCCGTTCCGTCTCCTCCTTATTGTACGTCCGCACATCGTCCTGATACTGGCGATACTCAGCACGATACCGCTCGTCATTTCGCAAGCTCTTGTAGTGTCTCTCCTTGCCTCTGCCTTCGTGCTTTTGTTCCTTGGACGTTCCTTTCATGAGCTCGAGTTTCTCGACGCAAGCCTTGAGGTATCCATGTACGGATAGTCCGAAGCGCTCTTGGGCGATTTCTTCTTGCGTTTTGTAGCTCAAGGCGGCGAGAGCGGCGAGACCGAGGGAGGCTTGGTGTTTGCAGTAGGTTTGCATGTCCTCATTTGCTTCAAGTTCCGCAAGTTCTTCCTCGCTTTTGCCTTGCATTGTGCTGCTGGACGACGATTTCCTTTTTTTGAATATGTCCTGATGCAAGTAAGACCCGTCTTCGTTGGCAAGTACATGATTTGTGTATGATTGAATGCTGGGGAAGCCGAGAGAGCGGACAAAAGTCTCATCGTCCATTCCTACAACTTCGGCACGGGCGGTGATGCTATCTTGAATATTGGCGACGGATTGCTTTCGTGCTTCAGATGAAGTTGGTTTGGTATGCTGGGCATGGAGGGATTTCCATATCATATATCGCGTTTCTGTTTCCTCATTGAACTTGTGTTCCTTGACAAACTCACTATGCTCTTGCTCTGTCCATTTGTCCCACTCAATAAACAACTTTAGATCAGATGGTGGAGTATCCTTGTCATATGAGTGTCCAACTTGTCGTTTGGGTGGTGACTTTAGCGGTCTGCCAGCTTGAGTTGCATTGATGGCTTCCTCTAATTCTGCTCCTCGATATCCATCAAAACATAATTTCAGGACAAGCTTTTTGTGAGCATCCTTGTTCTCAAACTTCCCTTCCTTTTTTCCAGCAGTCTTGGCCAAGTCTCCTTCCTTACGATTCTCGTCATCTTGGTCCTTGCGTGAGACCTTTAATATCGCGTTCTCCTCACTGGCTCTCGTCGCAGCTGCTTCGTTGTCAGCTTTTTCCAACCTTTCTCTCTCAAGTCTAGCCAGTTCACTTCTAACCTTTCCTGTTTTCTCTGTTCGCGCTCTTTTTTTCGCAATTTGCTTCATCCTGCTCGTTTCGGCTCCCGCCACTTTATTATCGTATTCGAAATTGAGCATTTGTGCTTCAGCAGCCTTGACAGCACTCCCGTCACTCTGAGCCTGAATTCCTAGATTTCCAACGAGTTTCCGATTTTGACTTGCCCCAAGCCGGTCTCGTTTACTGTCCTGGACTTTTTGTGTTTTAAGAACCGACACTCTGGTCTTAGCATCAATGGCGGACAAGTTCGGATCTTTCCGTCGCAGTTCCTCAACTTGAATTTCTAGTTCCCTGGCTTTCTGCATTGCTTGTCTCTGCTCCGCCGCTCGTGCGACTTTGACCTTAAGAGCAATTGCTAAAAGTGCATCGTCTTGCAAAGATCTTTGACGTGCGACTTTAGGATCTATTGTTCTGAATTTGGCAGGCCGCCCGCCATCATCGTTAACTCCTCGCTTTCTTTTACCTTTAATTCCCTCGGCAGCTTGTGACGCCTCTTGTTCCCGCGCAAAGATAGATGCATGTTCTTTGTCAACAAGCGGCTTTCTTGACTTTGATAGCTTAATTTGTGCTTTGAAAATGGCTTCCTTCTCAGATTTCCATTGGTTGTTGACATCTTGATTACGAACTCGTGCCTGAGCTACAAAGTCAGAGATAGGCTGGGGACCTGTCCAGAAGCTTTCGACAGAGGGCTCGATGATTGGTTGGTTTGTTACCGCCTCAGCAGCTTTTTCCAGCAGTGGATTCTCCAAAGATATATAGCGGAGCTCATCTTCTGGGCTTTTGAACTGCACCGGTATATGAATCAATTGGGGTTGACTAGCGGATTTTGATGGCTCGGTGTCAGAATCCCAATGACCGCTTGGCAAATCAGGAGCAGCTACCTCGTAATCAAGATTCGGGGGTAAGTTGCCTTCATGATTAGCATCTTCACTCGGAACCAGGGATGACAAACGTACCAACAGTAGTCCTGACGGCAGGATTGATCGGTCCTTGGCCTCTGTCTTCATACTGCCTATAGCTGTTCCACTCTTCGTCGTCGTCCTCTCCTTCGCCACCAGCCTCCTCTCTTCTCATTCGATCGATAATTCGGTCGTCCCAAACCTCACCAGCGCTCTTTCCTACGTCTTTCCATTCTCGTCTCTGCCTCAGGATCTCCCATCCAGTACTTGTCTGAGCAGCTCGCCCACCATCACCCCAGTTCCTCCCATTTTCACCCCACCAAAAACACACCTGTCCTCCAGGACATTGTATGACCGCCAATGCTGGCATTGGTCCGGCCACCTCACCGAGTGCAATCTTTTGCCCGTTCACCACCACCTCGCCTCCCATCGTATTGGTCAAAAAATAGCCATGTTCGCCTAGTCTATCTCTCATCCGGTGCTCCAAATAATGCAAGTCATCATATGGCAGAATTTCAGAATCCTCGTGCCCGGGCAGAGGATACGATCTAGGAGGCACATCGCGTAGATATTCTTGTTCTGGCGTCACATACCATGGGTCATCCTCATCCATTACACGATAGATTCGCTTCGGATTATTATAAGATATATTGACTAATTCTTCGTTGGATTTAGTTACCGCAGGTGGCTCGAGGGCGGTGAGAAGGGGTAGACCTGAGAATTATTAACGTCATACTTCCAATAACTGGGGCAAAGAGGGTTTACAGTGTATTCTTAGAGGAAAGATGTTTCGCTGGAATTGCTTAACCGGTGCAGATGGGTGAATCAATGCCATACGATTGGTATGATGATCCTGCGCTTCGTCGGTGTGATTTAACATAGGAATATTGAATATGGTCCCTGTAACACCGTCCCAAATTTTGCGTCTTATATATCGGTAGTCTTTGGTACGAAGGTATTTATACATGTATCTCAAGCACTGTTCGTAGATTAGCGACAATCCAATTTCAAGTATTCTTTCATCGCGCTGCAGCATATGTATGCCATCTTCTAAGTCGTAGAAGCAGACTTACAGGAAACGGTCCACCTCCACAATCCACACCTCCATCGACCTCGAGCTTACCTGCCACCCGCACGCTGTCACTTCCGGCAAGATTGGATCCTTTCGTCTTCGCTCTCTTAACTTCATTCCACCAATCATCAAACTCCATGACATCGTCGGTTCCTTCTGCCCAAACTCTGCCAGGTCGCCAGACTGTATTAGCAATCTTGTCCTCTATTCCATCTCCATCATACTCTGCCCTAGACTTCAGAGCAACCAGACCTGCACTGTTGCCTGCTTCATCGTGTCCAGTGTTACTCCACCAGATATCGAGTGTTTCGTCCTCCACGTGTTCAACACCATCCGCCATGATGATCCTCTGTTTCTTCTGGCCTGTGATGGCATCCAGTTCTTTAAGGTTATCAACAAGCTCCCAATACCGTTCGCGCAGTTCCTGTTTCTGAACAAGTTCTTTGCGCAACGATTTCACCTCGGGCGGGACATTGAAAAAGTGTCCCCTCACCCACTTTTTCCCCCTTCCGGCAGGAGGTGGATCGTCACCGAGGTAGTAATCGTGCACTCTGAGCGGTGCGCCGATATCCAGCTGCTTGTTTCCACCTTCTTTCCTATTGACTTTACTTCTCTCAAGTGTTCTCCTCGCTAAATCTTTTTGAATCCAACTAGGATTGGCACGGCCTGGGATGTAAAAGTTGTTCCATAGGTCCCAAGCTCGCTTCCATGCTTTCCATACTTCCGGCCCGTCTCCATCTTGCCATTTCTGGCAGGTAGATTTAATGAGTTGTAACTGATGTGGAGTGATATTGTCTGCAAGAGGGGATGGGATGATAGGGTTGTTAGGGATCGAAAGAATGGTTATTGTCCCCTTTTCAGCGCCGCGATGACGGACTACAGGGAAAACATTCAGGTCTTTTACGTTCCATAGGGCCTTTGGGGCAGGGCCTAGATGGGTTTCGGTTGAAGCCATATCATGTAATATGTGGTTGGACGCACTGGATGCTGATTTGTTAGGAGTCCCAGTCCAGGTTATTCCATAAAAGATCTCGCAATTTGAGGATAGTCGCGGTGTTGACATGAGAGAGGCGGCATCTCCAGGAATGACGATGTCCGAGAAGGGATAGATAGTCGAATTCTTGATTTAGCGGTTCGGAATGTAATTAGAGAGAGCCTATTCCAATAGACTCGCGACAGTTAGAAACATTATATACTGCACATCTAATACTTATTAATGCAGAAGATTCAAAGCGGCTAGACCCGTTCAACAATACTTAAGATTATGAATGGCCAGAATATCGATCCATTACCTCGAACACAATCTGATTGTCAACGTCACAATCCATGCCTGGCAAGCATCCTAAATCCGCTCGAACACTGGCAGAATCAGCACCAGCACCAGCCATTACTGTAATCATATCTGCAGCATATGAACAGTTGTTGAGGTTCAAATTGTTGTTCATCGCTGGCACGTATATTGAAGTTTCTTGCCGCCCACTTTGCATTTGTAAATAGTTCTCCCCTGATGAAATGACCGGGAAATTGCTGTAACTTGGGGTCGGTGGGAAATGTTGAGGACTGAGATCAGGCGTTTGCGTATTTGATGGCGAAGGCATCATGTTAGCAACTAGATTACGAGGTACTTGCTGTACGTATGGAGCGGTCCGAGGCTGACTGCGTGGAAGGTTTGGTTGACTAGTGTCTTCCGGATTGCCTGTACAATCTGCCGTACTTGGTCGTGCAACAGATCTCGATCTTTCAGAAGGAATGATTGGGTTGGTAGATTGTGGTACAGATTCAGGGCGCGTCGTAGTATTCCACGGCGATCTTGTCGCACTTGAACTGCTTTCCCCTCTCTTATGCCTTGCTATGTTGGCTTCAGTCGTAGAAATAGACATATTCGTGCAGCATTTCCTTCGCATATTCAAAGATTGCTCCAACGCCTGGACTGAGTTGCCTGTAATGGAGCCGTGCTGATTACAATCCATCCCGCTCGCAATAGGTGTAGTCGTAAGAAATAGCTCGATACTGTCACTATCAATCCCATTATGTGCCAGCATTGCCCGAAGCTTCTTGTTCTCGTCTGCAACCTTTCTTGCGGCCGTCTGGATTTCGGCAGAGGCTTCAACTCCTTGAAGTTCGCATTGTCGCAAGCTGTTCTCCAGCTCTTGAAGATATTCTTTCCGCCGAGCTCTGGACCTCCTTTGATTATCGCGTATCCGTGCTAGATTTGCTTTCTCCTTGTACAACATGTCAGAGGGGCGTTTGCTTTCGCAATGTTGGAACCTGGGAGGAGGGCAAAAGACATGGCTGGTCCAAACTTACAGCGGCAGTTGACATGATCAATAGTAAGCTGATTCTAGCCCGTTGGCTGGCGATATTTAGGAACGTGGCAAGACAATCGAATTTGTATGAACGAGGCAGAGAGCGAGATCAGAATATGTCCAAGGATCGTTGGATTTGAAGGCTAAGCTAGTCGTAGTATGGACCCGCTCTGAATGGGGCGGAATCTGAAGGACATATACAAATTAATATGGAATTGAGTTACATTGCCAGATTGGAGAAGATTTGATCCCTTTATATGTTTAACTATTTTTTGAGGAGTAGTCGACCACAGCCGTATGGGATTTTCCCGGTCCCTCCCCTCGTCGACCATCCATGCACAAGTCAACAAAGGCGGTGGGGTTTTCCCGTCTAGATGCATGTAATGTTACCTTGGTATCAGAAGCTTAAGATCTCTAGAAAATGAGCCGCGTTGCCATTAAGTTTGTGAAGGCCCTTTTCCTCCCTTTGATTAAGCTGCGTATCACGAGGCAGGAAAAATCAAGTGGACAGAGTGCCGATCTAGATGTAACTTAGGTGAGAATGGTCGGCGCTCCCTCGCCACAAGCTACCTAGGTAGCGGACAATAACTTAGGAAGTGGTTCTATCCAGGTGGGAACGAGATTGTGTCTCAGAAAGTCTAACCTGAAGTGTTTTATCAAGCACGTCGCCTCTCAAATGAAATGGCCATAAATCAAGCTGATGGTATGTTATGGATTACGAGGTTAATCGTAAAAAGCCCTTACATACAGACTTCGACATGCAACAAAAGAGTTGTTGGATAAATGAGGTAAGGGTTCCTCAATTGCATTCTCGCTCAGGAATGAACCTTCATTCCCTTCTCCTCCACTTCTGTAGGTGAGTTGACAATCCTTTCTTCGGAATTTCAAGCATCACGTTTGCTTCTGATTAACTGCTTCTCATCTGTTGCTGGGTAAATGAAGCTATGGACCGAATTCCAGGAGGTCAGCTTCTCGAATTTCTAAGACCTAACAGGACTGCCGCGGAGGTGGAAATGGATGACGAGCCAGTAGAAGATCTTTTCCCTCCAGGCATATTCGAACCTCCACAGGATGAAAATGAGATGTTCGAATACTCTGACGAGAACGAGAGCTATGATGATGGTTATGGTCGGCGTCCATTAGTAGAAGCTCCCAAACCACCACCATTCCCGGCCAACTACATACCAGCAACACCATTCAGCACGCCGTATCGTAGCATCTTCACACTGAATACGACACCGGAGCATGCGCCGAATCTCCTGAAATTAATATCCCACGCACCATGTTCGTACACTTCGACAGCAGGCATCGCTCCCAGCATGTTACAGCTCAAACAACACGCCCACAGCTTGGTAGCACTCATAAAGAATATCAGTGTATCAAGTCGAGGAGGAGTTATTGACAATGTCAACTCTGGCGAACCCAATCTTGAGCCTCTCCAGTTTATCGACGGAGAAACATTCGATTTCCTAAATGATCTCTCCACTCCTTACACCGGCCCGAAAGACCCAGCTTCCAAAGTACACCATGAGATGCCGCTTACAGCACTTCTCAATGTCCTAGAGGAGCACAATATTCCTCTCGAAGGACAGGAGCCGAGACCAACATACAAAGTTCGAAACATCTGCCCGTTACACCATGTAGAAGATCACCCTCATCCACCGACTTCCCAGCCTCTACCATACGCTACACATCAAGCACTCATCTCGCACGCCAATGAGATTCTTGAGTTGCTGGATCATGAATACATGGCCAAAGGGGGCTTGCTTGCTGTATTGCCGCTCAAAGAAGATAAGGAAGAGCGTGAAAAGACAGGTTCAACACTTTTGGGACAGCTCATGCTCTATGTTAATCGTTTGGTCCAACGCCTGCATGATCTTGAGCGTCTTTATGCAAATTCAATGGACGTTTTGGCAGGAGAAGCGGCGATCCCAGCACAGACACTATCTGCTTTAGGACCAAGTGGACGAAGGGGTCGCGAAATCGTCTATCCGCAAGACAGATTCGTGTTAGTAAACAGCGGGGAGGATGTCTGGAATCATCTTGATACGGAGTTCTCTCGACGCGAGAGAGTCGAGGAGAGAGTAATGGAACAATACAAAGAACTCGGCTTGACAGGCGAGAAGCTCTGGGAGAACGATGGAGAAAAGGAGATGAGTCGCGGTATCACCGCACTTGATGTCACAACGCGCTACTTTCGACTTCGGAACGATCCTCTGAAAACCATCTTCATCATCCCAGCATGGCAGCAACATCCAGGCACCAAAGTGACACGCGATTTGGAAGCCGTGCCAACCGTAGTCTCAGTTGTGAAACCCGTCTGGCCTGAAAGAGCTAGTATGTATGAGCAAAAGCATCGTCAAGAAATCGAGGACTACAAACGCTTGAAAGGAGAATTTTACAGTCTTCGAAATAAAGTAAAGATTCTTTCCCAGTCAAACACGGTTCTAGAGTCCCAATTCGAGCTCAAGAATGGAGAAATCAGAACTCTCAAGAAGAAAATAGAAGAGCTGAAAGCAATTACCGATGGCGACGAAAGCGATCTCGCGAAGTCGAAGGCAGAACAGATCCAAGCCCTTGGTCTTCTTCATGCAAAGAAAGAAGACGCAGATCGCGCTCTGCAGGAATCCGAAGCCCTCCGTACAGAAGCAGTAGAGGAAAAGAGGAAAGCTGTTATTGAGCGCGAGAAAGCTGAGCAAATCAACCGCGAGGAATCTTTGGCCTACTCCAGACGCCGTGCGGCATTGGAAGAAGAGTTCTCCAAGAAGCTCCAGGCTCTCCAACAACGCGATATCGAAAATGGCGAAGCAGCAGTGGAACTTGATAAGAAGGTCAAAGCCAGATGGCGAAAGCAGATTGTAGAAACGCAGATCGTTTTCGAGGAATTGAAAGCAAAGCAGATTGAAATTGGGAAGGGGAAGATTGGGGATCAGAGCGTGAAGTTAGGTACTACCAGGGGTACGAAAATTGCTGTGGAAGAGGGGTTGTTGAACACAATGGTCCCTAGAGAGGATAGCGTAGAGATCAGATTTCCCGGGGATGGCCAGAGCCTGATGGATTCTGATGATTGGAGTAGTAATGTGGTCTATGGCGACATGAGTAGCGTGCAATCGTTGGATTTCTCGAGTATTGTTGGAAGTGAATAGATCCATGAACAGCAGAGAATAATAATTTAGAAAATGGTAGATGACAGTGTTCTTGCCGAGTATGTATTAGTGCTAAAGACGTAATTTCGAAGGACATTCAGAATTCAGAATTAGCATATGAATTGATATTGAATCACGGCCTACAAACATGGTCATATCGTCAATTGAGGCTAGCATTAGTATCAGTGGGCTTGACTATAGAAATTTCGGGTCCTATGTATAACACACCCGTGGGTTGGAAGCTATGTTCCTTGGAATAATACGCCCAATTGCCATTTGCCATAGGCCATAGAAATCCGTGTTGCGCCTGAATGACGCCCAGATCAAAAGCCCCGAAGCAGGTAATATTACGACTTTAACCAATAGGTTTAGCCTTCTTTTTCTTCTTCTTCTCTCCACCTTTTTGGAAATCTCTCCAACTCCCAATCCTCTGTTCCCTCGTAGCTTCCCAATCATGTTCATGATCTCTTTTTCTCTTTCTAGCTTCAAGCTCGTCGTCAGCCTTCTTCTGTTCCCGGCCCTCTTCCTGCATTTGCGCCTTAACCTGTCTACGTCGCCTATGTTCATTATCGATCAAGACCAGCTTCGTTTTCTCCCGCCAATCCTTTGCGAACTGCTGCGTTTTCAATTCCTCGCTGTCAACGGTCCATTTGTTCTCTCTGATCAGCAACATACGCGCATCGGCTATAGCCTCATCCAAGCGTTCACGGTGCTTCTCGTCCATCAATTCCGTCTGCGCCTTCTTCAGCCGGTCAAAGGCATCTGGGGCCTGAGGGTTTTTGGTCTTGTCCGGATGGATCAAAAGGGATTTAACACGGTAGCATCTCTTAATGTCTGATTCTGGCACACCGGGTTGGAGGTCAAGCACTGCATAGCTGTAGAAATGTCAGCTTGATGGCGCGAGGCCCGAGATAAGGAATATACATACGCATCAAGACGAAAAGCTTTCAGAATGCGATCAATTTCAGCGTCCTACATATTGTATTTGTGTCAGATCTATGGCCATGGAACAGCCAGGTCAACGAGGGGAAGGGTACCTTTGTGAATTCTTTCTCTTCGGTTTCAAGAGCTTCAAGTGCATCGAGATCATCGTCAGTTTTTGGGACTGGAACAGTCATGGCTCACCAAATGATGCCACTGGGGACCTTCGTCTCCAGATTTACTCCGTACAGTAATTGTGGTGTACTATTAAAATGCTGTTGAATGATGGTCAACCCCCGCCGGCTTCAACCTCTCGCAGTCACCATAACCTGAGCCCCAAAAAGGAATGATATCACGTGATGGGGCGTGCCTGTAGTAAATAAATTGCGTGAGCACCACGACCCTCGAGCAGTCGCAAAATTCAATGACCACGGAGCTTTGACTCGAAGAATGCGTTTTGTAAATCCATGTTTTTGAATAAGAGACTAGACTTAATATCTCATTATGATCAATATTACTCTCCTTGTACAACAAGAAAACCTATGATGGTGTTTCTTCCAAGTCTTCTTCTGGTTAATCATGATAGTATGGTCATCTTCATTGCACCAGTGTTGGGTCGAGATAAAGGGGAATGGTCAAATACATCATTACTCTTGTCGCCAGATATGAAACCTCTTGTCTACACTCTCGTGTTTGTCTCATCCTCACCTTCATTTGCCTGGCACGTAAGAGATGCTTTTCCAAAAAGATCATGAACAAGACCGCGTGATTCTCCGTCTACCATCATGATCTGAGGTACAAGAAGCGGCTCCATTTTTTCAAATTATGTTTGTCAGGTACGAAAAGTTGGAACTGCTCCGGCACCTCACTAAGTAGATCTTCTGCCCTCACTTTAGAACCATATGGAATGTAGTATAACTCCGGTTTGGAGTAACCCGGTAATAGCTCAGCTAGCAGATTGAAAACAGTCCAGAAGAGCGACTGAAGCTGCAGGTCTGGTCTTGCATCACGCATTCCTCTACGTCGTAGTGTGTGCTTCATATCTTGTGTAGGCACCAAGAACACTCTTTTCATACTTCTCATTTGAAGAAGAGCTGTGGCTGCTGAATCTGCCGGCGGGTGAATTAATCCGTCAGCCCAATTTATTAAGTCTCGATAGATTGCTTGGGCTTGGAAATAGTCAGTTGCAACCAATATCAGACGCTGAATATGATGGAGACCTTTGGTATTGATATAACAGTCGACCCATGGCTTCCAAACTCCACTTTCGTCATCGTTCACGAGATTACCATTCGGAGAGAAACGTGTAAGAAAAGTATTCACAGCTGGACGGGCGGCATGGGGAAGTCGGTTGTGAAAATGGTTACTTAGAGGAATGAAAAGCTCGACCGCTTTGCGCAGACGTAGAACTTCATCCCGACTCTCCCAATTTACGAATTGAAGGGTAACTGTTGGGCAACTCTCTAAGGAGTTCCTAAGATCTAGAATTTGTGGCTTTTTGAACACCACCCAATCCCATATCATCCATCGTATATCCTCGGGGAAGTTTTGAAAATTATGGAAAGTATAGTGCGGTTGCCAGAATGCTTCTATGTTTGGGTCGGGAAGCTCGTTAGAGAAGCATGACATGCGCTCTTCCGCTTGTCTTGTGGCGACTAGGATCATCCTTTGACTCGGCGATCTATCTAGTAATAATACCCTTCCGAGGTCAGGAAGATGGAGCTTGAAGTTTGCTATGTTTTCTGTCATCTGCCATTCTCCGTGTTCTTTCGAGTGGCGTTCAGGGCCTTAAAATCTGCGACCATCTCCTGGAAATAGCTCGAAACCAAAGTCAGGGAGTAGTTACAGGAGCTCCAGTCTCCCAAACACTGAGCGGATCTTTTGCAACTTCATATATGGGATGCTCAATCCCCAGTCTGGGTCTGGTAGAACTCTCAGGTAAAACAGGTTATCGTAATTCATGTTTTCTGTAATGGCACCTGAGGACTCCAGTCTGCTGAAGGGGGAGGAGATGATGGCGATTGGTCAGGATGCGGAAGTACGTATGGCTCCTCAATGACTAATGATTAATGGTTAATTATGAACAATCAAGATTATTTATTTTGTGAATAACCAGTTATTATACTCTTGGCTCGATGAGATCATTCATGAACAAGGGTTCTTGTACAGATAACACAATGAGAAGTCTGCCTTGTTATCACCCGAGTATTAAATTGTTCAGACATATTCGTTTACTCTCTAATTTTCTACTAAATTTTATACAGTAGTTGCATGGTGCTGACTTGACATTACTTGGTTTGCAATCAGATGTTCACTAGAAAACAACTTCAGCACAATTAATTCTTGTATAGTTGAAAATAAAGTGAAAGGCTGAAATGGAGGCTTTCAATATTGGGATTAGAAAAGTTTGCGGTGCTTTAGTTTGGTGGGGGGCCATCATCTTGTGATTTTGTCCCCTTTTCAGATAAGCGAGCCTGCCATATTGATTTCTATTTCATAATATGTACTTCAAGATGTTGAGTGGTTTAGAGGTGAAAGAATAAGACGATGTTGAAGGACAGTATTTCTCGATTGTTCTCTGTTCTTGCTCTTTGTCAAAATATTGTACATTTCTTAGATGATAAACAAGATGTTTTCAAGTTAGTAACAACATAAAACAAGATCTCTACTTACAAGCTTAACAAGACTGTAGAAGCTGGAAGATGAACAACGTCAGGCTAAGTATAAAATTCATAATATGATTCAGCATAGTGAACACACGTGCAGAAACATCAGAACAGTCACTCTACTCTATCTTGATCGTCAATTTTCCAAAATGCTTTTGGTCCCACATATATTGGTACGCCCTACAAATAGTCAGTAAGATAAATATCATAAAATAAGATAAAAACAAGCGCTGAGAGAAACTCACTCTTTAGCTTCCTCCAATGTGAACACCTTTTCATCGACAACCGGCTTGATTTTATTCCCCTCAATGGCACGGTTCTATATCAGTGTTAATTACGTTGCTTAGTGACAGGTTGAAAGATGGGTACGCACCATATCCTCAAATTGAACTCTGTTGCCAACTAGCACACCTCTAATAGTGCAGATATGGTTCAAAGCATCCAAAAAGCTTGGTTGCTTCTCACTCTTGACACCACCCAAGAATCCAATGATGGAGATCACACCGTCGATCTTGATAGCATCCAAACTTTGTTTCATGGTAGTTGGCCCTCCTACCTCAAGGATATGGTCAACGCCTTCTTTACCAGGCGTCAAATCTTTGGCCTTGGCACCCCATTCTGGATCATCTTTGTAATTGAGTACGTGATCGGCTCCAAGCTTTTTCAAAGTTTCCGCCTTCTTCGCGGACGACGTTGTCGAGATAACAACAGCGCCAGCGGCTTTAGCAAATTGCAGGGCGAAGATACTAACACCTCCTGTGCCCTGAGTAAGAACCACTTGTCCTGGCTGCAGTGGCTTCAATCCATAAAGACTGTTCCAAGCAGTCAAAGCAGCACATGAGAGAGTACTAGCTTCCAGCCAGTTGAGGGACGGTGGCATGTGAACAAGTCCATTCTCGTTGAAAGCGCCATATTGTCTGAGAGTACCATCAACAACACCACCTACTCCAGAAGTAACTGTCAAGGGGTCAAGGGAACCGCCTAGATGGCCTTGGTTGAAAAGTGTCAAAACTTTAGCGCCTTTCTCAAAGCGGCTGACTTTCGAGCCCACAGCGACGACTTCTCCAGCTCCATCAGAACAAGGTACAACCCCATCCTTTTGTGCAAATGGGTACATTCCTACCTTGTGTCAGCATAATGCTCATCTCGCGTCTCGATTGTTGGGTTTAAGAAATCTCCGACCATCACCCCACATTGGGAATCGTCAAATACTGGTATTTTCGGCAGTTTGAAAATTACTAGTACTTGCCTTTTGGAATGATCAAATCGCGATAGTTTAGTGAAGCAGCGTGAAATTTCACCAAGACTTCATAATCCGATATTTCTGGAATGGGCGTATCCTTGCTGAACTTGAGGCTCTCGAAGCCATCTGAACCTTGGACGGTCCACGATTTGGTTGTTTTAGGAACCGAAGTAGAAGACATTTCGAATTGGTGTTATGTTTATGAGAAGTGCTGAGTCGATACAAGTAACGGTCAAAGAAATCAAATCGATTGATGCTTGTAAAGAAAATCTACTTCATAGATATGGAGGTTGTGGAGTGCTGGTGTAGTTTCTAGAATATTAGCTTTCAGTGACGCAATCCCCACTTTACCTCTTCAGCAACCACCTGGTGCAGCGGCAGCTTCTGTCGCTCGAAAGAGACATCCTTTGGTCCTGCTTGGATGTTACCAATTATTGGCGGATTACCAATACGTTACACAGCTTAGTAGCTTAGCTAGGTATATAAGAAGATGTCATAAACACCGAAAGTTGATGACGACAATGGAAATCTCAATCGGGGATAAGCTGAAAGATAATCTCGAGGGGACATTATCAGAAACATCTTGAACTCTTGTAGTTTCCATTGAAATGTAACAAAATATAAACGAAGTGATTTCTACAATTGTTAGCATATAACTGCACGACGATGACAATGGTGAAAGTTTCCCGTGTTGTATAGACTCACGTGATCAGCCCTTCCAAACTGGGTATGCTCAATATACTTCGAAGTACTTGTAAGCGAAAGCCAATTCTTATTCAATTGAGTTGCCATAATGTTTTATGTTTCCGGTTTGCATCTGCGCAAGCAAGATGTTTCTACTCTCTATATTGATTCCTGCTTAGATCATAAGTATCTACAGCTTAGCCCCAGCGTGATAGGGGTCACCTAGACACGTTACGAACACTTATTGTCTCTGCAGCGAGTCGACCTCATACAACAATATTCCTACTATCAAAAGTACCAATGATCAGAATGAATTTGATTTTGAAATGTCATTAGTTTGCATAACCTTGCTTGTCTCGAAACGTGACGACTTCTCAGATTCTACCCCTCGGCAGTTGTCAAAACCTTTCAACCCTGAACATCAGGAACACTCGACCAACACCAACCCAACCCGACACGAGAGACGAGGTGTGATCCGGAGCGACATTGCGAGTCCCGGCTCTGGGAAGTTGATAGAACAAAATTATTGCTTGCTCCTCAGTTTCGAATTCACTTCCATGCATTATCACTGCTGTTATTGTTATTGTTGTTGTTTTTATTTGTGTTGTCTCTACCAAGTTACGAGTTCAAAGTCGAGCGTCAATCCATGCCAGGTCTCGACTCTCAACAAGGCCGAAGCTTCTCATCTCATCTATTATCACATTGACTGCCGAGTGGCGCACATATGTTGTAGTCATTGCTGGCATCGTATGCATGTTCTTTTTGCCCAGTGGCTCCGGTGTCTTAATATCCACGGCCACGTGCATATCTGTCGAGGTAGTTACCCCGATGAGTTATGTCTTCTGTTTGTTATCTTTTCTCGGAAGCATGTGATCTATTTTCCAAATCGCCTCTAGATATTTCATCTATACAAGCTCTGATTTCGCGCTCTGGTTCACTATCCTAAGACCAGGTTTGAACGGCAAGGGACTCCTCCAGACCACGGAGTATTAAGTGGTATCGGATTGGAAGCCGTCAAGTTCATGACCTGTCAGGTTACCCCTCCTGCAGTCAACTCCAATCCAACTGTCGCAGGCTGACATTCCCAGTAACATTTGTTAATGCTTTGAGACTCGAGAGTTGGATGCCAGGCTACTGCTCAACAATCGAACCCCCGCGAAAGAAACACGTGTCAATCAACACCGTCATTTGTTGCTATTATTCTGGGATGCGCTATATGCTCTGAATGCGTGTAAGAACAGAGAAGAAATCCCAGAGCCAATTTGGCGAATGAAACTGGTTTCTGGCATCAAAATACTTCCTACGATTGAAAAACATCCCACAGTTGCATTTTCTACGGTAGTGGAACGTTGTAACGCGGATATCTGAAGGCAACAAGAATAATGTTCGATGTTGACACTTTGATACTTGTTCCACTTCTGTTGATAGTGATGGCAGTAAACGAGCTGAAGTCTAGAAATAGGATCCTGATATGTTGTGTTCTGTTTAGACTCTTTCCTGCTTATCGTGGCACAGCAAGTAAACCGGTGGATGATCATTTGTGGTACGTTTTGAATCTTAGCATGTTGCCCGTTTCTCGAAAGCGCCTTCAGATCCCATCGGAGATCCCCCCAGAAAGGTAGACGTTGGACTGAAGTACCGCGACCTTCTATCTTTTCATAGGCCTTTCACCGATAAGCGTGCCTCGCTGCAAGTTCGAGGCTCAGGGACGACAAGGTAGTGGCGCAAGGCGCCGCAACGGAACATGAAATGGCGTCTTCGGTACTTGCTGCGGGGCATTCTGCTCGGAAGCTGGACCCCATTTCGTCCTCAGGATCAAAGTGAGTGCAGCAAGCATTTGTGAAAATTGGACAGTCGGGAAATAACATTGAGGAATCGATGATCTACGAATTTGAATGGCGCATTTCATAATGCAATCCCATGAAGAAAAGAATCGGACAGCGTACTTGCTTTTGTGGTATGCAGTATCAGGCAGGACAGACCTAAAAAGAATGGATTTTGCGAAAACACCACGAGAAACCATGTAGAATTCGGCGTCCTTGAGTTCTAGAAGTCGGGAAGCTAGTGCTTCACGTGTCTTATTATTGGAAGCCAGTATTTACATTTTTTGGAAGGATCTCATTCTGCAAGAGCAGTCCTCGAGCTTTGGCAAGCTATCGATTCCAAGGTGTCACCGCCTCAAAAACTGCGGACTCTGCATTCGATCCGAATTCAGCTCACCTGTGCAGTCGACCTGCCCTGGAAACCCCGTACCTTTGCAGCGCAACGAGTAACACAACCCCTTATCGGGTGTCCGCTGCTCCCACAGCACGCCAAAAAATTTCAATTGCATCAAATGCAGCAATCACTTACTGGAACATGGAATAGATAAGAGACTATTTGGCTTGACCTGTATCCGCATTTCCACACTGTGGAATGGACAACGTGAGCTTACCAAATATACAACTAACATTTCTGCAAGCCAGTTACACTTTATGGCTTTCAAACTAGGCAACAAAACAAGACGTATCTCAGACTTCAAAAATTCACCGAAATATCTGCTTGGGACTGACTGGCCGAAATTGTTTTCAATCTATTGTTCGTCATGCCGCTCCACCGAACCATTCTTTGCGTTGTAATAGCTATTAAGGTCAGGTTTTGGACTGTCAAGTTGATTTCGCCAGCAGGAACCGATCACCTGAGGTACACTCGTCGTCTAACGATGTTCATAAACATTAAACTGCACGGCAGGTCGGGAGTGTTTCTCCACGATATGCCCAAAAATTGCAATCCGTCATTTACTATGCTGGTCTCTGGGGAAGCCTGTCTACTTGCTGTTCAAACACTGATTCGGCCATGACATGAGTAAATATGCAGCTTTAAATTTCCAGGAACGCCAGTATCAGATTGAATTCGCTTTTGAAGTCACATTTTCGGGCATCATAAGCATAATTTCACAGTAACACGGCTCCACCCCTCTGGCACGTTATATTGCATCTCCTATTCGGTTTACGAGAGATGCATGAGAGGGGGCCGAAGTGCCTACTAGCGATCATTGCCGTCAAGAAGCTCTCCCTGAAAGATTTGCCCTACCACCTGACAGCCGAATGAGGCCCTGTCACCCCGCAAAACATTGGAATTGTCCAACCACTTGCGAGTTGCAACCAGTCGTCGAAGGGGCTTATGGCTGTTTGGGCGTTTCACGATGATCTCCTCGACGTCTTTCTCGAAGATCCAAACCCTTCCATCACATCGTTGCAGTTCCTGGCAGGGCACGTCCGACCTCCACAATCCGCTACTGCACCTCGATAGTAGTTTCATCTCCACGCTCTTAAAATGGGATTGTATTGCAGCGGAGGGTTGCGGAGAAGGCTGGCACTGGAGAGCAGAGATCCGGGGTAACAGGGAACAAGACACATTTTTTTCAACTCTCGTGCGCGATGTGCAGAGCGGCGACAACCCAGAATTAATTTAGTCGTCAAAAGAGCTGTGATGATGGATTTACTGGTGGAGCGCTGACGGTCACGAAGTAGCCTCTCATCAAACGGATCACCACAATGACTGGTTGTCGGTTGGGGCCGCTTAACGTCGACCTGGATCTCGATTGGTCTCGACGGTAAGCATCTTGGAGGAAGATCGGACCGTTTACTTGTCTTGACAGCTGTGGCGCGGGAACACCCCAGACACTCTCCAGAAGCATCATCGGATTCCTTGAGGCTTTGGTGAGCGGACGCCGGAGTTGCTGCACGACACATGTGTTATGATGGCGTAGGTACGATAGTGATCAGACAGCTGAGGGAGCAGAGGGTGTGATGCGAGGCTCTCTCGATCTTCCTTCCTCCGGACGCGAGGAAGCGACAGGAAGGGTCAAAGGAGTTTTGTACGAAAGACGAAAATACACGATTTCGCTTCTCCTCGACTTGGCCGATGGTCACGCTTATTAAAGGGGGGCCACGCTTGAGAGGCTCGTATGATTGGCGCAGTAAATGTTTAATTCGATTACACCATCAAGTCAAGGACAAGTCTAATCGAGCAAATGCCGCGGTGCGCCGCCTCTCGTGGTCTAGAGGGGAAAACGTGGAACCGCTACTCCCACTCGAAGCAGTCGGCATGTGCTTGTTAGGCCAAGCTCCGCAAGCCTAACGCGTTGCTCACTGGTGCAGGCCGACGGTGCTGGTGCTTTGAACTGTTCTGATTTCCTGGGAGAGAAAGAGACTCTCAGGGACACACTTGCAGCGTAGCTCACGGTGCTTGAGGCTGGCTTGTGGTGGTCGACTCGCAAAGCTTGATATCGGTCATATCGGTTCGTGTGCAAGGCTTCGCTTGCGCAACCGCACCAGACAGAAAGGCTTCCACAAACGAGTTGACAGCGCCGAGATCCAAGCAGGACAGACAGGCCCGCGATCGAGCTTGACATGGAGAACTGCCTCATGAGGACTAGTCGCTGGTGGATGTGGGTGGTTGTGGGCGAGGGTACGCTGTATCCGCCACCCACGGTCATTATTCAGGATCGATTCTGGAGCAGCAGGCCCGTCACCCATCGGTGATTGGGCAGGAAAGACGCAAATCTCGACTCCGACTCGATAAGACTCGAAGAGTCGCATTGCCGAAAGGGCAAGGACCGGCGGCGTCGTCAGGTCGAGAAGGTGTCACTGTCGTTGAGGGAAGCAGGAGATGCTGAGATGCTGAGATGCTGAGCTGAGATACTCGAGCCCAGGCGAGGAACCAGGTGAGGAACCAGAACCAGAGCAGGAGCAGGTAGAGGTACTTCACCAGCAAGACACTAGCACGAGCGAGTAGTCTGTCTGTAAGTTGCGTTGTGCTGCCCGACACAACGGCCCTTGCCTTTCACCCATTCACCCTGGCGCGCGCAGACTGGAATCGGGGCTTCTAACGCGCTCCCACTCCCACTCTCCCCAGACCTTTTGGAGCATTTGTTCACGCTGTGGTCAGTGGTCACTCGTGCTGGAGCTGCCAGCCCTGCTAGAGCGTCTCCCAATACGGAAATGGTGTGGCCGAGGGGAATCGTCTCGGAGCGCAAGCCGCCGCGGACCTCCAAGTGTCTCTCCTCTCGTCTCCAGGTCTGCTTCAAGCAGTCTTGCACCCATCCAACTCCCAACGGACGCCAAGCACACAAGTATCGCTATACCGAGCTTGACTACCTCCACGTCCAATTGCTGGCCGCCCTGGAGCCAGACGTTGTTATTAAGTTACCAGACATGCCCATGCTCCTGAGAAGCGCTAGCTGCAATATCCTAGTCTCTCCACACTCGAGTGCAATAAACTCCAGAACATGCCCTCTTTTTTTCTCATCAATGCACATTGCAGATTGCAGACCCCGCCATTTCAATTGATTGCCTTGTCACCTGGTGGCGCCCTCCTCGAAATTATTCACCCTCTTCGCGTCTTTTGGAGCTCTCCACACTTGCCTCTCACAAAGGGTCCTGCTGATGTCCTCCTGGGAGACAAGGAGCAAGGCACGCAAGGGCAGTACCCCGGACTTCTGTTGAAGCATATCTTTTATAGATGCTCCGACTGCACATCTTCACTCCAAGGCTAGCTAAGAATCTTCTCCGCTTTCTTTTTACCACGACATCTCCACATCCTGACGCATTGGTCTTCTCCTCCTGCCTTCACTCAGTCAACAAGAGTGTCCACGATGCTGTCAAATCCTCTTCATCGCTTCTCGGCGTACAACGCCTTGCCATCGAGCGGCATGCTCTCAAATGGCCATGTCCAGTCGCATCACATGCATTCTGGTCTAGACACACTGGCGACCAGCTCGCAATACGCGCTCCAGCAACTTCAGCAACATGTTGATGTTCACCAAAATCAGCATCGAGGCCACAATAATAAACACCGACAACATCCTTATGGACCAGGCCCTACACATGGCAGGTCAAACGGTACCGGTGCTTCAGGCCCGATTAGAAGGAGAATCAGCCGAGCTTGTGATCAATGCAACCAGCTCCGGACGAAATGCGATGGACAGGCACCTTGTGCTCACTGTGTTGGCAAGTTCTTCGCCACAGGTCTCACTTTTTGGATGTAGTCTAACTTTGTCTAGAATTCGGATTGGGCTGCGAGTACATTAGGGAGCGAAAGAAGCGAGGTAAGGCATCTCGCAAAGACCTCGCCCAGCAAGCAGCGGCGGCGGCGGCCAATGGCCAAAAGTCACCTACAAGCCACACGTCAGAGGAGCGGTCTCCCACCGAGTCTCGCAACGAGAGCAGCTCGACCACAAATGAGAGCACCAATGACTTCAAACGTCCGCAAGCGCAAAGATCTTTGAGTCTGAATACCACTGGACTTGATAGTGGTTCCGCAAGAGAGGCGCTTAAAGGCCGATTACGCGCGGGTAGCCTCGAAAGTCTCTCTGAAATGCCAAATGGACATCAGCCTCACATGGTTAGTCGCGCAGAGTCGGACCAAATCGAAAGTCCTGCGTCCCTGAATCTCAACGGCTATTCTAGCATGCATGGCTACCGGTCTGCCCTAAATCCCCACCTGATGAACAGCAATGGCGGTCATCCCAATTTCAGTGCCGGGCAGGGCTCTTTACCCGGTTACACAGATCTCCCGTACGCCATTCAGACTCAAAGCCCAACTCATTATCCGGGCAATACTCCGGGCCCCTTTCGTCTAGGCGATAGCCCTCTACCCGGGTTTCCCATGGGATCGGATGCTGCTTCGCCAGGAGGATGGATGTCTTTGCCATCTCCTTCGACACAGTACCAACAACACGTGACGCAGAACTATACAACCACACTCCGCTACCCCGTTCTGGAACCCCTCATCCCGCATTTGGGCAATATCATCCCTTTATCCCTGGCCTGCGACCTGCTGGACCTGTACTTTGCGAGTGCATCATCTGCTCTGATGCACCCCACATCCCCCTATGTACTCGGCTACGTATTCCGAAAGCACTCTATTCTTCACCCGACCAAGCCGAGACAATGCACCCCAGCTTTGCTCGCCAGTATGCTGTGGGTTGTTGCACAGACGAGCGATGCCACTTTCCTGACAGCACCTCCTTCATCACGTGGCCGGATCTGCGAACGACTGCTTGATCTTACCGTTGGTCTCCTGAAGCCTCTCATCCACGGGCATTCCGCGGGAGACACCTCGCCCAACTTCTCCAACACTGTTGTCAATGGCGTGGCCTTGGGCGGCCTTGGTGTTGCCATGCCGGGTTCAGTCGAGTCTGACGGCTTGAACAGAGAGACAAGTGCCTTTGGTGCTGCTGGGACACTGGATGATGTGGTCACTTATATTCACCTCGCCACCGTCGTCTCGGCGAGTGAATACAAGGGCGCAAGTCTAAGATGGTGGAACGCGGCTTGGTCTCTTGCTCGGGAGCTGAAACTCGGGAGAGAACTGCCCACAAACCAAGATTCACCAAGAACAGCGACCGAGGGTGGCGAGGACGTGGATGCAGACGGAGAGGCGGACGACCACTCGAACAACGCGGCAGGAATTACCGAGGAGGAAAGAGAAGAAAGACGTCGGATATGGTGGCTGGTTTACACGGTAGACAGACACCTCGCACTCTGTTACAACAGACCTCTCTTCCTGTTGGATATTGAGTGCGACGGCCTTCTCCAGCCGATGGACGACACGTTGTGGCAGGCTGGAGAATTCTACACTGGTGATTCAAGCATTCATATTACTTCCCCGAATGGTTCAGCTCGGATAAGACGCAGAGGTCCTAACTACGAGGTGTCTGGCAATAGTATATTCGGATATTTCCTACCCCTCATGACGATCCTCGGAGAGATCGTAGATCTCTATCACGCCAAGAACCACCCTCGATTCGGTGTCGGTTTTCGATCATCCCAAGAATGGGATGACTACGCCAGCGAAATCGCTCGACAACTAGACGCCTACGGTCAAAGTCTCAAGGACTTTGAACTCCGCCATCTTGGTCCTCAATCGGAGGAGCATATGGCGGAGGCTAAAATGGATGGTGTCTCGTCCACCAACCAAGAGCACAACGACATCGGCACTCCTTCGGTTCATTCAGTACACACAGCTTCATCAGCCCATATCTCGGAAACAGAGATCCAAACCCGCATCATGTTAGCCTATGGCACGCATGTTATGCATGTTCTCCATATCCTCCTTACGGGGAAATGGGATCCAATTAGTAAGTTCAAACTGTCTTCTTTCGCATGAGAGCTCGGGCGCGCAACAAAGGCAGAATCTAACCAGTCCGTTCAGGCTTACTTGACGACAACGATCTATGGATATCTTCACAAAGCTTTATTAACGCAACGGGCCACGCTGTAAGCGCTGCAGAAGCTATTAACAATATCCTCGAGTACGATCCAGGTTTGGAGTTCATGCCTTTCTTCTTTGGCGTGTATCTTCTGCAAGGAAGCTTCTTATTACTTTTGATTGCCGACAAATTACAAGTAGAAGCTTCTCCAAGTGTCGTCAAAGCTTGTGAGACAATTGTGCGCGCACATGAAGCTTGTGTGGTGACACTCAATACTGAATACCAGGTATTTAGCCTACCCCCACATTTTAATTTATCAGACCCCTAACCTTAACATTAGCGAAACTTCCGCAAAGTGATGCGCTCAGCACTCGCTCAAGTCCGAGGTCGAATCCCAGAAGACTTTGGCGAGCAGCAGTTACGGCGACGCGAAGTTCTCGCCTTGTACCGATGGACCGGTGATGGCACCGGTCTAGCTCTGTAAAACAGTCTATCCCTTTTCTTGCGGGATGAAAAACCGAATCGGAATCCTGGGTTGGCAATCTCAAGCACATTTTTGGCGGCGTCTGAGCTACGAAAAGAATCTCGACTACGAGATCATAATAGAATTTTTTACCCTTTGTCAGACGATATGAATATTACGAACTTGGTTGGGAAAATGGTGTTTATTCTGATTCGGAGGAATTTATGGGAATATACATATGCTTGGCTTTTTGTATATAGCTTCTTCTTCTGCTTGTTTGTGGATATGGGAACGGGATGATTTATGAGCATGGAAGCGGGATGATACTCTTTTGTGTTTATTGGGTGGATGGATTGAGGATGTGAATCTCAACAATTGTTGTTTGGTTCGGTTTTTGTTATCTAACATAACATATACGTATTTCCTTCATATTGGACACAGGACGAAATCAAAAATAAGAAAATTAAAATTCATCGATCTAATCTTTTCATTTTGCTTTTTCGAGAAATGAAAACTTCTCGAGTTGCCAAGTACAATCACAATGAGTAGCAGTCTTGCTGATGATATAATGGCGAGGCCATTGAAACTAGAAGTACACTTTCAGAAGAACTTCACCCCAATATCAATTTCACTACTCTCAGCCCTCCACAACCCGATCAACATCACCATCAGCCACCTCTCTCTTCTCGAAAAATTCTCTAACATCTCTAGCATAATCGCCAAATCGATCAACCAAAGTTGATCCAACCATCCTCCTGACAGTCGATCCCAGTATCCCACCAAACCTGTCAAATTAGTTTCTTTCCCATCTCCAGATACCACAGCACACAGGGGATAAAGCTAAGGCAGAAACTCAAGAACAAATAAAACTCACGTCTCCCAACACACATACTCCGTCCCGCCCTCGCCCTCCCAAAACTCCATAATCCGTACACTCCTCAACTGCCAGCCCTTCCACCCCAAACTCTTCCACGCAATCACATACCCGCGTCCCCCCTGCTTCCGCACCGGACTCACATACCTATCTCCCTCCTTGATCTCCTGCAACATCGTGACTTCGATGTCCTGCGTACGGCTCTTTTTGCCATCTCCATTCATGTGTACGTCGATGGTCAAGACCATTCCTGGAGTCAACCAGTCGTCGTGGTTTTCAAAGCCATTTACTGCTGTGCCTGGAGTCTTGATGACGGCGTGAGGGCAGAATGTGTTCCATTGTTTCCAGGTGGAGAGGTTGCGGATCAGGTTTAGGATGGCGAGGGGAGGGGTGTTTGGGATTGTGGTGCGTGCTAGGACGGTGAAGGTGTGGGTTTGGTCGTTGTTGGGTATGGGGATGGGGGCTGGGGGGATACAGGAGCTGGTTGGCTGGGAGGAGCTGGGTGTTGTGGGGTAGAGAGGCATTTTGGTTGGATGGTTGTGGTTGAGGGGGGGAGTCTCGTGATGATGATGAGATGAGAAGTTGATGATGAAAAACGTGATGTTGAATAGAAGAATCTTAGATGAGGTAAGAAGTAATGATAGTAATATTAAATTCTTTAAGCAATGATGTACATACTACAAAGTTCACTTCGTCCTTTTATTTTTCAATTTTCCAAGTCTAGAACTCTTCACTTCTTCACACCTCCAACACATCATCACCACTTATGTCAACCTCAATATTCACATTCCCAACTGCTCGACCTTCAAATGTCCTTCCGAAACAATCCTCGCTTGCACCTCAATCACACAGAACCCAACCTCTCCCCTCTTCATCACCACGTGATCCCACCCCCAAACCGGTACTCGTAAACGCAACACATCAAGCCCTCAAAGTAACATTCGGCACATAACAATCCAAAGCTTGCCAACGCTTAACCAGCAAGAAACAACCTACACTACTGCAAGGGCACATCCCACAAAAAAGCAGCGCAAAAAGCAAGAAAATCACGGAGGAATCGGAACTCCTGCTCCGTAGCCCTATTACGGGTTCACGCGAGATCAGAATATCTTCATCAACATCATCATAAAAAAGAAAGAAAAACCTCGTGGTATGTGACAAACGCCTACTAGGTTCCATGTGGGGCCCTTCCACTCATCGTCCGTAATATGTCGTTCGGGTGGGTTCATACTTTTCTCCAGATTCCCATGTCCTTGTAACGGGCATTTCCCCAGAATTCCTGAAGCGAGCACGACGAGGGGGGAGGGGGCGGCTACTGGGGGTTAAGGTTAAGCATGCTCACGAGGATGCCAACGTGCAGGAGATTTGCAAGCAAGCGAGGCCTGGAGAAAAAAAGCGATGTATCAGAAGCGCGGTATGCAGGGAATAGTTGGTGAAGAAAAGGGTAGGGGGAGCTGGAGGTTGGAAATACAGAGTTTTGTTCGTATGTCCATTTTCGGTATCTTTTTTGTCCCACCCAAGGTTCTAGATGGAATAGATTGTGAAAGGTACAGCTCCGGCCCCTGCCAGCGGATGACCTGACTTAATATTGCAACTCGGATGATCCTCTTCAAGAGGCGAGCGACTCAGGGGAGAAGATTTGCATCGCTTGCCAAATACCTTAGCCTCCTCTCTCGATCCAACCCCGACCCCAAAATGGGCAGCGGCCCGCGTAAATCCCATCTTGTGTACGAAAGGTACAGCATCCCATCCTCTATACTGGTTTCAGAATTCCATAGGAGGCTTGTATTACACCTCCTCGTGTCGATCCGCCAAGATACGCTCCAACTCCATCGCTCGCAATATAAAACCAAAGTGCCTCGTAAGTATCCATTACCCCATATCTTCATGTACCTCGTCACAGCATCCGTATGCCAGAAAAGCTTTTCGCAGTACAACGCCAGTAATACAAAATCTTGTCATCATCCATACCATTCGTCATCTGCAAATGCATCTACCCCGCCACCGTTCACGTTGCTCGACATGAAAAATCCGGAGGCGGGGTTGTTCGGTAGATTCGTTAATTCTGGGGAAGTTCCACTGCCGTTACCCATGCCATCGCTACCTCCTGTACTCATCCAGTTGTCAAAGCCAAGGACAAGACTTGCTTGATCCCTCAACCACCAGTCTTGGCTGTCAACTAGCGCATCAACGCCACCAAACATTGTGTTTGGACTCACTTGCCGAGTCATGGTCCCAGAAGTTTCAGTCGAAGTTGTGGTGGTACCAGAATTGTTGCGAGGCAAATTGCTATCTGGACTTAGTACAGATACGGAAGTGTTTGTGGAATGAGTGCCATAATTGTTACGTGTATATGGTACGGAAGATAGAGTCGTATCGTAAGGCATGCTGTTCATCGAACCAGAAGTCGGGGGATTTCGAGCGTTCTGCAAAGTCTGTTGTGCGCCGGCCATCGACACCCCGCTGTCTGGAACATAGCTGTAGATACTTTGTCTCAATTGGTTTGGATCCCGTGAGTTCGACATCTGTAGCTGAGCGCGGGAGGGCTGTGGAGGTGAGGGTATTGAAGAAGGGGGTGTTGCGACTACCAATTCCTGTTTAGGTGATGGCACATCTGATGTGCTGAAATGACCGAACTTGACATCAGTTCTGGCAAGAACGGTGGCAGCTTCTTCCGGGAGCTCAATCTTCCACTTTCTGGCCAGTACACTCAAAATACTCAAGGTTCTTCTGGCACACAGCCAATCTTCGGCGATCTCCTCGAGGTGTTTTACACCGTGAACAATGTCTCTTTTTGCGGTCTTTTCTGGCAGGTTCAAAAGATGTATTGTACACGCGGAATGTACCATGTAGACTGCGATATTACATATCTGTCGACAGCCGTAGGTTCGCTTGTACAGACGCATGTGTTTCGAGATTGCTCCTGCAGCTTGTGTGCAGAGCTTTCTAGGCGACACATGAGAAGGAAGAGGTGAGTTTGAGGGATTGTACTTCAGAAATGGCCTGAAGAGATGAATATATAATAACTGGAAGAACATACTAGGAAGATATATGTTAGTTTGTGTAGAAAATCGGAATTCACACAACTTACTGCATGAGCAGAACATTAGGTAGCTGTCCATCTTTTGGTTCCAGCTCCTTTGGAAGATCTCGGCGCCAGGCTTCAAGCCGTGTTTGCAACTCGCTCAACTTTTTCAGTTCTTGAGATCTCCCGACAGATCTCTCCAGATGCTGCGGATGGTAGAAGAAAATCAACAAATCGCTACTTATCTCACATAATGAGGAGATCTGTAATGCGATGGCTCTGGTCCTAGATGCTTGGACGTTTAATTGTGATATGCCACTATCCGTATATGGGGACCATTTATCGGCATCCTCGTTTGGAAAAACATCGTACTTTGGCGCCGTTATATTGGACACAGGAAGCTGTGGTAATCTTCCCAGGTAATTGGACCAACACTTATCGAACAGAAAGCAGCCCCAGAATGTTATTCGCCGTGCATCAATCTCTTGTTCATCCATGTGTTCTCGGTTATTCGTCATCCCACCAGAGTCAAGATTTAGGCCCATATCTTGGGCCATGCGAAAACTCATTCCACTATATACCCATCCTTTGGCTTCTCTACCACAACCAGCTTCACGAACAGACATCAGGCACAGAGCTTGCACGGTGGTCAACCTAGGCTTTTCGTATTCGTCGTTATCTACAATCAGTCTTTTCGCTTCTGCAAAGAATGCATCGCCCTTTGTAGTAGGATCGTTGGGATCCGCACATGCCTTTGGTGAGCTGGTAAAGTGACATCCTAAAGCTAGCATGGCGTTTACCAGCAAACTCGAGCAGTATATGGTCCGTTTTGGGTTGCCGTCAGGCTTGCCTCGGAGAAAGTCCCTATAGAAGAGGCCTTTGGATAATGTGCTGAAGAAAGGATAATGCCTCGGAGGAGTTAGCATATTAACGAACATTCTACGCAACAGGCGTGAGGAGTGACCAAGCTGTTCCCCAAAGCCCGCGAGAAGAAATGCGAATCGAGGGATTGACTTACCAGGTGAAATACATATTGATTAGATGCACGATAAGCTCGGTATCAGTTGTAACCGTCGTCCAAGTTGTCAACGGCTGGTCCTGTTGCGTATACGCTTCCATCCCAGCCATATGGTCCTCATCATCCGTCGGCTCGAGATATATTAGATTCGACGTGCCACCAATAAAACGTACCGATCCGTTTTCTAGCCTTAATTCTCCCATCTTTCCCGATAACTCGGTTTCGAACGTTGGCAAGGTCGAGGTGGTATAGGCGGTATTGTCATCTAGCAGATCGTCGTCGTCTTCAAGTCCTTGCTCCTGGCGAAGTATATTGTCCGCGACATCGTCCAAACTCTCACATGTCCGTATTTGTCTTATCAGATCTGGCACATCGTCCTCCGCGGCATTTAAAATCGCTTGCACGAGCGTTTGTAAAGTTGAGTTTCGCGTTTTCAAGCTATCGATTTTTTCCTTATATACACCTTTCCGTCGATGGTCGCTATTGGGATCGTAGATGCACTCTGATAAGGCAAGTATCAGTCTCAACTCGTAGACCTTATGCTTTTGAGGAATTCATTGCTCTCACCAGTGCCATACACGCTTGCACAAGCGGCGCAACTCGGGGTATTCCCATCACATTTGCTTTTCCGCTTTCTACACGCGATACACGCGGTGCTCACACATCTCCTTTTGGATGCTGCATCGTCCGCTCTACTCCTTGACTTCTTCTTTGATGATGGTCCAACGCTTGCTTGCTGATCTCCGCTGAACCCGGATTGCACAAGGACCTGATTCGCCTCCTTGCCGTCCGCCATTTGGTATATATATGGGGTGTCGCAGAGGTCGACCGTTTTTTATATCAGGTCCCGGAGGGCTTCCCGAACGTCAATATGACGCAGACTCTAGTATAAATATAATTGGAATATAAATGTTTCTTACCCGTCCGTTTGAGCAAATGGACCTACGCGACCGTGAGTGGTCAGCAGCCAGCAGATGTATGTTCTATGCGGTCCTCAAAGATGGTCGGTCGTGTAGATGAAATTTTCTCGCGATCTCGGCGCGTTTTTGCAGTGACTATTTCCCCGGAGAGAGATGCACGAATATGGGGATGGAGGAGGAGGGGCAATTCATGGGACGACCACTGCGATGCTGACAAAACAGTAGGCTTACAGTGGGGAGAATCGGGAGACTCGCAGACTGCCGTCGTAGGAAAGAAGCAACCCCTCGAATCTCGATAAGGATTTACAGGGTAGCTGCGTTATGAGAATAATTGGTGGGATGTGCTATCCAGCCCCACTTAAACCTCTCATCATTGTCAAACTATCACGACTTCTACAGCCAAGCAAACAATGCTTTTGATGTAAGCATTGATTCAATCTGGACGACACTCAAGGACGGATTGCTAGCCGTCATAAAAAAAAGGCAGTGCCGATTGGTTCTGTCTGCGAATGGCTAGTAGAAAGGGGCGAGGCTCTTCTACCTCGCGGAGCAACCATTTGTTTGCTTTTTTCTCGGTGACATTCTCACGATTCCAACGACTCCGGACTTTTCTGTCTACCAATCGTAACGCAAGTTCCCGCGATAAGCATCTGCTTTTTGTCGCTTTGGGACGCAATATCTAGATCTCTTCAGCCCAGCGCCTCAATGGCATACGTTTCAGTTTTTGGCTTTGTTTTGTTGCGTTCCTTTTTCGCTTTGCCTCATCGATTGGGAATCCTTCCGAGTATCTTTAGGTACATTTGGATCACTATTTTGACAGCTGGTAGATGACTCCTTGTAAATGGCTGTTCTCTGTGGAGATGATGATACAAGCTGGGAAATCTAGATCTAGAAATATACCATTTCTTTAAAAAATCATGCCATGACAATCTGCAGTCGAACGATGTTCCTTCTGCTCGTCTCCAGGCTGAGCGAGCGGATGCTTGTTGATCCGAAGTCTAAACAAGCATCCGAAGTCTCAATGTAAAAAAATCTTTCTTCAACTCTCTTCAAGTAAAGTTCGGAGTTACATCGTTCTTCTCTTGTGAGTATATGGTCTTTCAGCCCTACAATTTCTGCGGAAGATTATCTCATAGCTCATGCCTCGGCGGTGAGTCCTGGTTAGACCGCAGCGTATAGTCAATCAGTGAAGGATTTTAGCCCAAAAAAAAACGGCACATCGTCAATTATGTCGTGTAAAAATCACCTCTATTGATTCAACTTGAGGTCCACTAAGGCTAAAGGATCTTGCATTATGATAACTACCTGGAACTCACCTGAAGATTCTGATCAGCAGACTTTGACAAACATCTTGTCCACCACCAGACTACACACTTTTCTGTTGTCTTCTTCCCAGGCGTGCAGTGTTCCATTGCTTATAGTAAGCTAGGGTATAATATATCACCTATAACGCCCTTCATTTTCTTTCCATTGACATTGAAATCGATGTTTTGAATACATCGTCGGCATAGGGTGACAAGAGGTCCGCTGTAATAAAATGTAGAGTATCTTAAGCTAAGGTATATGCCAAACATCAAGCTTGTCGTCTCCAAGCCACCTTCAACTTTATTGAGTACGAAATCAACTAGCGGTATATGTTTCTATCCGCACGCAGTTTCAACGTTTACTACCCTACTCTACTGGTACTCATTTTCGCCAGCGTAATGACCGTGCTCTCAGCATCTGACAACCTCCTGCGCTTATGGAAACAAGCTTTTCTCTACTCATCGAATGCATGTCAGTTCTACCAGCTCTCGATGCTTAAAATAAATACTCCGTACCTGAAAAAGTCAAATCTTCAAATAATAATTGCAGAATACGACGGCTATCTTCTCTCCATCCCCTGATTGGCTACGTAGCCCTTTTCACAACAATTTAGGCGAACGGACAGGTCGCCGCTCGGGACTCGGCACGGCCAGCTAACTCCAACCCATTTACGCCTTCCTAATTCCCTTCAACTACCAAATCTTGATTGGACCTTTTGGTTGTTTTTCAAGGTCGGTGCGTCGGTGTACGTGGATATGGAGACGGAAAATCGGTACTTTGGCTGCCACTTCAAACCCCTTCTTAAATCCATTATCTCCTGCTCTAGATGTTAGACCTCAGATTAATTTAGACCTTCTTCTTTTCCTGGTTTGTAACTTGATTTCCTACAACTCATTCCCTTATTTCATTTTCATAGTTTCACTGCAAAGCGTTCTGTTGTCTTATTCCCTAAATAATTTCTGGTTGCAATACATTTTGTCGACGTCATTGAAGTTTCTAACGGGCCGCCACCGCAACACCACTTGTTTCACGAATACATTTGCAGGTGATATTTTCAAATCATACAGCCATGGCGGATTCGAGGCCAAGGCCGAGAAGTTCAAGAAAAGCAACGTCGGGTGCGGCTTCGCGCAAATCGGGAAATTCAAGAGCATCATCACCAGCACCCTTGGAACGATTGGTGTCTGGTACTCATCTCAACGACCATGGATATCACTACTATGACCCAGATCACCATGAGAAAGAACACATGGAGGGAAGCAGTGGTGAAGAAGATGCAACCGAAGAAAAATCCGAGGCGTCAGATTTAGAACACGAATCAAGTACAGACATCGAGCCCGAAGTACAAGATGGAATCGAAGATCAAAGAGACAGAGATCTGGAATCACCAAGACCAAAATTAGAAAAGACCAAATCCGCAAAATCAGTCAAAGATCCAAACTTAGTCGCCTGGAAAGGTCCCGACGACCCAGAAAATCCTAAAAACTGGACTTTCAAACATAAATGGGCAGCGACCCTCGTCGTGTCCTCCTTTACATTTATCTCACCAGTCTCCTCTTCCATGGTAGCTCCAGCCTTAACAGCCATTGCACGAGAGTTCAATATCACCAACCAAGTCGAGCAATCGCTAACACTATCAATTTTCGTCCTCGCTTACGCGATCGGCCCCCTATTTCTTGGACCACTATCAGAAATGTACGGACGAGTCATCGTTCTGCAAAGCTCCAACCTGCTCTATCTCTTTTTCAATCTCGGATGCGGACTTGCCCAGACCAAAGGCCAAATGATCGCTTTCCGCTTTCTCTCCGGCTTAGGAGGAAGTGCACCCCTTGCCATTGGTGGAGGAGTTCTAAGTGATCTCTTCACACCAGAACAGAGAGGACGCGCAATTAGTATTTACAGTCTTGCTCCCCTTTTGGGACCAGCAGTCGGACCAATAGCAGGTGGTTTCATAACCGAAAACACAACATGGCGATGGGTCTTCTACGCAACCACCATCGCAGACGCACTTATCCAAGTAGTCGGTCTTTTTTACCTGCAAGAAACATATCCTCCAGTTCTTCTCCAGCGTAAAAAGAAACAGCTTATCAAAGAAACCGGCAATCAAGCGCTTCATACCGAATTTGACCGCCCAGACCGGACCGTCATACAGACCCTCAAGATCTCCCTGACCCGCCCATTCAAACTATTAGGCACACAGATCATTGTACAAGTCCTAGCCCTCTACATGGCTTATTTGTACGGCTTGATGTATCTTGTGCTAAGCACTTTCCCGACGCTGTGGGAGCAAGAATATAATGAATCCGTCGGTATAGGCGGTCTGAATTACATCTCCCTCGGTGTAGGCTTCTTCCTAGGAACACAAATTTGCGCACCGTGTCAAGATCGTATTTATCGAGCCCTCAAAGCGAGAAATAATGGAGTTGGGAAGCCAGAGTTTAGGGTTCCGTTGATGATTCCCGGAGCGTTGTTGGTGCCGACGGGACTTTTCATTTATGGCTGGTCGGCGGAATATAAGACACATTGGATCGTCCCTAACATCGGAGCGGCTATCTTTGCAGGTGGTGTGATTGTCGGGTTTCAATGTATTCAAACGTACGTGGTCCTTAATGTTTTCCCATCGCGTCTACTAACAACGCCTCAGATACATCGTTGATTCCTACACACGCTATGCCGCGTCTGCAGTTGGAGCAGCAACTGTCCTACGTTCTCTAGCTGGTTTCGGATTTCCGCTTTTCGCGCCGTATATGTATAATGCCTTACATTACGGTTGGGGCAATAGCTTACTCGGTTTCATCGCTATCGGGCTTGGGTGGCCAGCACCTGTTTTGTTGTGGAAGTATGGGGAGAAGTTGAGGAAGAAGAGTACTTTTGCTGCTGGCTAGATTAGAAGCTTGAGTCTGTGTGTACACAAAAGAATGTGTTGATTTGTTATACCCTTTATACCGTTAGCGAAAACATGGTAGTTTAGAAATAATATGATATCTGATAAAATCTATCTCTGCTTGAAGTGACCCATTTACAGCAGGCATTTTCTAGTCCTCGAATGGAATGTCTACCTCTACCTCAGATTTGTTTAAAATCTGTCTTGACTACCGCATCCCGTGGTGGACAAAATAAGAGGCAGAAACCCATGAACCATCCAAACCATTCTTCTAACTTGTGCCCCCTAGCTTTTCTTCGGGTTCTGGAAACGTTTCGTCTGGAAATCTTAGGCAAAATAAACGAAATTTTGTCAACCAGATCGAATAAGTATCGGGTTTGACTGCCACTACTGCCCGCCGCGGGCATTTGTGACCAAGATCATTGTCAATGGCCTGCTAATCAGCTTCATACTCACCGTAGAAATAGGGAAATAAAACTTTTTTCTCTCAACAAATTTTGAGAAAGTGTTCTAGAGGGTCAAATTCCCTTCGTACATATTTGAAACACATGAGAGACTTCATCATTTTTATTGTCTGATTGTTGTGTTTCTCCCATCAAATGCTGGCCTCAACAGGATCATCTCCGCGTTCATGGATAACTTTTTCGGTCTTATTGTATCACCTCACTTCTGACTTCTCTAACGAAACGAAACAGACTGCTAACAGTTCAAGTCATACATTGATATCATTGCAATCGTTACACTAGTAGATACACACAATCCAACTCCACAACCAAACTCCATCAAAAACACTTGAACATTAGTTAAGCTTAAGCGCATTAACCTTCTCCCCCAACTTTCCGGTATCATATGGCGCATCAAAGTTGAATCCTGCGTATCCCTTCTCCGCAACTTCCTTCGTCTCCCGGACGTATCGCGGGACACCGCCTGCATAGTTGAGTGATTCGCGAGGTTTGCCTGGGACATTGGCCTTAATTATCATTAGTATGTTGTGATTCGATGATAGGGGAGGAGAACTTACGCCCATATACCAACTGTCGGTGCCTGGGAACAAAGTAATATCGCAAAGCTCAGCGACGTGTTTCGTCCATCCAGCTTCAGACTGTGCCGTTGCATCCATAGTTTTCTTGTTATTCTTCTCGCAGTAATCGATCGCGTCGATGATCCAATCACCCTGAAGTTCAACAATCGTAGGGCCGTTGGCGAAAGCTGTTGGGCCTGAAAAAAAAAGTTAGTAGAGATCGCGTCTGCCAAGAGGATGGACATCATACCTTGAGGACCGTAAAGGAAATACATATTTGGGAAATTAGCAGTCGTCATGCCAAGATATGTCCATGTTCCCTTTGACCATTTATCTGCGAGAGAAACACCATCTGTGCCTTTGATATCGATTTGGACCAGACCACCAGTAACAGAATCGAATCCGGTAGCGAGGATGATGACATCGAATTCAAGGTCACGACCATCCTTCAATTTGATTCCTTTCTCGGTGAAAGTCTCGATTGGAGTTGCCTTCAGAGCAACAACGTCAACATTATCCTGGTTGTATACCTCGTAATATCTCTGTTCAAGGGAAGGTCTCTTTGTGCCGAAGGTATGTGGTTGCTTATCAAGGAGAGGAGCGAGAACATCCTTCTTCTTTGGGTCCTTGATTCTGGCACGGGTTTTCTCTGCCCAAAAGTTGTATGCGGTGTCGTTAACCTTCTTGTCGAAGAGTAAATCTTTGTAAGTCGCTAGCCAGAATCTGAAACCACCGCCATCCCACAATTTCTCATAAAGCTCTTTCTTCTGCTCATCGGTATCTTCATCACCATTCTTCTCAAGGAAGTCGAAGTGGAATCCACCGAATGTATTGCGACGGTAATCAAATACCTTCTCGTATCCTCCTTCCTTCTTGACCCTTGCTTCAACTTCTGGGTCAAGCTTATGCTGGTTCATAGGAAGACAAAGGTTTGGTGTTCGCTGGAGAACGGTGAGGTGGCCGACTTGTGGGCCAATCTCTTGAATTGTCTGAACTCCTGAAGCTCCTGTTCCGATGACTGCAACCTTCTTGCCTTCGAGTTCGATACCTTCCTGTGGGTATTGTGCTAGGAGCTATTAGTCTAGTTTTTATGGTCTAGAGTGACAGAGCATACCTGTGTGGTGCATGATTCCTTTATATTTGTCCATTCCTGGAAAGTCCGGGACGTAGCTCTTCGCGGCAAATCCGGTGCATAGTACGAAGTACTTGCAGTCAATGACCTGACCATCACTGAGGCTGACATTCCACCTACACGAATTGACGTCGAATTCGGCTGACTTGACTCCAGTGTTTAGTTGAACATCTTTGCTAAGATCAAGCTTCTCATCAACATATTGGAAGTATCGTCTCAACTCGGGCCACGATGGAAAGCGTTCACTCCATGTCCAGTCCTTGTACAAGTCTTCGATAGAATATTCGTAAAGTGGCACGTCAGAATCCACTCTAGCGCCGGGGTAGCAATTCCAGTACCAAATTCTACGTTAAATAAGCATTGTAGATCAAACAGTTTGTGATGAAGGTACTTGCCCGCCAAGCTCGCCGGCGTTATCAACGACCTTGCATTTGTATCCCATCTTCCGTAAGTAATGGAGCTGGTAGAGACCTCCAAATCCTGCTCCGACAATCACCACATCCATGCTGCTCGTGGCAGCAACGCCATTTCCCTTAACTTCTGCAGCAGGTGACATTGTGTTTCTGCGAGATTGATGTGTGTTTTGAGATGGAGTAAGGAGAATAAAGTGCAATGGAATAGAGATCAAAGAGGGACATGCGCTTTATATAATCTAAACAACCCGAAGATCGATAATGAGCTATCCTCAAGTTCCACATGTCCTCCTGCTGTGTACCTCCAAATAACACAAGTACAAGTCAGAAGGTATGCCGAATACGCGGAATAATTCAGTACGACTCGTGAAGTGGACCTCTTTTCCAAGCTATCTTGCATGCAAAACGCCATCATCAATTAGGTGCTTGCATGAAGAAGATCTGGTTCATCCTTGATTGGTCCCGATTTCCAGACCTGGGGAAGGGGGCGATAGAATAACGTTGATTTCCGCACACTACTTTAGTAGGCGGCATACTAACACCCCACAATACCCCTCACACCCCAGACACCCCGCATTCTGCTAGCTATCATTTCCCCATTGTTAAGGAAAATGCCCGCTAGGAGATAGAAATCGATAGAGATTCAGATAAAGTATATGCAGAAAGATTAAGCGACGAGCTGCATCGGATCCTCGGACAAACAATATGCGATACAAGACAGGACACAAGCAATGTGAAATCAGATGCAATTGATAATAAATAATTAGGTGAGGTGAGAAAGCTTGGGGACGTGGCTTAGATTCTGATAGTACAGAATCTAGTACAGGGACCCAGACTTGCACTGGCTCCGGACCTGTCGAAGTTCGAGCATTAAGCAGGTCACGCTCCTGCACTCAGAAACCTAAATGCGTATCTCGGTAATTGTTGATGATCCTTTTCTCAAAAGAGACAATGGCTCCATTGATCCGAGGCTTAGCTCATGAGATATACTTGACAGTAAGGAGAGATGGATGGTTACTAAGGCATGAAAGCAAACGGATCGAAGGAGAAAGACCTGCAGTACTCGCAAAACCTTCCTCTTGCAACAAAATACCACGCGGCCGGAAGGTCTTTCGGTATTCGGGATTTGCAGAGGCTGAAAGTAGAATGGAAATAGAGTGAACTAATACGGAGCTTGATCTTCAGTAAGTCCATATGGTGCTGTCAAAGAGTCAGTAATGGAAGTCTATAGTTTAGTCAATGACAATGTATTGTCAATTCCGAACACGAATAGTCGAACCGGGTCCTGAGAGAGATTCTACGGATGGATAGGAGAAGTAACTCACCAAAGACTTGCCAAACAATCAGACCATTAGGATTGCCGGCGAACCCATGAGTCGGAGAAAACTGATGTCGCCCCAGAGACGTTCTTGAAGCCAGAAATCTTGCATCCAAAGCCATCAAGGCATGAGATCTCATCAGCAGCTTGCCTGAAAAGCATGACCATAACTTACGGGAGAAGCGGTCTCGCGAGTCCTATACTTCATATATCTGATTCATGAACCAAATACTAGCCGATCAGGACTCAAACCTGGCGTTCGGAGCATGCTGACAAGTTGGTCATATTGAACACTGACATGCGAAGTCGATTCCTAAATATAACGATTGCGATAACAGAGAAGCTGAAAGCAGTCATACTCGAACGTTTGTTAAGTAGGTGCGATAGCGTTCGATTGATGGTGAGTTGAGACAGTTCCATCCACTCAAGCAAAACTCAGCGCACGGACCATCAACACTCGCCAAAAATTTGTAGATTCAACCTCACAACGAGTCACCCAACATCCAAATGTTATCCCACCTTTCCAAATCCCGAGCATTCTACAATAAAAGTACAACTTCTCATTTCATCCGCAGAATGGCTTCCACTTTCACCCCCGCCGAAGAGACTGAAATCTCTCAATGGATCACCACATCCACCCGCCTCTCCTCCGCTTCCCCAGCAGAACAACAACCCCTCCTTTCAGCTCTAAACACGCATCTCTCCTCCCGAACAACGGTTCTGGGTACTAAGCCTTCGAAGGCAGACACTGCCCTCTATGAGTCCCTCCGTTCTATTGTCAGTACCTGGACCGCAGAGCAAAAGACAGGCGAGAACGGCCACCCAAACATCGTCCGTCACCTCGACTTTGTGCAAAACTCTTCCGTCTTCGATATCACCGTCAAGGAGGAAGAGAAGCTCAAGGTTGATCCAGATGAGATCCTCTACGTGAAACCACCAGTGGACGCCAAAGCTGAAAAAGAGAGACTGAAGAAAGAAAAAGCCGCTGCGGCAGCTGCCGCCGGTGGAGAGACCGCACTTCCAGACCGTGCAAAGGGCAAGAAGGAAAAGGGCATTGTCGAGAAAGCCACTGAGAAGGTAGTCGAAGCAAAAGATGCCGTCGTCGCAGCCGTAGCAGGAGGATCCGAGCAACCTCAAGGCGGACGTCAAAAGAAAGAAAAGAAGGAAAAGGCTCCAAAACCACAAAAGGCACCAGCAGCAACCGCACCTCTTTCCCCATCCTTGATTGACTTACGTGTCGGACACATCTTGAAAGCCATCAAACACCCTGAAGCAGATTCCCTCTTCGTCTCTACAATCGCTATGGGCGACAAACCCGGCACAGAAGACACCTCAGAACATGAAGGTCAAGTCGTGCGAACCGTCTGCTCCGGTCTCAATGGTCTCGTTCCTCTGGAGGAAATGCAAGGGCGCAAGGTCGTCGTGGTATGCAATCTCAAGCCTGTAAAGATGCGGGGTGTGAAATCCTGCGCTATGGTCCTCGCCGCGTCCCCGCGTTTGGCGCCCGGTGTGGAGGATAACCATGCTGGACCTGTGGAATTGGTTACGCCGCCTGAGGGCTCGACTGCTGGGGAGAGAGTCTATTTTGAGGGATGGCAGGGTGAACCAGAAGGGGTGCTCAACCCGAAGCGTAAGGTGTGGGACACAATTCAGCCTGGATTTACTACTACGGAGGGAATGGAAGTTGGGTTTGATGCTAGTGTGGTCAAGGAGCTAAGTAAGGAAGGAGAAGAACCAAAGACTGGGCTAGGAAAGTTGATTACACAGAGCGGGGGTGTCTGTACAGTTAAGAGCTTAGCGAATGCGGTTGTAAGGTAATTCTTGATTCTATAGATGATAATAGCAAAAGATTGCCACTGGCGGGAACCTCCACATATCAGCTCAGTCATTATGCTACCCCGAAATTGGTCCACCCCCTTTAAAATTGTAAGCAATCTAAAGTTATGCTCAGCAAAAGTTACGTAACATGTCTCGTTGGAAATACAGCAGCGAAATTCTACCGCCACCCTTCAATCCACATGGTTAGCATGTTTGGACGTCTTCTTGATGGAGGTATGAACTCCCGGGAGGCCCTCATTGACATCCTTTCCTCCCAATACAGGTCTCTGCCTCTTGCGTGTTGCTTTAAAGGACGTGTTGTCTCTATCGACTACAAGACCATGATCAGCTACTAGGTGTGTAACGAGCGTCTTCTTGTTCATTGGCTCGGTACGATCACAAACAGCTCTGATCCCATTCAAAGTGTTTACAGCCGCTGGACATGCTATGCTCGCATCATCATTGAGGTCCCGAATGTGTCTTTCCAGGTGCCTTTCGAAGGCTGGTGGCGTATAAAAGTCTGCAAATTGCGTTGAGAGTCCAGCATCTCCATCGTATAGGCAGAATATGCAGAATGATGGGTGAAACCATCTGTTGGAAACGAACACGCCAGCAAATCCATGCTCCTTCACAGATAATTGGACGTCGTCCATGTGCTGCACGAAATGGTGGTCCTCGTCTTCGGCGGCACGAGAGAAAGCTTGTTGGCAGATCTTGCACCAAAACACCAATATCTCAGCCCTTGGATTTCCAGTCTGCTTATCCACGGGCAAAATAGTGGTTGATGCGGCATGTTGAGTGATTCGGTGTACTCGAAAGTCGTCCCAGCTCGAAAAGGTTGTACCATCATCATTGCACCGGTATACACCGCTGGATTTATCCTTGTGACAATCGTAGCAGTGACTGGTGAAATGTGCTGCAGATTTGACATCTCTTGTCAGCTTGTACTTCGATGCACAGCGCGAGACGCCATCCAACCCAATCATTCCACACTTCTGATTTGGGGGATGCAAAGTTTGATGGCTGTCGAGGTCTGCAAGTATGCGTTTCGCCATGGTGTTAACAGCACAAGGCCGAATATGCTGATTGTGATCTTTGCCAACAAGACTGATACCACAAAAAGCACAAGACAACGTCCCTGGGGTGGGTTCCTGGCCGGGATAGTATTTATCTGCGGCGTGGAGGTGATCAAATTTCTCCACGCAGATATCTGCAAACCGAGCGGCTGAAAGACCTTCTGGTTGTTTGTATATGAGATCAGAGAGGCCTGAAAATATAGAGTTTCTTACCATCACCCTCAATCCAAAAGCATTTCTACTCGCGGATCCGGCAGCATGTAGCGATGCAGCGCGCTTCGAACCATCATCTGCTAGGACGCCGTCCATCTGCACGTCTTCTGACTGTTCGTCTGCATCCATAACATCACCGAGATGCGTTCCCTCAATCATATCGCAGAGATGCGTTGCCATATCGTCAGCGTCTTGAAGGAGGGCAGGATCGATAGGAACATCCTCTGCATCCGCGGCATCCAACAACATGTTTCCAAAGTCGCAACCACCATCCACTGGCTCTGGTGAAGGCGGTATCTGCGAGGTATCTGGAAGAGATTCAAAGTGCTTGTGGTACTCCTCCTTGTATTTTTTGGAAAGCAGAGCTCGCGCTCTCTCTTGATATTGGCGGCGGACTGCTGCATGTTCAGTCACCTTCGGTGAACGCTGAGCTCGCGCCGCTGAAAAAGAACCAAATTCGCGTATGATTTGGTCGATCACATCACACTCTCTTTGAAGAAGGCCCCGAAGCTCGGCATCCTGGCTGATTTCGATGATGCCTTGCTCAGAGACACGATTTGGGACCGCGTCGGACTTCCCAAGGAAAGCACTTAACATCTGGCTGACGTCGACAGCCTCCAAGTTGTGGCGCATTGCTTGAAAATCAACAGTTGAAGTCTGATTCCGGTAGGCTCCCCAGCATGTCGAGTCTTTGAAATCATGGCCCATCCGGGCACAACGTTCCTCGTGGGATGTTTTCAGCCCCAGGAGGTATGCGCTACCACGTCGAAGAACCCCGGGTAGCATGGGGCTCTGCAGGCCGCAATGTCGACTCAACTCCTTGAGCTGCTTCACAAAGTGACTCGATCTCATCACCTCGGTTTCGAGCAACTTTGAGGGATCTGTCGGCTTGTGGACCGGTTGACGAAAAACCTAAGACAAACGTTTAAGCCAATGAGACATGGAAGCACGGCACAGCAAAGGCTTACCGGTGTATCCAACATGGAGTTCTTGATATGGATTTTCGTACCGTGCTGACTAGATTGGACGGCCTCCAAGTCTGCCCACCGGGAAATGCCTGAAAAGACACCGTCTATCAGACCGAGAATGAGAAGCCACCGTAATGTGTCTTCAGCCGCCATCTGCAGCGGGAGAAGGCGAATTGGGATGACCTTGACCTTGTTGCCTTTCTGCCCGGTATTCTTCAATCCACTGAAGGTCATCCGAGCGCGCAATTCAACACCACCGTCCCCTCCCGGAAAAGCCCATAGTTCGACACGTCTCCAGGTGAACAGACTATCTTTGCGCTCCTTCTTATAGGCTTCCCAGTCGGCGTTTGACATGCTCGGCCTCGTCAACTCACCGATGCGACTACTGCGGTCCAGCATCAGATTAGCGCACAGAACAAAGTTGAGAGCGTTTCGAGTCGTGTACTGGGACGCAGTGAGATACTTGGTATCGAAGAATGCTCGTAGCAGAGCGGAGAAGTCTTCTGGCAATGCCACCGCCTTTGGGCGCTGCTTATGGTGGACCAGACCTCGAACAGCCAAGTCAGAATGAACCCACACCATGACGTTTCGCTTGACATCTCGATCAATAGGAACCCCAGCGTTCTTGCAGAGAGAAAACAGACCGAACAAAAGGTATCGCGCGGTGCGAACCGTAGGCACTGTGCTCAACCTTGTCAGCAGTGTGCGATGGACGCTGTCCGAAGCCAACCGTTTCACAGACCTTCCTCAATGTTACCATTCGACGATAGTACAAACGCCTCGACGAAGAGCTTGAGAATACCACAGGTAAATGGTGGACCCCCTTTGGTAAAGAAGGCCTCGGCTTGTTCTACCGTCTCACAGATTCCGACATGCTCGCAGACGGCAAGCTGAATAAAGTTACGCTTCGAATGTCTCCATCCACAGATCAGTACATGATGTTGGTATATCAAAGGTGGAAGAGCTCACCGTTGCCTGACTGCGTTGAGAACGCTAATCTTCCTCTCCACCTCCAGATCCCAGTCGCGACTTACGAGGCGGTCTTCGGGTGCCTTGGCCTCTTCAATCCTCTTGAGCTTCTCCAGGCGTTTTGACGTGAAGTCAGACACTCTGTCGGGGAACGTGTGCCCAGCTCGAGGCATGGTCGTGTCGAGCAACCACCTCTGTAACCAGCGTTCGAGGTGCAACAATCAGAATACGATGGACGACGTCCAACGATGGAGATGGTAAGCCCTCGACACTCGAAAGAGAAAGGGAGATGCTGAGAAGACAGAGAGTTAGGAGTTGACGAAGAAAGAAAGAGAGAGAGAGTCAGAGGTTGGAGAAGAGAGGGAGACAAGGACGAGATGACCGTACGCTCCTTCCCTTTCTGTGTCGAGGCCAACTCGTCCACCTCGACGCACTCTGAGTCGATAGATCCCATTCAAAAAATGCCTTTGCGAGCCCCTTCTACGTAAATGCCAATATCATTCATTGTACATCTTCTTTACGCAATCGCCCTGTGGCGCTCGGCTGGCTCTTCGAGGGCCACTGCTGTAAAATCATCCTCTGCGGCGGTTCTATCGAAAGAAAAGAACTTTCCTGGAGTAAATCTGTACTGAATCATGTGGGCCGTTGACTATGAAATGGCCTTTTCCTGTATGAGGACGGGAGTAGTCAAGCTAAAATCAGATTCGAGGTTTTTCTCCACGACCATATATAATCTGGGAAATCCCCAATCATAACATGCACACTCTCAAAAGCATTGTGAGGCTAGAAATGCGATTCATGGATGACTTCTCATCGCGGCTGTGGTAAAACGTAGCCATCGCGCCGTACCTGTATATGGTGATAAGGTGGTCTATCAGGAAGTGACGCGACTCACGCGAGGAGGCTCGTCTTCAGCCGTAGCAGCAGTGGCAGGAGCACGTGACCTGATAGATGCTGCGACAGCATCTGTCCTATACCTAACCTACCTTAGGTAGGTAACGTCCAGGCATTTAAGATGTCATTATTTATCCTTCTCAATATCGTAACGTAACAATTACTGTATCCCTTTTCTTCTAGCTACCTATTGCTCGCCCCACTTAACTAAAACTATTCCCCTCACGCTTCGGGAGTTGTTTTCGTCGTCAGATTTCTGGATCACGTGATGGACCCACTAGATGCTGCGGCAGCATCTATCTCAGGTGCAAAATGAAGTCCAACGTCAGAATGTACTATAGTTCTCGACCATTAAAGGAGTTGATATTGGTGCTCTCATTAGCTAGAGAGTTAGATAGTGTTTTCTCATCAATACCGCGGTGGTGGTATCTCTGAGGTCTTTTCTCGATTCTCCGCCGACCCGTCATGCTCGTTACGTTTGCTTCATATCAAATGTTCGGCCCAAGTAATAAGCGTCGACATGGTCCAAATCCGGCCTCCACGGCAGTGGCCCTCGGAGAGCCAGCGGAGCGTCACTAACGATCATGGACGGACGGCGTTCCTGGATTAGGGGAGAGGGTGACGCTCCGCTGGCTCTCCGAGGGCCACTGCCGTGGAGGCCGTGGTAATGTGGTGGTGTGGTGGTAATGGTAGGGTAAATTTTAAAAAAAGGTATGGTAAATGATCCAGCCCGGGTTCACTACGACTGAGGGATTGGAGGTTGGATTTGATGCTGGCGTTGTGAAGGAATTGAGTAAGGAGGGCGGAGAGCCCAAGACGGGTGTTGGAAAATTGGTCACTGCCAGTGGTGGTGTCTGCAAAGTCAAAAGCTTGGCGGGTGCTATCGTTCGATAGATGTGAGATGTGAATACCGTACGCCCGTAGCAGATACCATTAACTATAGCATGTGAAATAACGGCTTTCTAACCTCGTAGTAGACAAAATAAGTGACTGTCGAAAACCGATGTTTGCTCAAAGCAGTTGACGAAATATCGCATATGTCGTCTGATGTTTTCAGTAAATAAGACGTTTTTAGAATGTGTTTACAATAAATTTACCATGACTACTCATCCAGCCACTCCTTTCTCAACATGGATAATGTGCCTTGTTATTGGAGACAAGATCATAAAATTCGTCAACCGAATTAAGTGGACCTCCAGGGCTAGGTGCTTGGACAGTTTATTATCAGACTTGCAACACACTGATGATAGAGACGCGGTCAATTACGAATACCACAGAAGAATGAGACATAAAATTTACTTTTATTGCCACATCCTCATCACAAGATATTATATTAAGACTACTTATTCCAATCCAATCCGTCATCCGATTCATGTCTAGATTCCTTTACCAGATATGCCCGGAACCGAACCCCCCTCATATGTACCAGAATTTTATGATTATGCGACCACCGAAAGCTATGCATGTAAATAGTCCTTCCAAATGCCCTCCCTAAATGCGATATTCGCTCGCTGCTCAACATGGGTATAATGAGATAAACAAAAGCATTCATGTGACCACCAGAAATTCTTCTGACATATTTCAAACCTGCCCGGAGCGCTTGAAAACCAACTTCGCCGGAAGCTGGAGGTCATCAACACCCTCATCGTCGACTTCCATGTCATCGACCTCAAGTTCTTTGGGTGGATTGTACTCTCTTCTCAGTTGTGGTTGTTTTAATTCTCTGCCCCTTGGTTTGGGAATATCTGGCCGTGGAGCTTTCACCGGTCGAGCTCCCAATGTAGCTTCTTCTTTCTTCAGTCGTTCCATTTCTTTCAGCGCGGTGGCTTGGACTTCTGTCAGCTTTGATTTGATACTGGCGATTTCTGTACCACACTCTCCTTCGCGAAGGAAGTTATGGGCACCTTTCTCGCATTGGATTTGACACCACTCTAGTCCTTTGTCTAGCTGGTCGAAAATATCCGGAGATTCCGCAGGGCCTCTTCGGTATCCTCGTAACAGGCCAAGACTGAGCGTGCTTCCCTGGTTGTCAGCTGTTGCCGCTTCCTTCGCCATGTTCCGCGGTCCCATATTTCTGGTAGAGACGAATTTCAGTTTTGGCATTGGTTCATCATCGTCCTCATCGCCCTCATCAGATCCGACTGCCAATGGATCTGGTTCTAACGCCTTTGGCCCGACAACCAAATTATCCGCAGCAAGCATGTCGTCTTCTGCATCTAAGTCTTCTTCTTCCTCGACTTCCTTTTCTGCGGCGCGTTTCATTTCTGCCATTTTTGCTGCCATTTTCCCCTTACGCATAGAATTTCTGCTCCCGCTTACAAATTTGACAAGGTCTTCAAACGCTCGTTGAACTTCACCATCGTAGTATATGATGATCATAGATCTCGTTCTAAATTTAGGGGCAATTGATTCTCCGGAAGCCAGCGATTCTGTTTTTCGTTTTCGCAACACATTCCGTCCGCCGTTGACCTGTTGTGTTGGTGATTTTGATGTTGAGGGCTGCCTTTCAAGCGCCCCCGTCGAATTGTGAGCTTTTGGCTGTATGTTTGTTGCCAATTTTCCGCTCGCTAAACCTCTTGCGATCGAGGAGCTCGTCCGTCGTGGAGGGGAGTATCCATTGGTGGTCGACTTTGGTGTATCGAAAGGATTCAGTGGAATACCCTCTGCGTCGTTTGCGAAGGGGTTTTCCCCTCCATCTTTGGGTCGCAATGACTCGGTAGAACCCTTGTTCTTGAGTGATCGTGTCGAGGGCCTCGGATGCTCTGAATCTTCTAATCGTGCGAGCTCTATTTGTCGCAGAGCTATTTGGCCGTTTAGCTCATCGAGGCGTGTGTTCCATTGAGGAATTGAGGTGTATAGGATATCGAGGGCGTCTACAATCGAAAAACTAGACATTGGGAAAGGTGAGTGCGGAGCAGGGGACAGCCGATGCATTGTCACAACGGTCGACGGCGCCAAGTGATCCCCGGAAAGCCAGAGATGTGTGTTGGTGAGAGAAGAGTGAAGCGATGCTTGATGAATGAGTGGAATTACAGCCGTTTGTTAAGAGTACATTCTGAGAGCAGCACGAGGTCGAGAGCCAAAAGGGACGCAATGGTTGTATGTTGTATGTTGTATGTTGTATGAAGGTAGAGGTAGAGGTACAAAGCGGGAGCTCCTGCTTCTTGAGTGACGAGCCACGGTGCTCGGAAGGTGTGGTGGAGGTGGACCAAGGATTAGATTCTGACATGGACAGCCCGCGCGGGATCTGCAGAACAGCGACCACGAGTCTCCACTGCTTGCTTTGCCGCAACGGACAAGTTGACACAGGACCAGCCAGATACGGCAATCGAATACGCGGGCTGTTGGAGGGAGGGGGGTGCGAGGTGAATATAAGATCAAGATATATATGTGCATGTATGACCGCGTTCGCCTGCTGTTTACCCGTTCTCTCCATCCATATATCAGTCGGAAAGGATAACTCGCTCCCTCCGAGTCGACCCCAGTTCCCAGTGGGAAAAGGTTTGTGCTAGAGTAAAGCAACTTGCTCTTTCATGCCTCGCCGTGAGTCTTCTGCTTCGTTGAAAACATTAAATGCAATTGCCCACTTGGTGCGCAGCTTACCCGCAGTTTACATGGTTGCAAAGAAGCTCGCTTTACACTTCCGATAGGTGAAGAAGGTTGCCAAGGATCGTCAGATGTGCCTGTGTGCGCAAGTGTGGAGGGGCCACCTCGGAGTGAAGCATAATAAACGCTCACTACTATCGAGGCGCATATTCTCTGCGTGGACGAGGTCGCCGACTTGTGTTTGCGATTCTGTGTACAACATGCTGCAGCAAACCCTCGGCTAAGGCTTTTCAGATCGTGCTCGATCATTTCGATGCTTCGTTGGGTCTGATAGGCTAGAGTTGGTTATTGTTGTCGCGATATTGTCCTATTCTGGACTCTGCATTTAAACTTTCCTCTTATCCTTACCGGTTGAACTTCCAGGTTGGAGGAATGACCTTTGCTTCTCAATATTGGTACTCCAAAGTTGAGCGTATTGCTCGGTCTCACAGGCAGGATCGGGATACGAAGTCTATTAGTAAGAAGCTAAGACGTATTGCTGGCCTGGTTTTGACATACAAGACTGATCTGTGAGATTGATCTCGTGTCCTTTCCTCTCACTTTTCCTTCGAAATGTCTGCTTCGAGCTGAGGGGTGCAGCTTATCCCACATCGAGGAATACCTCCGTAGGATGCCGGCCGCCCACCCCAACACTAATAACGCAATTGCCTTTCCACGAGTATCGTAACTCTCTCGTTGGGGATTAGATCAAGCCACACGAGGGGAGGCTTGCCAAGTTACTCTCGTCGGATATTAGTTGGCTCTAACCTCATCCTCACGAGTTATTTACGAGGGATCAAATGAAGTCATCTTGACGGGAAAGTATCATATGGTTAGATACTGGAATGGAGCAGGAATGCCCTTGAAATGTTGCTGCCTTGAACAGCATACATCCACCGGCTAGAGAAACATATACTATAGTAGCAATATCGCCGTGCGACCTGCGCTTAAGAAACTTTCAGATAGACTTGCAGTTTCAGATGAAACGAAAGCGTTATCTCAAACCTTCGGTGCCTTCTCCGTCGACATGCAAAATCTCGCTCTGACTCGTATTTCATCTGACGTGGAGCGCGTTAGACCCCCACGGCTTTGCAGCTTCGCGTGGGCGGACAAGATAAACTTGAATCTTCTCTCAGATCTCGCAACTTTCAAATTCAACGGCTGTGACCCTGTCAAGCCTTTACCTGCACTGGCGGGACGGGCCACGCCATATAAATGTTACCGCACTTTACTCAAAAGTACCGGTGTCATTGGCTCCTATCTGATGAGCGTCCTCCGTCACAAATGAGGTTTACAACACATTTCACCCCCAACCCTTCCGGGAATCGGTGAAGGGTGAAGCAAAAGCTTACGCGCCCAGACCGCATGGGCATTGCTTGGTCTTCTGACTTGGTTTCTTTACTATGAACTGTGCGCAAAAGTTATTAATTTGCGACAAGCGCTCCAACTGGCAGAAACGTATTCTTCGTTTGATTACTCCGTACCTGTTGTCTTTTCTTCAAGCACGAGTCGCACGGCAAACACAGATACACGGCTGGAAAATACACCAAAGCGGTCTGCTAACAGCCGTTTACTCCACCCGGGGGAATATCCAAATCAGATCCGGCCTTCCAAGTGCGAGATGAGGTCGCGTTTCAAACGATTCTCGAACGGCAGCTGGCGATGATTCTCGTGGCATGGCGAACAGACGGCAGGGAGCATGGCGATAATGCCACCTCAACCTGGTTCAAAACGTGGTGTTTGCAGAAAGGCGGCGTACGTGCTCGGACAGAGTCCGGGGGTGTTTAAAGGGCCAAGCAATCTCAACGAAAGGGGGAGCAGCCTCTGCCAAATCACAACTTGTTCACAACGCGCTTTGAGTACTCGAGTACTCCCGTACATGGTGGGATATGTCCGACACGTCAGATTTCTGTCAGATGGACACAGACACAGCAAACAGCAACAACGTTTCTCGATGCGGAAGGCTTGACTACTGTGGTCTACTGCATTATCACCCTACATGGTTTCTCTAATTGGAGCATTTATCTCCTCACGGCCAGAGTTCTTCCACTTTCCACTCACCAACATCATCTCCGTGATGGTCCGCATCACCCTTCGGTCCGACATAGGTGAACAACCATCTGCGAGCCTTCTCTGGATCCGTCAAATCAAGTTGCTCGACCACCTCCGGTCTAATTATAACCACTCGAAAGTTCCGTCTCGCAACCTCATCGTTCAAATCGGTCACCTTTTGTCCAAGAGCCAGTGACTTGTCCTGAGGTGGGATTGACACGGAGGTACCTGGTGCGGGGTTCTTGAAGCTACCACGCATGCCCGGACTCAGATTGCCAAAATGGGCCGTCAGTTCTTTGGACCAGCTCCAACCTTCTTTGCCCTCCTCCTTCACCACTCTCATCCTCTCACCAATCTTAGCCTTGACGGTTTTTGTGCCACTCGAGCCATCCCCATCACCCTCAATATCAGTAGACACGAGATATGCATCCCCGCGAATCCTCCACTGCGTCATGGTCTCCTTCACCCAGAACACAGCTTCGACCGGTCCCCCACCACCGCTCCCCTGACTCTGACTTTCCTCGCCGTGACCCTTCGAGCTCGCAAATATCTCAGGCACTTTATGCATACGAACATCGGTCGTCAGGGTCGGGAGGTCGCTCTCATAGACCCTCTCGTTCTGCGGCGCCTCGTTGTGTTTGTTCTCGGGCAATTCGGCCCACATTCCGCGAAATATGCAGTATCGGGATCTGGGAACATAAGGTGTGGGCGTGTCTTTCGCATCCGAAGGACTGAGGGTGCTGAAGACGAACTCCGGTGAGTCCATCTTTGCCAAATGCGAGAGGAAGAGTGGTCGCCATGGTGCTACTCCCACGCTGGCCGGCGTCTTTGCTGTGGTAGACATTGTGCGAGCGATGCGCTGCAATCTGATGCGTGCTGTAGAAGCTATTTTGAATGTTGCTCGCTTTCAATTGGCTTCTTTACGAGGGGTTTGGAGTGTACTGCGTTCCTTTTGTATGCAGGCAGTTGTAAGTTGATGACGCTTAGAGAGTGGTAGGAGAAACTGACCCCACCATTCCGACACCACACGTGATAATTTCATTCCTACCCCTCCGTGTCAGAATGTGTTTTATTTCTGCGGTGTAGCATTTGGGTAGACATTTGGATCTTACTTTTTTTCTTGTTGGACCAACTGTTCGTGGAATTATATATGGGAGATCGGACGCGGCGACCTGGCAGAAAGTGGATATGATCGAAACCGACTTTGATCCCGACGCTCACTTCTATCATTAGAGATAATGGTATTTATTCATTTATCATGTGGTATCAGGTCAAAACGTGCCAAGAAAAACAGTCTCGTTTTGTAAATCTGAGCGACAAAGGTCTTTCATAAAAATTGCTCCGAGGATTGACGACAACCAATGGGACTATGTCCTTCGGTTGTGGGCTGTTGAATGAATCATATATCTTGAGCGAGTGGTCCAACATATTGATCCAACATAATCTTGAACGGAAGCATTCAATGTGCCTCAAAAATCTTAATTCGCTAATGATCGAGAATGGCTTGAAGTGACCGCTCTGTTTCGTGTCTTTCATCAAAGCCTTGAACAGAACAGTCGCTTATTGCTTGGATATTTGACAGGTAATTCGGTGATGACAAGAAGCGAGTAGACCATGCAACCAGTAAATATTTCACAAGAAAGTGAATGTAATCTGTGATTCAGTTTCCAACACTCCCGAGCGTGAGCGTGGGTACTCGGAAGGAAGGCACTGCACCAAATCATGTCTTGACGGAGCCTCAGGAGGAATAGAAAAAAGCTGCATTGTTGCAATTTGTAATTATATTAAAAGCATCGATTCAGAACTAGAATTGTAGCCGAAGCCATTATGCTATTAAATACCCAGGTTGGTCGGCTGATCTTGGATTATCTCCCTTCGAAATTCTCGCTTAGCCCCTTTCCCATAGGCTCGAAACAGTCAATCTCAACGCTAAATTGTCTCTTCATGCAAACCTATCAAATGTTGAAACAGGCTTTCGATGCATATTTACTCGTTATCCCATTCACACCATTCCTGTCTAATGACCACGTTATACCGATCGGTATCGAATTTCTGTCCACACGCCTGCTGATGACAGGTGTTCAAGATGTCTTGTGCATAACTGGCAATGTAAATGCAGTCTGGTCTGATGAAGTAGTTATTCTACATGGACATTAGTGTCTGATGAGAGAGATCAAAGGTGAACACGAACGTCGTTGCAAACATAGATAGCGCCAGAGGTTTGACAGGCAACTTGAGAACAGGAACGAGGTTGAACGCCGCATGTGCCGGGGAGCGCTCGCAGAACATTCATATCCCATTGAATCCAGTATGGCACCGTTGGGCGCCAGCTGTGTCCACTAACGGGACAGCAGTATGTTTGTGCCTACATAGATTAGCAAGTCTGTCAAATCAAAGGTGAGAGTATTACCTTGTTTCGCTCCTCAAGTCCTACACTACGAGGAGTTGAAACAGATGTTTCAGATGTAACGTTGAGGTCGAGATCTGGATGGTCCTTGAGAACGGTAGCGATCATCTGCTGGACCGACCCGGTGAGGGTGAGATTGTGGATTCCACCGAGTGAACCGCTGTATTGCATGGGTACAACTGGGTAAGGGAGATCGAGTTCAGCTGGAGGAGGAGGGATGGCTGAGACCTGGACCTGAATGGGTTAACCTGGGATCTCAGGGTTGGATACACGGCTTGGGGAACCAACTGTGATGATCAAGCTGACAAAGGCGACGATCCGAAGGATGGTAGCCTGCATGTTTGCGAATATGGTTTGGAAGTTGCAACACACGCTGGTGGTTGATGATCGAATTCCTGTTTGGAATTCGTGTTGATGGAGTGTTACTTCTCTTGGACAGAAAGAGGCGACGAGGAGCTTAATTTATAGCCACGACTGCGGCAACTGAGGCATACCCATCACGGTGTCAACAACACTGGTAAACCTCACGATAGCTCGCTTAGCAGTGAAGTGGAGTGTTCGAGTATCTGGTAGCCAAGAGAAATATGGCCTGATGACCGGTACTGTTGAAATAAGGGCATTCACAATGGTAAAGTTGAGGTACATTAAACTCATCTTTAATGTTCAAAATACAGTATTCGATCTTAGATGATAGGGAGGGGTGAGGTTTCGACAGGAAATGTACGGCTGGATATCTCTTACTAGCTAGTCACATGTTTGAGACTTTCATCTTACAAATGGGCTATAAATCTCTCAGCCGCCAACTCTCTTATGGAGTGTTTTAATGGTATGTTTGATATTTGACAAAAAGAAAAATAGCATAAGGCTAGTTTGAATGACAATTGTACGTTGGCACTAAAGCCTGAAGATGGTCTATGCTAAACCTCCCACAATCTAACGTCTATATATGGACACGAATTTATCTCTAGTGCTCAAACATCTTCGCTCGAGTCGACCGACCTTAGATTATTATTCCCTTACTTAGGTAGACAACCTGTGAATCAAAGACTCTACCTAGCATTCAGTTTCACTGTTTTTGAGGAACATGTATTGAGCAACATATTTTGAGCAACATGCTTGATTTGAATTGTTTGACATAGTTTTTCTATCTTATAAGATCTACAGCTAGTTGTGAATTATGTCACGAATTAAAAATACCTATTATTTGGGTCTCTGGATATCTTACAATGAATGTCCATAAATCTCCTTCTCTTAGTCCGGCTTTTATGACTGCCCTTATCCTGGCCAACTTATCCTTTTCCGACACCCTTGAATAATGAGGCATTTCGTTCTCAATGCTCAACAAGCTCTTTGTTATCTTTTAGAACAATTTGTATTATTTTCCCAATATGGAATCGACATGAAAACCACGTTTACAATTCTGGATATATTGAACCTAACTACTCCACATCCATCCATTATTTCGAATAGTTCCTTAATAAGTGCTTTTAAGTTGCTAAGCCAGACGTCCCTGGCCCTTTCTCTCAGACCGTTCTTCTAATGAACGTGACGAGAAATCCTAACATAGTAGTGATCAGTATCAGAAACTTTAGTCCCAGTCCAGTAACCCCTCTGCCACATACACCAATTTTTAGCATCTAGAACGTAACTAGCTAAGTATCTAAGATCAGTTTTAATCAAGTACTCGGTCCGCAGGACCAGTTAGTGATTTGAAGAGATCACAGGGAAAACCTGGCATACCTCGTTACAGACTTGAACTCTGTAGTTAGATTTATCGGCCAGCTCTTTGCATTCTTTTGCTGGAACTTCTACAGTTCCCTTCATACGCATGTTGTCTGCGAATACCTTGTTCGCTAGTGCGAGATTGGTGAGGCTCATTATGAGAAAGGTTAGACACTCGGTGACTCTAAGAAGATGCATTTTTTTTGTGATGAAATAAATGTAAGGAGTTGATGACAAGTTCTGGTGGCAAAACAACTAATGTGAAGGTGTAAAAAGGGGAGGGGGAAAGGCATGAAACAAAGTTACAGCATATACATTAGCGAGTGCGTTTGAACAAATTGTGAAAGGGATTATATAACTGAAAACGATTAAATATATCGGCCGTTTGCAGTCCATGTGACAAAGAGTATTACTGAATTGGGAAGAGATTCGTATTTCGGGAAAAGGGAGCACACATAGAGACAACATAATAGCTTGTCTTGACATTGCATGCCTCTAAAACTTTCCTCCCAATGTGGATAGGGTCTTCCAAAACAAGTACAACTTAATTGAATTATTTATAAACTAGTTGTATTGGAATTGTCGAATATCAAGCTGCCAACTTGTTTAAGTCCTTTCACACCCAATGGTTTATCACTCCCAAAACATTGAATTAGAAGTTCTGGATGCCATTTGGTATTGCCCGAAGAGAACATTCCACCGCATTATGTATCTATTGTGAAGTACGTACACCTTGTTCCTCCGTATTGAATAAGAAGTTTGCGCCTGAATGCTATTAATTTGCCAACCTAAACTCAAATCAAACCTTCCCACTCAGCCGCTCAAGGACCATTATAAAAAACCGTGACATAATAATGATCAGTATCCTCAACAGTAACCGAATGAATTCCCGGTTTTACACCATTTGCCTGACAGTAATGTATACCATCCAGAATATAGCTTGAGATATACCCACGATCTGGATATATTTTGTACTTGTTCTACTCACAAATAAGTCAGCACCAGAAAGTGTAGATGCGAGGGCATATCATACGTCATTGCAAACCTTCCCTACGAATGCCCTCTCAGTACCTAAGTCGGCGCAAGAGTTGCCGGCAATTGTAATACGTCCGGTCTTCTCCATGCTGTCGTATACGGCCCTGATGCCGACCCAAGGCGCAGCTTCTTCTCTTTTCCCTTCTTTGTTGCAAATCTGATTGAGTTCTCCTTTGGTTGGCATTTCAGGTAGAAACTATCAGTGGGTTATCATTTTGGTTTCACTGTGAGCAGAGAGAATCTATGCATACCTTGTCTCCTTGGCAGACATTTGTGAAGCTCAGCATAAGAAGACTCAAAAGCTTCGTGGCTGTGAGTATTTCCATTGTGGGTGCTTGATGAAATATTCAGTGTCAGATTCTGTATGTGGTAGGAAGTGTAGGCAAATGGTGATTAGTGGCTAGATTCACATGGATGAATGTTGATGGAAGAAGGGAAGAGGAGAGATACACTGGTGAAACCCATCATTTTATAGGCGTCGGTGAACGTAATTGCTCTTTGATCTTCTTTGTCAAAGAGTAGAGATCATAAGCCAACTAGGACAGGTATGTTAGTAATTAACAACCTGATATGACTGACCGAATGTGTTATGGACAAAGAAAGCACATAACCTTCGTTTAAGATAGATTAGCCGAGATAGTACTTCAGGGAGTCGAGAGTTGTCGCTTAGCTACTCTCTCGATTGAGCAAACAGTTTCTTTGACTTCTCTTTTCGCTCTCCAGGTTGTTGAATGCCGAACAACATTTAGAATGAGAGAGTTGGATCTACGCCAAGCCACTGAGGGATGAAGCTGTGGCAAAGTGCTTTTGTAAGTCAAAGAGTTGGGGTTGCATGGTGCGAAAGAAAGTCAAATGTTTCAATCCTTCGCATTTTGAGGATTTGTTCTGTAGGAAAACCTAGCACGATATTGAGATTTCTTTGTATTGTTTCTAGTATACCCCTAGATTCGACGCTACCCAACTCGCGTTCCGTCGGTTTTCTTCAGGAAAGGAATGCTTTCCGAGCAAGCACAGGGTAACTGCTACCTCAGTAGGCAATTGGAACGTGTTCTCGACAGGATCTAATTTGATTGTTGGGTACTCGGTCAATGAAAGTTTATCCAGGGACTGAAATTGAACAAGTGATTCAATTTGAGTGTTGAGCTTCTGTTGGCTGGGAGAAAGGTCATGTCCGCTTTTTAGGATGCTGACAGCTTGACAACCGTATGTAGGTTGAGAGAGGGAAAGCTGGAACCACCCGTATAAATTGCTATTTGCGAATTTCGAAACGCACAAGACGGCTCATGTTTGACGTCTAAGTAGAGTATCAACTCACCGTCCAAGGACATGAGTACATCACGTGATGAGGACAAGGCACGTGAATACCATCGGAGAAACGTCCGAAATCGAAAATACTACTGGTAGTAAAAATAAAAGCCAGCAGAATGTATATTGAAGAAGATAAGATTATTTCGCCGTTTTACATATTTGTTTCTATCCTACTCCGACGGGACTTATCCATATGAAAGCTTGGGTGCAAAAAAGTGGAACAGTACGGGGTATGCAGAATTCAAATTCGATTCCAGACATCAATTTCGATGCGCAGCGGTGCGGCACAGACATTCCTCCCCACTCCTTGAAGGTCAGGTGATCTCCTCATGGCTTTTGTCGGCTGTTCATGTCACTCGTACCTACTACCTGCGTGCAAATCTGTCGCCTGCCGAAAAACTGCGTACGACAAGGCCTTCGCTCAACCTTATATACTCGCGGCTGGAGACTTATATGTTGCTGTGTATTTCTGATCTTCTTTGCCACGCGCTTAAGACGCGTTTATTGTCTTTAATCCCTCGCCTTCAGAAATAGGCGCATCTGCTACACACCTCAACTGCAGCTCTTGGCGTCTGAAACACATCTCTCTGTCACTATCAGCGATCACGGGAAAGCCAATACCGAATACGCCTTTGTGCCGTTGCCAATAAATCCGTTTAACACTCTCTATGGAACGAATAATAAAGAACCCTCTCTTGGTTGACAGCTGCTAAGCAGATCGTCTCAATATCTTGCGACAAACAGAGCATTCCGCCTTTTCTGGCATTCGAGGACTACCGCCAAATGTCGGCCCCGGGGCATGATCATTCAGGAAGCCCCCATGACAACTTTTCCTCAGACCTTCCCAGTAGACCGAGATCGTGGTCAGGCTATCGGAGTCACAGTCCCGTTACCAAGCATGGATCCGAGAAGGAAAGGGATAGCCAGGACGATGTGTTAATAGAAAGTCCCTTTACCGATTTGGGTGTGAGTGAGCTGCTTAGCGCTGATACGCGACCAACATTCGTTTGCAAAGTTTCTACCATTACCAATGACGTTTTTGAGATTGTGTTTGCCAACCACGCCTTGAGATCTGCCGCAAAGCTCTGGAAGGCTGTCAAAAAAACCAGTGGTCCAAAGCAAATCATCCAATCTACCGCACCGGACATCTGGCCCTACCGGAAATGGCTCGAGGCTGCTGTCAAGCAAAGTGGCACCCGGCCCGAGCCCATGTTATTCTCTGAGTGCGAATGGAATGCTTTCGTTATTGGTGGTGCGTGGTTGGTAGTGGGTGGAAGCCGATATTCTCATGTCCAATCCCGCTCACCGTCTGTCTCGCCAACTCCAAGTAGTACGTCGATATCATCCCAGGCTGGATCGGAAACCATTTCAAACTTGAAAGAGCTCACGCAGCGAGTCAACTCATTCGAAACCTCTCCTAACGAGACAATTGTAGCGCCTTCCTATATCACACCAGGGACTCCAGACTGGACACTTCCTCACCCCAAAGGTGATCTTTCACAACATGTGATATTTACTCGTAGTATTGATTGGGGGCGCACACCACTGGGAGACATGAATACCTGGACTCGAGAGTTTAGACAGGTTGTGAATTTAATGATGGGAAATCCTCACCCAATAGCAATATTCTGGGGCGATGAGCTGACTGTCATGTATAACAAAGCTTATGCTGACACCGTGGCTGGTGACAAACATCCAAGGCTGATGGGAATGGGATTCACAACCGCTGGAGCGTTTCAAGAGATCTGGGACTTTGTCGGACCTATCTTCAATGAATGTAGAGCCACAGGAAAGTCGGTGGCGGTGTCGGAGCAGAACCTACCTATGGAACGCAATGGCTTTCTTGAAGAAACATTTTACACCTGGTCTTTGACACCATTATATGGCGGTACACCAAACATATTAGGTCTCTATAACGCGCCATTTGCAACGACCCGCATGACCCGTGCAGTTCGAGCGACGCAAACACTACTAAAGCTGGGACAGGAACTGAATAAAGCCCAGAAAATACCCGAATTCTGGCAGAGAATTTTGACGGGAATTGAGGGCAATGGATACGACTTCCCGTTCGCAATCATATATTCGGTGGCTGAAGATTCGGACGGGGGCGATGAGGATTCATCATCAGCATCCGCAACGTCAATGGACATGAAAACTTGCGTTTTGGAAGGTGCACTTGGAGTACCTAATAGCCACCCCGCGGCACCTATCCGTTTGGACTTGAAACGAGCCCGTGGTGGTTTCATTCCTTCGTTTCGTGATGCCATGCGTACTCGAGAGCCCAAACTGCTGGATATCAACGATGGCTCACTCGCTGAGTCTCTCCTGGATGGAATTGAGTGGAGAGGCTATGGCGAGCCTTGCCGGTCCGCGGTCGTCTGTCCTATCCGACCCACTAATGGGGAAAACGTTATGGGATTCCTGGTTATTGGCGTTAATCCTCGGCGGAGATACGATGAAGACTATAGCGCACTTATCCGCTTGCTTGATCGCCAACTTGCTACATCTCTCGCATCTGTGACTCTGTTTGAGGCGGAGATTCAGCGGGGAGAGGACGCTGCACATGCCGCCGCAGTAGAGCGATCTAGATTATCAAAGGAGCTTGAGAACCAGCGCACTAGGCTGCAACGAATGGCCGAAATTTCGGCAGTAGGAATGTTTTCCATCGACCCAGAAGGTCGAATTCTTGAGGCGAACGACAGATGGTACGAGATGACTGGCCATCCAAGAGCCCAGGAAGAAAACCACAGCATGAGCTGGATGGGAGTTATCCACAACAGCAGCATTGAACTGATGAAGATGGGCTGGGACCGGTTGTCAGTGGACAAGCTACCGTGGAGTGGCGAGCTCCAAATGAACAGGCCCTGGAATGATCCAAATACCGGCGATGAAGTCGACTACTGGATATTACTTGCTGCTCAACCTGAATTTTCCATTGACGGACAATTTCTGAGTCTGATGGGTTCTATTACAGACATCACTCTGCAAAAGCAGAGTGAGAAAGTTGCAGATATGCGTGCTAGATTTACCGAGAAACTTTTGATGAAGGAGCAAGAAACGAAGGATCTTCAGAAGAGACAATTGCAGGAGGCTGAGGAGAACAGGCGTCGCCAGAATAACTTCATCGACATAACTTCACACGAGATGAGGAATCCACTGAGTGCTATTCTTCAGTGTGCCGATTCTATAGCGACCTCACTGAAGGAGACAATAAGGGATAACGTGAAAACTGGTAACTCTGTCTCTAGTATTATTGAGGCTGCTATTGAGTCTGCAGAGACTATCCAGTTATGTAAGTTGCGATCCTAGATTCATTCCTTGCCCGTTAAGCGTATTCGGCACTGTTGCAAAATACATCACAACCATCAATTTTACATCCAAGTGCTGACTTTACTGTTCTCCGGCATAGGTGCCCAGCATCAGAAGTCAATTGTGGACGATATTCTCACAATCTCAAAGCTGGATTCTCATTTGCTGTTGATAACGCCGATGCCCGTTCAACCTATTCAAGTTGTGAATCAGACATTGAAAATGTTCAATACCGAGGTTCAGATGTCCGAAATTGAAATGCAGTTCATAGTCGACGAGTCTTACGTCGAACTGGACGCTGGGATAGTCATGCTCGACTCTTCACGACTTCGTCAAGTAATCGTCAACCTAGTCACGAACGCTATCAAATTCACGAAATCGGAGACTCGACAACGAACTATTTCAATTTCTCTCTCTGCCCATGCGGAACCACCACATGATGGTCCCAAAGATTTCAGATACTTTCCTACAGAGAAAAGCTGTTCGGATGTCACCATCAGTGAAGAATGGGGTCAAGGCACGGTTCTTTATCTACGATTTGAGGTTAAGGATAGTGGATGCGGCTTAACAGAAGAGGAAAAGAAGAACCTATTCACGAGATACTCGCAAGCATCTCCCAAGACACACGTCAAGTACGGAGGTAGTGGTCTCGGCCTGTTCATCTCGCGCCAGTTGACCGAGCTTCAAGGCGGCGAAATTGGCGTAGCTTCAGAAGCAGGTGTTGGCAGTACTTTTGTATTCTACATCAAAGCACGAAGAGCATTTGGCAAAGACGCTCATATACCCCACGAGACGATCCACCCGGGACCTCAGCCTCTCAACGCTCCGTCGAAACCCCCTGCTTCCCGCGTCAGCTCCGCCCCAGCGTCTCTTACCACAATGGCTAGTCTAGAATCAAATGGCCCAAGCAAATGGCATGTTCTTATTGTCGAGGACAATCTCGTCAACCAGAAGGTCCTAGCGAAAGGCATCAAGAAACTCGGTTGCACAGTCCATGTCGCTAATCACGGAGGCGAAGCATTAGAAGTCCTGCGAGATACCAAGCATTATAGTGGGAGAGAAGACGATGGAAAGGATTTGACGGTGATTCTAATGGATTTAGAGATGCCTGTTATGGATGGATTGACTTGCGTAAAGAAGATAAGGGAGTTGGAGAGGGAAGGGCAGTTGAACGTGCATCTGCCTATCATTGCTGTCACAGCGAATGCGAGAGGTGAACAAGTAATGGCGGCGAAATCTTCGGGCATGGTGAGTTTCCTTCTTCATCTATTGACACACTGTCAAACACTCGTCAATAAGCTAACATTTCAACGAAGGACGATGTAATGCCCAAACCATTCCAAATAAGGGACCTGGTTCCTAAGATCGAAGCTCTTCTTTCTCGCGCCTGAGTACCACATCATCATGGAAATAAGGAGGAGCATAAAAGGGGCGTACACATATAAGGGAGCATCAACACTAAACGCTTTGTCTTGAGAATACGAACAAGATACCCATTTTTGGTTCGTGGCGCTTCATTAGGTTTTATATATGAGTGATATGGTAGACGAAGTTTAATTGAAGACTTGTTCGAATTGAATTTTCGTCTTTTGTTATTTTGCTTAACTAAGAGCAGGGTGCAGTTACAACGTTTGAGATGGGTGAACCTTGCGTTGTCTTATTATTTTCTATTATTTCCCATTAAGCAAGAATTTGAGCAGACGGACCATTGAGGCGCTTTTTTTTTCAAGATTCAAATTCAAATTTCAAGGTAAGTAAATAACTACAGCACTGGTACATACAAGAGCAAACTGTCAACAAGACTAAAACAAGAACTAACTCAAAAAGCAGACAATACTGCCCTCCTTCAAGATATCTTATTATAAACTCACAACAATCTTCTCAGCACTGACACCTTTCCTCTGTACCTCGAAAGCCGGCTGTACACTTTCCAACCCCCGTCCCACAACCCTCACTGCCGGACTACTAACAAATGTACCCTCCTTTAGAGCCTCCGGCAGATAATCCGCATACAGCATTTTCCCAACGCCGTTATCAATAAGCGTATACCCGAAAATGAACTTCGAGTTCACGCCCAAGAATTTACAGAGGATCCAGTGTTTAATATTCCACGTCACGAACCCGAACATCGTGCGTGGCAACACGAACAACTCGAGCGGTTTCTGAGGAACCGGGTACGTGGCCATGGCGATGAATTTCGAACCGTTGCAGTGTGAGAGGATAGAACGACATGCGTCTGCGGCGCCTGAACCTATGGAGTAAGCCCCAGCTGAGATTCTGGTCTTCATGAGGTTCGTGATGTCGGCGATCACGGTTGGAGAGTTGTAGTCGAAGACGTGTGTTGCGCCGAGGGATTTGACGAGCTTGAAGTTCTTCGGTGAACAGGTAGTTATGACTTCGTAGCCTGCGGCGACGGCGAGTTGGATGGTGTTGCAGCCTACGCTTGTGGAACCGCCCCAGATGATGAGAGTTTTTCCAGTGGGTTTTGCAGGAGGTGAAGAGGGGAGTTGGAGACCTAGTTGGTCGTCTTGGAATAGACCGCATGCTGCGGTGGATATGCCCATGGGAATGATGGATGCTTCTTCGAAGGACATGGCATCTGGAACTGGCGAACTGAGATGTTCTCTCAACACCACATACTCCTGAAAAGCACTCTCATGACTTCCAGCCTTGATAGGAGGACCCGCCGTCCCAATGGCGTATCCGAGAACTCGATCACCAACTTTGAATCGAGTTACTGAAGAACCAATCTCGACTACCTCGCCAGCAACGTCTGTTCCGGCTACGAAAGGAGTCTTGAGATGAGGGTAGACTAGCCCGCCGGCGGCGGTTTGGACCATCCAGTCTACGGGATTTATGGCGATGGCGCGGGTTTTGATGGCGATTTGATCTGGGAGGGGGGAGGTGTAGGGTGATGGACCTATTTTGAGGTTGGCTCTTAGGGAAGGGAGCCAGGCGGCACTGTTGCTCGGTTGAGAGGTTTTGGTGTTCATAATGAGATTGGGATGAGATATCGATTTGGTATGAAAAATGAAGAAAGAAATGATAGAGTTATTTAAAGACCTTATACAGACTTGTTGGTCTTTTGAAAGAAATACTAATTCCAAGAAAAAGCCATACTTATACCCAAATCAAACTTACCTCCTCAGCAAGCCCATCTCGCAAATGTGGATAACTTCATCAATTCCACTCCCAAAACACATCACAAAATTCTCCAATAAAAGCAAACTCATGCCAATAAAGTTAAACTAATACCTTGTACATTTCCCTGGCATTTCGTTTAGCGCAAAGAAAACAAGACGTCGTCGTTGAGATGGGAGAATATCTGTCCGCGTATTTGGTGGTGAAGATGGAGGAACGGAGGATCAGTCGGGAGAACTTCACAGTGCTTGGGCGGTCCATGGACACACTTTGGCCTGAGGCGCGATTTTACGAAGCGAGAGCGAAGCTTCAGCCACACGGGGCGCCTTATCGTTATCGAAACTCAACATCACCAGCACATGTCAAACGAAATATATACTTCTGAGATGTTCAAACATCGACCATGACCTCCCTCCTAACCTATCTCCAAGAAACCGAGCCTCAATTCCGCAAGTTCGTCTCCCTTTGTTTTCCCTCTTAAAAACTCCCAAACTAATACAAACCAGCTCCCGTCTCGGGGCCCTCTACTCCGACTTCCTCCCCCAAAAAACACTCAACCCAGATGGCTATACCGCGAACATCACAGCCTGGCTACGCGGCCTGAAAGCCGCTACGCTAGCCGGCAAGATCCCTTCGAGCACCAGTCGACTGACGATCACGCTTGATGAGTCGCTGCTGCGCTCATTGAACTCGCCGCAATGGGGGAGGCCGTTGGCGATGGCGACGGTGGTTCGGGAGGCGGTGGAACGGGGGGAGATGGTGGGGCTTGGGGAGTTTGAGAGGATTGAGGGGTTGTACAAGAGGAAGGGGTGGGGGATTAGTCCGTGGGGGGTGCTAAGATGGGGGTATAATGCTCTCGGGTTGGGTGGTGGAGAAGGCAAGATGCCGGTGGGGAAGTTTGTGATGGTTTCGAATTTGGAGGACGCGGGGATGGAGGCTGCGGGACGGATTGAGGCGTTTAGAGGACGGACGGAGAGGGTGTTTTCGAGGTTGGAGTTTAGAGAACAATTTGCTGATGTGCTTGGGGAGGGGAGGGTGTTGTCCGAGAGCGATTTTCAGATTTTGCTGAGATATTTGCAGAGGGATAAGGGGCTTGTGGTGTATGATGATGAGATTGTCAAGTTGAAGGCTCCTGGAGTTACGGACGAGATCACACAGGAGGATTCAACTATCGTTTCTCTGAGGACGTTGATCCGCGATTTGCGAATCCAGACGAAGAATCTTACGCAGAAGGTCGATGAGTTGACCGTCACAGCGAAGGAAGCAGTCACGCGCAAAAACAGAGTTGGTGCTCTAGCAGCTTTACGGTCCAAGAAACTCGCCGAAAGCACACTTGAAAAGCGTCATGCCACATTATCCCAGCTCGAAGAAGTCTTTGTGAAGATCGAGCAAGCGGCCGACCAAGTCGAACTCATTAGAGTGATGGAAGCAAGTACACGCGTTCTTACTGGTCTCAACAAGGAAGTCGGAGGCGTGGAACGTGTCGATGATGTGGTTGATAACCTCCGAGAACAAATGAGCCAAGTCGATGAAGTGGGCAACGTTATTGCTGAAGTTGGGAGAGATGATATTGTTGTTGATGAGACGGAAGTGGATGATGAGCTTGAGGCTATGGAGACGCAAGAGAAGGCCAAAGTCGAAGCCAAGGAGCAGAAGGAGAGGGAAGAGAAGGAGAAGAAAGAAGCGGAAGAGACGAAGCGTAAACTCGATGCTTTGGAGGAGGTAGAGAGGAAAGCAAAGGAAAATGCCAGTAAAGCAGCTGAGAACGAACATGTGGAAGAGGATTTGGAGGACAGCATAGAGCAATTGCGGAAAGTAAATCTGGATGCAAAGGACCCAATTTTGGAGAGTAATTAGGCGGTCACATTCATGATGTATCACAATATCATAATATAGGGGCGTTGGTGCTTGGTTTGGCAGTCATTATTAGCGCTGCGGCTAGCAGGCTAGTATTGTATATTCGTAAATGTAGGATTATCTATTCCAACCACGGCTTCTATACCACTCTTATTTACTGGGATACTATTTGTGTCTTGTGAAGGTCGTTTAGGAGGAGGTTGCTGGCTTGTGGTGTGTAGGCCGGGCATATTTTGTTGTTTTCGTTCTCGCTGTTCTTGCTCTCGTTCTTGTATTGCTAACTCCCCGTAGGTTAGAATTGGGTATTTATGAGGCCTTGTTTGGACGGCTTGCCATGACCCATCTATATATTGTGGCTCCATAAAAGGAACGGGCCGGTCTGAGTGAACAAATGGCCAATTCGGGTTATGCTTCTCAGATCGTTCTCGTTGGGAGAGTGACATTTTCGTTTCTGGTACTCCTGGCTTCGATGCGTTGCTTGTAGGTTGTTGATTGTTCGAAGCAGAACTTGCCAATGGTTCTTGTGTCGAGTTTGGAGGTGGGTAGGTTAGACTTTCGGAAGCTGTTGGTAATAGCTGATGAGATTCCGTGTGCGTCTCGTAGTCTTCTTTTGATGCTGTATATGATGATTCATATGCGCTGGTATTGTTTCCGGTATGAGGTTCGGAAGGCTGCCAGGTGATTGATGGGCCTGACTTGTTTGAGGAAGACTGCCCGGTAATCGAAGCAGATTCAGATTTATCATCTGTTGTTGCGACCGCCTTCGCAGCTTGTGCTTTCTTCCTCGCGTTCGCGATTAGGTATTTGAAATTAGCATCATGTTGATTAGACCAAGCAGCTGCATCAAAGTCTTTACTTTTTATTTGGTTCCCAGTCGAATTAGAAGGTGCATATACGCCTTGCGTTCGTTCCCAGGTATCCATATCCCGTTTCAATTCTGCTTTACTTTTTGGAAATGTGGCATCGCAATTGGCGTTCCATAGAGTAACCCATTCTGTGATTCTCTTTTCCATGATTGGCTTGCTGCCATGTCCAAGAAGTCCAAGATCCATCGCTTTTTTTCGAACCTGTCTTTCGTTCATCATGCCATAGTTCACTTGAGCCAATCGCTCGAGTGGCTTTTCTGCATTCTTTTGCCCTCGTCTCGACGGGCTAGATATTGACTTAAGCTTTTCGCACTTTGGTGTAGATGGTTCATTGGGACATCCTCGATCGATATGTAAATTTATGGATGCTTCTTTAACACGTTTTGCACAGATGGGACACTCCACCCGGCCGTCATTATGTTCTTCCTTCTCTTCTATTGACGCCAGATATCAGACTACGCTCAGTCGGTATAAACGGTAAGTACGAGGTCCACTTACCAGGTACAAAATCCCCATCTTCATCTGAATCTAGAACAATCATTTGTTGCGCAGATTTAGCCCGTGTTTGACGGCTAGACCTCGTTCTCTTCCTAGAAGGCTCTCCATCCTCTTGCATTTCCGGCGTCGTACCTCGACTACGGTTCGGCGGCATCGTTGGGGATGTTGCTGATGGCTTTGTTGCGAAAGCGAAGACCTCTGGTCTTGCGAGCTTGAAGCTTTGAACCAACTCACCCAGGGTTTTGCAATGCCGCAGTCTACTAGACTGGTCCTCTTTCCTACATGCAGGACATTTCCCATCTTGGTTTAAACATCGGCGAATGCAGAGGGAGCAAAATGTATGTTCACAAGATGTGATAAGTGGTGTGTCGTAGAACTCCTTGCAAATCTGACATCGAAGGGCGGCTTCTACGGCGGAAAGAGATTTTAGTGGTGTTTCGAGCCAATCTGTCGAGTCTGTGATCTCGTAGGTAGCATCTTTGGGTGTTTTGCTATTCATTCTGCGAAGGGAAGTCGCGCATACGGCTGTATATTCGATCCCGAGTTAATATCCTCGGAGGCGACTTCGATGCGCTCAGTTTGTATGCCAAAGATTTCCTGCAAAGTGCGAGTCAAAAGTTTCCAGAGTTGATCACATTCCAAGTGAGAATTTCTGAAATAAAACGCCTGCTACACTGGGCTGCCGTGTTGTTGATGGTGTATTGATAGAAGGTTGCAGAGTCCTGTCGCGTAAAGTGGTTGCTTGAAGCGCGTCACCCTCTAAAGGGACGCGATCACTACTTTTTGACAAACTTCGCAAAGAACACCACAAAATATATTTCGCAATGGCAGACTATAAATCGTATCTAGCTGCGAGTATACTGACTGAGGACAAAATTGTAAGAGGAAGCAAACAAATTCTCTTGAAGGAAAAAGAACTAAAACGAGATTCCAGGTAACATATCGTCTTCTCAGCCGGGCGCTGAAAGTACATGTCAATGCGGCGAAAGAGTCAGTCAATTATGAAAGAAGGGGTACAACCGCTGATACATGTTAGAATGCTCTATGAGTTTCATAAACAACAGAATGCGAAGAAGCCACAATCGATCCATGCGACGTACCTCCTGAGCGGTACCAAACGAAAGGAGGAGCCTACTGATGGCGAAGCAAAGAAGGACAATGACGGGGACAACTATATGCAGAGCAGTCCAATTATGAGCAGTTCAATGCCTATGCCGGAGGAAGATTATAGCACTGTAATCCCACCTGTGTTGTCAATAACGTTAGTACGAGAAGAAGACTTGGAAAGTATGTTTGGTATATCGTTCATTATCTTACGAATAGCTAACGAGGCAATCCAGAAATACGAGCTCAATATGAAGAAATCAACTCTATACATGTATACAGCCTGGAACCAAGCCCGTTGAAAGACCTACAAGTTCTATCCGATATAACCAGGCAACTCACAGAACTATGCGCCTCGGAAGACCCATTAGAAACGAATATTAAATACGGCATCATAACCAATCCAAATGCCAAACGACGCTCAGCAAGAAGGCCACCTCTCCCAGTAGCGGCAGTACCTGTAATGCCCAAATCCGAAGCAGCGAAGCCAAAAGTGACAGAATCAAAACCACCGCCTCCAAAGAAAGAAGAGCCGAAGTTGAAATCTGCCACCGCGAATGACTTCTTTGGTAAAGGCAAAGAGAAAACGAAACCAAAAGCCGCAGACAAGGGTAGTGCTTCAAGCAAGGAATCAACACCAATTCCGCCGACGCTCAAGCGGCAAGGTTCTAGCTTGATGGCCGCCTTCTCCAAGTCAAAACCAAAACTCAAGCATGAAGGAACAGATAGTTCAGCCGTAGCATCTCCAGTCTTGAGCGCTGCAGCAGACTCGCCTATGAAAGACGTCTTTGATGACGAAGAGGAGACCTATGTTCCTCCACCCTCAAAAGTAAATGTCGAGGAAAGTCGAAAAGCGAGGAAAGATCGCGAGGCCGCGTTAAGGAAGATGATGGACGAAAGTGATGGCGATGATGAACCACCCAAGCCGGAGCCAGAGGAGAAATCAGAAGAGGAGTCACAACCTAAAGCCAGATCAGAGTCTCCGACAAAAGAAGACCCTCCTATCGTCAGTGGTGGTCGAAGGAGAGGAAAGAGGAGGGTTACGAAGAAGAAGGTCATGAAAGATGAAGATGGATATCTAGGTGAGTGTTGTTCCACCATTTACGCTGAAGATTTGTTAATGTTTCATAGTTACCAAAGAAGAAGCAATATGGGAATCCTTCTCAGAAGACGAACCCGTCGCCAAGCCTAAACCGAAGCCGCTTGTCTCTTCAACTACAGCAGGTAAAAAAAAGGCGCCGCCGAAGGCTGGACAGGGGAATATTATGTCGTTCTTTGGAAAGAAATGATACTTTTTATAAAAGCAGGATGGGATTGTGGTTTAATGATGGTTTATGAGAAGATATAGATGTCCAAAGTGATACCTAATGTTTGGTTGGCAGGCACTGTCATTTGTTTAATGTATTTGCGCCTCGATAAGTCTATCAGCATATTAAAATCGAACTTCTTCGTATCCGACGATCTATGTTAAGTTCCGAAGCGCATATGTTTGAATTGTAGAGGTTCAAAACAAGTGGTACGCACTTACGAGTTGGAAGAGAGGGGTTCGCAATACTAGCGATTGAAAATTTATCTAGCTTTGTCAAAATGCCACAAATGGGTATCCTTCTATTGTCAAATACTTTTCCAGATAATATCTACACAGTTAAAACTCCAAAGCTTCAAGGTTTCCCCCTCGATACGAGCCCCTCAACGCCATCATATGCTTTCAACATACCTCTCACAGCCATTAACCAATATTGAACTCGGAAGCGACAGCCATATGCTCCTTCATCTTCTTCTTCATCCTTCTCGCAGCATCATTACCATCCACAGTAGGCATATCGAGATCTAGTTTCCTCTGCTTCCTAACCCTCTCTCCTTCAGGCGCTTTGTCCACATCAACCTCTCCTCTCTTCGCCTTTCTTGCAGCTACGCTCCTATCCGCTTTGGTCATCTTGGCAGGTCGTAATCCGGGAACCTTGATACTACCCGGTTTATCTCTGAGAGCGAATGCCTTGGCGAGATGTCCTAGATGGAGGGTTTGCATATTGAAAATATGCCGTTCATCCGCTACATGAGTAGCGTACGCTCGGATGTGACTTTGGTAACCACGACGTGCCATTTCTAGATATTTCGGAGATTCCTGTGTCCAGCGTTCAACTTCCAGCTGCCACTCTGTAGCTCTTTCTTCCCATTCTCTTCCAGTACCACCAAATCCTTTCCTCAACAGATCATCGGCGGTATTGTGTGTCAAAGCCTTTTTGCCCTCTTTATATCCAGAGGCAAGGATTGATATATATTCTTCTTCTTCGCCAGGTAACAAAAAGATCAGTGCGCGACCTTCTCGTCCTGCTCTAGCAGTCCTACCAACACGATGTAGATGGTCTTCGGCGCTGAATGGGGGGTCGTATTCTATGACATAGTCCACGTTTGGAAGATCGAGACCTCGAGATGCAACATCGGTACAAATCAACACACATGGTTCGGTAGATTGCGTGAACGCTTTGAGAGTAGCCGTACGAATGTTCTGAGCTAGGGAGCCATGTAGCCTATGGAGAACAACAGAATTTGTGTCACTGGAAAATGTCGTCCCATGAGCAATCGTGTCTTTTGTCAGCTCCCCTTTCGGCAGCTCAGGGCGCTCAATAACAGTGTCTCCTTCCGCGGGTGGTGGTGGACGACTGAACATTGAGAAGTGAAAGTCTACGGAGTCGGCACAAGAGATGAAAACGATCGCTTTCATGACAGATCCCCTTCGGGCGAATGCTCGCTTCAATATAGATGCAAGCGTAACCAGTCGCAATTTTGCGGGAACCACAGCATAAGCTTGCTTTAGTTGTGCTGGTGCCGAGAATTTCTTTTCTTCGGTTTCGTCGCCTGCAGGAAGCACCTTCAAGGTATCTTCGTCCGCAGGATCTGCTTGGATATGAACAGCGTCTGTCAAACTAATTTCTCCTAGTCGCTGAACATTCATCTTCATGGTTGCCGAACACAAAACGGTGATTCTTCGTTTCGGTAGCGCGGTCAGGTCGATTCCATTGAGAGTTTCAACCCTTAGAGAGCTTCGTCGAACTCTTTCTACAATCCCTTTGATCTCTTCTTCGAATCCAAGCTCCATAAGTCTATCACCCTCATCCAGGACAAGCCAACGTACTTGGGCAACTTTCAACACTTCGGTATTATCCAGATGGTCAGAAAGTCTACCAGGAGTAGCGATCAAAATATTCACCCCCTTTCGTAACCGAGCCTTTTCAGACTGCTTGCTTTCGCCACCTATCACAGTTGTACCAACTATCCACGGCGCGCATCTCAAAAGCCGCTCGAGCACTCCCGCAATCTGCTTACAGAGCTCTCGTGTTGGAGCAAGAATGATTGCAAAAATACCCGAGTCCCTGTGTATTTTCGCATCGCCTTTGCTCATGGCTAACAATCGCTCCACAATTGGGAGGAGATATGCTAAAGTCTTTCCTGAACCAGTTTCTGCCTGAATAAAGGCATCGCTATCGTCCTTGATCATTTGAGTGATTGCTGCTTTCTGAATTGCAGTAGGTGCTTTCATATCCATCTTAGTTGATAAGTGTGCTGCCAACCGCCTCGACAGTCCTAGATTGACAAAAGTAGCCATCTCGTCCGTGAGTGGAGCATTAGATGGCTGCGCTGGTTCTTGAGCTTCCTCTGGCGGCTCTTCAAATTTGGTCTTCGAGGATGGATTGAACGTGAACAAAGACGAGACAACCTGCCCCGGTTTTGCAGCGGCCACTTCTTTGCTCATGCCATTATTGATACTCCCGGCTGGTAGTTTCCCAGCCACGAACGGCTTCCTTTTATCATCCACATATGGCTTTCTTGTATCTCTCGTATCATCATCAAATGTTATCTTTTTGCTTGCACCACCCCCAATTGATATGCTACCTAAAGGTAGTTTACCAGCAACAAACGATCGCCGTGATTCTTCTTGGACTGGTCTATTTCGTGGAGGCGCTCTAGTCCTTGGGGTGTATTCTTCGGCTGGGGGCGCCCTACTTCTTGGGATGTACTCCTCGGCTGGAGGCGCGTGCTGGATGTCATCGTTCGCAGAGTGGTCGTCGAAGCGCTGTTTCTTCGGTGGATGCTCTGATGCATTGGGCCCGATGTATTCTTCTTTTCCGTTGTCTTGTCGGCCTTCCCTGAAAATCTCTCTCGAATGGGGTCCTCGAGCTTGCCGTTTTGCTGCTAGTCGATCTTTCCAGCGTCCTCCCTGAACAGTTGGTTTCGCAAAAATCGGTGTATCACTGATCTCCCAGTTCATAAGCATACCATCATCGGCCATGGCTGCTGAGGTCAAGAATTTGTAGCGGAGTTCTCTGACCTGATTTTTGTATTACAATGTCTCAAGCCTGTGAACGCAGAACTGCAGACTGCACAATTAATTTTTTGATATGCGCACGGACTCTGGCGGGGTTGATAAGGTGCATACGCCGATGCGCTAGTCCCAAATAATCTATTGACTTGGAAAGCTCCACACTCCAATAATGCTTCAACTCGGGCTTCGATATACGCAGCACATATCATCACAGGATGACTCCGCCGACAATCCTTTACAGCTATGGGCCCTGAGCGGGTAATGATAGTTTGGAAACCGTTGCAGAAATATCAAGCCAGGCGTCCATAGAATTGGAGCTCGATAACAGACAATGTCTTTCCGCTCTCTTTCCGCTCTGCCTCCTGTCTTCTCATCACTTGTTCGTACAACAAGCATTGTGTCGCGAATACCACCCCTCACTTCTCGCTTTTTACACAGTCGAAAAAGAGCACCTGTGATACCTCACACATCGATTCAAATCTTTCGTGAAGTTCCTGAATTCAGAATATGGCGTCGGAAGCAGCTCCTCGATCACCGAACCATCGGTCTGGTCCCTACCATGGGTGCCCTACACGAAGGACATCTCTCCCTAATTCGAATGGCGGCTGCCGAGAATCACAATGTCGTGGTTAGCGTTTATGTTAATCCTACACAATTCGGCGTCCACGAGGACTTGGATAGCTATCCTAAAACATGGGAAAAGGATTGTGAAATGTTAAAGCGCCTTGACAAGGAAATCGCTGGAGACGGAGGGAACTTAGGGAAAGTTGCTGCGGTTTTTGCTCCGACAACAGATGTCATGTATCCAAGTGGTCCGCCGAGTCAGGAAGTCAATGGCAAAGGAAGTTTTGTGACCATAACTCCAGCAGGGGAATTACTTGAGGGCGCAAGCCGGCCTACCTTTTTCCGAGGCGTGGCTACCGTTTGTATGAAGTTGTTCAACATCGTTACACCAGAAAAGGTGTACTTTGGGCAGAAAGACGTACAGCAAACCGTTGTCATTCGGAAAATGGTCAAGGACTTTTGTTTGGGCACAGATGTCGTCGTAGGAGCCACTCAGCGAGAGGCAGATGGTCTGGCGCTGAGCTCAAGAAACGTGTATTTGGGTACAAGACGGCGGAAAATAGCAACAGTATTGTCAAAGGCTTTAAGAGTTGCGGAAGCGGCCTACGGTCGAGGCTGCCGATCCAGAGACGAAATTCTAGGGCCCGCCAACGAGTTAACAAAGCTTTTACTAAGAGAGCAATACCAGCTAGAGCCTCATGAGAGGGTCAAGTTTGAAGTTGACTACCTATCTCTAGCAGACTTGGACACCATGGAGGAATTGGACGAAGTTGACAGCACTCGTGGCGCCATTTTGAGCGGTGCAGTGAAGATGCTTCCCGTCGAATCTCCGCAGCCTGGAGAGGATCTTGGCCTTTCTGATGGTCCAGCTGTACGCCTGATAGACAATATCATCTTGAAGTCGAAACAAATGGCTTCGAGTATCTGACGATTTAACAACTTCGAATATGAAACGGATTGCTAGACCATTGGGCGATGGTGAAGATTGAAAGAATTACCAATGCTAAAAGGTATAAGGAACCGAGAGAATATGTATGGAAAAACTAGAGTAGTCATAGCGACATTCCTTCCATTACGACGAAGATGCCTTGTTCGTCGGTCGCTTTTGGAAATTAAAGGCTATACATCTGAAATAGAAACTGTTGTGGTCATTGAATTGGATACTATTCAATTACTTAGATAGCTTTAGAATTGAAAATATTCACAACTATTTCGCTCTTGACGGACCGAACTAAATTCGACATCTCGTCATGTGACCAGTTTCAACTCATAGCTATTCTTGGGGTCGCGTGACGACTAATTTCTATACCTCAACAACATAAACGTTCTTTCTCTAATACATCAAGAGAGAAGTAACATAATCTTGGAACTTTTCGACGAGTTTTATTGTCAAGTTTATCGAATGTACCTACGATTCGTGTCGACTCCCGTCCATCTAGGAAATGAACTGAAAAGAAAAAGTTTTATCCGGTCGCATCCACCGCGTCAACTTGGATTTCAATAGTGGCATTGATGTACGATTGGCGAAACGATTCGTCTCTGGGATGGAGGGCGGATTACTGACATCCAAAGATGTAAGTTATTATCTTGGGATTTGGTGTTGTACGATTTCTTGTGTAGTTGAACTTACTTTCCTTAGGTACCGCAACACACCCCTCGGCCACATGCTAGCAAGGTGAGAATGCCCCGCCTGCCGTTTCATAGACATTTCACACTACAGAGATACCTCGAATCTCTTCTACTTGGTTGTATATTTATTACTGCAAATTTGGAATATACACATGTTTACAACGGCTTACTTTCTGGTTACTCGTAGGCCTGTAACGAATGCAAACAACAAAAAGTAAGTTTGATCAATGAGAGAGCTCAGATATTCACAGATATTGAGCAAGCTTCACATCAGCAACTATTGACAACCATTTCTAGTTAAGATGTAATGCAAAGCTAGACCCGAAGGGCTGTGCGAGATGCCAAAGGCTAGGGCTTCAGTGCGCTGTTGAAAATGGCTTTAAGAGAATAAACAAGCGCCAGTAAGTCTCAATAATCACAGTCCTCCAAGCTCACCTAACGGGGTTTCAGAAAATCGGCCATTTTAGCACGAGAGAATCAGCTGCTTAGGGAACAGCTAAACTCTGTCTATTCTCACAGTGATCGGAGGCCCTCTACTTCTCCTAGCGATGCAATGGCTTCCCGCTCTCCCATCAGTGCCTTCAGTGGCCGCGAGGGACATGAGAGAGAACCCAGAGTCCAGTTACCATATCCAGAAATCAATCGTGAGCCAGTCCCGCCGGCGCCTGCACCACTTGATATTGGAACCACCCTTCCTCGAAGCTTAGACGACATTATGCTTGCCCAGACAGAAATAGATGAAATATTTGCGTTGTGAGTATGGCTTAGGGTATTCTGGTTCAATCTGTTGTACTAACGTGACTAATAGGTACTTTCAACATTATGCAAGACATCTTCCGTTCCTTGATTTCGCTCGTTCAGAGTCTCCAAACTCATTTTATGATCAATCACCACTGCTCTTTTGGGCAATAATAACTGCTGGGGCGCGTCGTTATCAGCGAAACCCCTCACTTCTAGGTTCTCTCGCTACCCCGTTGCTGAAACTAGGTTGGTCCTCTATGCAAATTTCCGCAGCTGTGATCCCGAATATCCAAGGCCTTCTTATACTCTCAACATGGCCATTCCCGACCAACACAACAAGTAAAGATAACACCTTTACTCTCAGCGGTATGGCTGTCAACCTCGCTTTGCAAATTGGTCTACATGTTCCGTTGCAAGGACAAGAGTACTCAAGAACTAGGGTGGACTTGAGCAGTGAAGGTCTTGCAAGAAGAGTTCAACTGTGGTCTTATTGTGTAGTTGTCCATCAAAAGTCAGATTTACACCCATTCCCTCAGCTTATCACCTAACATATGTCTAGAGCAGCATGTGGCTTAGGTTACCCCATAACTCTTCCGCTGGATCTTTTCCAAAAGAAGATCGATGTGTCAGGCTTGACCAATCTTGCGCCTCGCTCTTTAACCCTTGAGGTTCGTTTGGCGTCAATAGTCGGTCGAATCAACAGCGTTTTCTCGGAATTCAACTTTGATAATCTAGGTCAACAAGCACAGGTCGCTCCTACCATGATGCTAGACGTTTTCGAAGCTCAACTGAGTGAGATTGAATCAGACAATACGGACCTGACAGGTAAAAGCATTCAATTCTTTAACTTTTAAATCTAACACAATCGGTAGACTTGGAATGCCTCTACCTCCAAATCGCACGATTACAACTCAGAATCTACTACCTCCGCTGCCCCGAAAACGAAACCTTCCCCCTCAATCTTGCCAAACTTTACACCACCGCTACAGGCATCATAAACCTAGTCTCTACAATAGACACCCGCACCTCCAACTTCGCAACATATGTTCCCCATCATGTCTATCGCATGATGACATTGGCCGCCGCTGCCGTCTTGCGCGTTCTGAAAACCACATTATCCGAAAAACTCCAAGAACGCGAGAGCGGTAAAGCAGCATTTTTCACAGCAATAGCCCTGTTGCGAAAGATGAGTGTGTACAATAACGACATGCCAAGTCGAATGCAGGGCATCTTCTCGCAGTTATGGGAAAGCGAGCGAGCCTTTAAACCAGATGAGGGAAGCCGAGGTAGTACAGCGCTAAGAATTCAAAGCCGATTAAGTATGAGTCTATTACACGACACGATGTGGTGGTGGAGAGAAGAATTTGGCGGCGTCCAGGAAACTAAACCTAAACCTACTAAAGGTCTGTTTGTCCCTCTTTCTCGTACAGCACAGCTAACCAAAATCGTTTAGACTCCCTAAACCCACCAACTCCGTCTAAACCACCTCCAACTTCAAACCAACAGAACATACCCATCACCCCTCTCCCCCTCCTCGAAGGCACAGCTCTACCCGGACCCGCGGATATTAATCTAGATCCGAATGTTCCACTCGATAATATATTCCTGAATGATGAATCGCTGGATTTCCTGTGGGCACAGCCGGATCATGGGTTCGAGAGTATGGTGGAGCTGTTTCCGGATTCATGGCCTTTGTAGATTGTGAGGGTGAGAGAAAGAGACTGGGGGCGTAGAATGCAGGTACGTAGTCTATAGGATATGGTTATGGTCTATGAACTATGAAGTATAGGACATTGAGATGCTTAAACGGATATCAAGTTAAGTGGTGGAGCACTATAAAGATGATGATTGCAGCGCGTAAATAAGAGATAGAACTGATTTGGATATGAGTACACATCACGTCCCACACTTTCATAGATATGAACGTTCGATTTAGACGTCTATCCCTTCTAACAACTAATCTGGCCATATCAACTTTTTTTTCTGTCTATGACTGTCCTCTTACACGGAGCTTCCTTATTCTGTATAACTCAAATGAATCAACATCGCGTATGCTTACAGGGTTGATAATCAGTATGCTTATGGAGGTGATCTCTGGTAGATGGCGTAAGAAATCACGGGTGAAAATAGAGTAGATTATCTGATTGATGGTATGCCTCTACTTTCGCGTGCACGATTTTGTGACTTAGATCTCAACACGACTTGTACTGTTAAATGTGGTGGTATAGCTAGAAAAGCATTCAAGAGCACGTACCATGCTTACCTCGCATCATATTACACAACCTGAGATTCTAGATTTTTATAATATTTTTTTTCATTTTCATTTTACTTGATCAAACACATCGCCTCCCCACACCAACTACCATCCACAAAGACTAAAACCTCTGTATCCCCCCTCTTGGCCGCAAACTTTCCAGGGTATCTATCTACAAAACAAAAATTCCAAACATACAGACAGACTAAAGCAACGCTTGAAGTCAACTTTGATATCATGATATCCCATCCTATTCCATCCTCCAGAGTCCCATGATTTTCTTTCTCGCAGTTCTTGAAATGACGCCTTGCAGTACATAGGAGATATTAAAAGCGAATTTTCCAAATTAGATTAATTCCACGGAACGATGGCCTGTTGTATTATGTGCTTATCCATCTCCACGGGTATTATCGAAGGTTGAGCTTGCGATTAGACTAATAGTAAATCTTCTCTGCCCAAAGGGGTGGTCTACCCTCGGTATCCCAAACCATCTTGTTGTTCTCGTCCATGGTGCATCCGTCATCTGTGATTGGGATGACGCGGCTGGTATGAGCCATTTCTTGCGCGCTGATGCCAGCTTCGTCTCTTGGAATCCAGAGGAGTGGTGTGTCGCTGGTGACGGAAGGTGGGTAGTATGCGTTCGTGGCTGTGGCTTCTTCGTATAATTGATCGACATCGACAAGATTGTGGGGGACGAGTTGGCGGAGAGTGGCGTAATCGGAGTAGATGTGGGGAGCGAAGAATTTGGAGATGAAGTTTGGCTTCTTGGTTGGGGCGGAACTAGATGATACCTCTCCAGTCTTCTCGTTGAGGGTGCTGTCGTGTGAGTCTCCACGGACACCGTTCTCGATACCGTCGCGAAGCGATTCTTCTTCGGCTTCTAGGGACTTGGGAAGGTTGTAAAGGAGAGGGTCGAGAGCGGAGTTGAGAGACAAGTGGTAGAGTATTGTAAAAATCAAGAGGCCAACCATGCAGATCAATGGACCAGGTGTTGCTGCCAGTCCCATAAGACCAATCAAGCAGATTTCGGCAATATAAACACCTGTAAGAAGTTGTTGGAGCGCACGGGGGTATATAAGGCCCTTAGTATCAATCTGACTGTCGGTAACGAAGAGAATGTTGTAGCGGAATGCCATGTAAAACAGTGACATGCCGATGGTGGCGAAAAAGAGCACAAGAGGAGCTATACATGAGTAAGTAATACCAATGACTGCGATGTTGGTGAAGACTGGCAAGGTGCTTCCCCAAGAGATGGCGCTCAAGCTGATGATTTGTTAGTAAATTACACTGCATGGCTGTTCTCTCTTGAACTTACTTTGACCACTTTTGATACATCTTTCTGGGTGTACCAGCCAAGAATTTGTACAAAATCTTGAAGACAATGAAGCCGACGACTTGAGACAGAACGCCAGAGGCAACGGTCAAACCTTGAACAATAAAGTAATTAATGTAGAAGTTGGAAGCAACAGGCAATTTTTCGGCGAGAATCTGAGGAGCATCGCCAGGATTATCTGAAAGACGTTGGATGAGGGCAGGTGCGGACGAAGAGAGCGTCATAACAAGGAAGACTTGTACAACTTGGAAAACAAAATAGGCGTTTTGAGTGAAGAGTTCGACACGAGCGAGAGAGGGTTCTCCGGCGAGCTTGGCAACCACTGGACTTTGTTAGCATTGTCATTAAACAAAGCCTGGAATGCCACACTTACTTCTCATGATGATAGGAACAAGGGACATCAGTATTGCGAGTGCAACAGGTGGCAATAGACCAGTAACAACGCCCAGTATTTGAGTTGGAATCTTGTTCAACCAATGCAGCCATGAGTATTTACCCATCAAATAGTTGACGTTTGATATGAGACCGACAAAGGTAACAGGGATGGCCCAGAAGACAATCAGAGCAGTGATGAAGGCAAGAACGGCGATTCTTCGGATTACACGTTGAACCCATGGGATGCTTAACGACTTCCATACAATCTCTTTCGGGTTGATGCCAATATAACGCGGGGACACTAAAATATGTTAGCAGCGGAAAGTAGTTTCGAGAACAAATTGAACTTACTGTGAAGGGCTTGGTGATGAGACAGGGTCTGGAAAGCAGCTTGTGCATCTGACTGGTGCACAAACTCAATAAAGACACTTCCGCTAAGCGCAGTGTCGCCAGCCCTGTAGGCAGCTTGAGCAGCTTCTGTCTCGGGAATCAAAGTTGCTAAGCGCTCACGACACCAATCAATCGAATCGACCTTCTTTCCAATCAGGCCAAATTTCCCCAGTTTGAGGCTAGGTCTCTTTCCGATCGGAACCCAACGTGCAGCAAGCGATCCAGACTCAGCGTCTGCGCCCATGGGCTCCTCGTCAAGAGCGGCTCCATTCTTGATGGACTTCAATCGCTCTCCGTTTGCGAGCTTGATCAGTTTAACCTCAGCGGCCTCGAGCTTATAAGCGACTTTGTCACGTTCCTCCACCAAATCATCGACGATTTTGGTATCGCGACCAATCCAGACTCTGCGGACGGCACTGCCAAAGACTCTACGAAGTTTTGCCTCGTGAAGATATGACTTTGGTACCGCTGTAAACAGCACCGTTCTGGCCGAAATTCGGTTGGCATATACTGGCGAAAGGAGGAAGGCTTGGCGAAGATTGATGTAGAAAATGCTCTCCCTGGTGACGAGAAAAAGAACAAAGCCAAAAAAGATGTATGCAGCGCCCACCGGAGCGAAGTACCTATATTTTCCACCTTTCTTGTCCTTGTTGATGTTACCCATTGATAGCATGTCCAATTGCTCCCCACCAGCTCCCCCCGTGATGAAGATTGGAAAGCATATGGCGCCGCACACGATTGCACCGAAGAACATAATGACCACCGTCATGCGCAAAAACCGCAGGAAGAGGTAGGCATCGAGAGACTGGTGTTGTAGTGCATAAGTATCCGGTATCTTCCAAAACGGGCCAATCCAGTTGAAGAAGCCATTCGGTAAAGGGGTTGTTCGCTCCCTGGTTGACCCGTTAGTGGTGTGTTAGTGCAACACAGGATCATGATATAACATACTCTTCTCGCATGCCACCAAGATATGTTCTTGGAGCATACCATCTGCGCTGCGATCGTCGCAGGATCAGGAAGATGAGGATATAGACGGCGGCCACAAGGGCAGTCGGGGCCAAGGTGGCTATCAAGCCTGACAAGGAGACATTCTTCTCGTTCGTGTCGACGGAATCAGACATGATTGCGCAGTAATGCCTTCGCAATTGGCGATGAGGTTGAAGTTGATTTCGTCCCTCGATTTTGACCTTCGAGGTCGTGAGGAATGAAATGAAAGATCTCGAATGAACAACGACAGCAGTCGAGACGGGGAGGGAACAGCAAGTGTAAGTATTGTTGTCGCGCTGGGACGCACGGACGATCTCAGAAGACCCCAGGGGTCCTTTTCGCCTTTTTTTCGCGAATGGCAGGCTGGACAGGTTCTGGGCTGCAAAGCAGGAATATTCCCAAATTGATCGACCAGGTTACCCTTGGCTCTGACGTAGAGCCAACCCTGCGCAGTGAACACAGCAGAAATGGGCAGACGAAAATGAGGGGATTCGAGTGGTAAGTGAGTGGTATGATTCTGATTGAGGATTGATCGAGGAGGGACGAGAGGTGACAACAAAAACTACAGACAAACACGCCTTCCAAAATTAGATGGCAGACAAAGAGCAGCAATGGTGATGACGATGATGGTTTTGCCGCGCGAAATGGGGATGGGGATGAGGATTCTCGTTGATGTTTCACCGGTTCATGGACTATTTACTTTCGTCCAGAAGCGATTGGGAGAGCTGCCATATATATTTTCCCATGTCTCAACCAACATCAGCATCCGATCTGAGAGCACAGCAATCTTCACCACCACACTATCGAAACATACACGGCAAGGCCCGCGTGTGGATGGCTCCAATTTGACAAATCGGCACACGACAACACGGCAAACATTGGCTTCACCGCGGTGTTGCGGTTGGAGGATGCGCTTTTGGCGAGTGGCTCTGCGCTGCCAGCAACAACTGAGGAGAAACCGAATGCGCATGCTTGCATATTGATCGCTCCTCGAAATCGTCAGGTGTCGCTGTCTGGGAGGGGAGGAAACGCAAAGTGTACATGTGAAACCTACAACATTGAGGAAGCAACAACACCAACCAGCTGAAGGAATTGAGACAAGTCCAGCAGAAACGATACTTCCATTCCATGCTGCTTGTCGCTAGACGGTCTAGACCTCAAATTATGAGGAATACCGACTGCTCGACCAAACATTCAAGCTCAAAGATGCAGGAAGCTCCAGACAAAACGACGCGCGACATGGTTCCCGGGAACATTAAAGATGGCGGCGCAGAAATGCAGATACGCGATCAAAGTCCCTTTGCGCCCAGCCAGACCTTCATATGTTGCCAGCCCCTTGTTCAGCTGAGGACAATTTGATGGAACCGGCTGAAGCCAATCAACACCAAGCAAATGATCAGGGCGCAGTGCAGCATATTTCCACCCCGGCACGGGGAGACCCCTCCGAGAAGGACAAAAATATCAAAAACTGTGATTGCACATGCCAAATAACCAAGAGCCGCACTCTCTCTTCACATCAATCCCTTGACCAGCTGTCAAGAACTACTTGATGTGCAGAACGGTCGTCAAACGATGTGGATGAAGAGTTCGTCTCATTTCGACGCTATGAAAAAAGCGCTGACCTTATGGATCCTCCCGCCGAACTATTCAGCACCGGCGTTCTTTTTAGGGCAACACTAAGCGTTTGTGTCAACGACAACTCTCATTTACAGATCGTATCGAAGTCGTTTGTTTCTTTTGCACGTTGAGATTACGGAAGCACAAGTATCAGATATCCCCATGACATGGTTTAGGGAAAGACGGTTGGTTGCAGTTAAGCGCTGCAGTTTTCCGGTTGGTACCAACCAACCACTCTCTGAGTCTCTGCTCGATTAACCGCGAGACATATTCAGATCCGACGGACTGATGTATGAATGCCACTGTTGCTATTTCTAACACCTAAGCGCTTGTCATGGTCTTGTTTGCGGTTACCAAAACGACTGTCAGTAAATACTGATGCATTCGTCATAAAGTCTTAAGAAATTCTGACTCGACACATTCTCAAAGACCCTTAAGACGTTTGATCTAGTAAAGATATAAGATGTTTCGGCGGGATGATCCACTGTACAGACTAACTCAACAGTCACTGTCCTATCCCGTGAGCGTACTGTAAGGTATAAGACTCTCTTCGCTGATGCGACAAACTTGTTATAGAGTTCGACTACCGCCTTCACCTTGACCCAAGATTTCATATGTTTGCTCTCTACCAATGGCAAGATCATCATTCTTTACTTTTCAGCTGATATCAGGCCTCAACTGAACTCTAAAGCTACCTTTTATTACGCACCTGTCATCCATCTCAACTCTCTTTCTCGCTTTTTGCCTCTTCATCACAATTTGTTTCCGCGGAGACTCGAGTTCATGCATCCAAGCAACGTTAATTATCACACTTTTTCCTCTGCTTTTTCTAAAGTCTCAGAGGTACCATAGAGTTTCTACGTTCGAGATGATTGCCCATTATCAGCACCTTTACATGCTCGTCTATCAAATCAATCGCGTGAGAGGGCCGGTTCAAGGATTGACATTTTATACTATCGAGCCTTTGAAAATCAAATCTGTAAATTGAGGAGATGAGCAAGAAAAATTCATTATTCAGTTGTCATCCCACGCAGATGAGTAACTTGTATTATAGATTCTAAATTGAGGGTTCAAGTGGCAGGAGCCTTTACAAGAAGGAGCAAAGGTGATTGAATGGAGTGCTTGCAAGTGCTAATCCAAGATGATTTAGAAGCTGGAGTAAGTGATCGAGTTGAATGGCACAAAATTCAAGCACAGCTAAGTTTATTTCGACGGCTCCTTTTTATACCAAGTCACTATTTCTGGCATCAACGCTGCTTAAATCAAAACTCCGATCATCTCTCCTTTCTCCTACACCGTTCCGGAAGATCTTTACCACCATGCAGCAACCAAGTACTCTATATATCTCACACGCAATCCTCATAACTGTCATCTCCTACTTAAATCCAACACAACGCAGTGTGAACATGTACCGAGAAGTTAGCAACTCAATGTTGCCTCACATCACGAGATATACAAGTGGCAATCGATACCATAATGCCCTTGCAAGATACGTACTCCCATCCTAATCTCAAGACTGAATCTTGATCATAAACCCAAACTTCTCTCAAAAATTTATCTTATATCCTAAATCGACTTTGTATCGAAATCTCGGTTGTCGTATATCGGTATATTCGATGGGACAAGGACACTTGTAATGTTAAATTTCTAGTGTATAAAGGACTACTCAACCTACTTAAGACTAATCATAATTGGTCTGAGTAGAGTGGGGTAGACTATGAGTGGTCAATAATTATCTTGAGTGGAGTGTGAGTAGTACTCCCTACTCTACTCTACTCTACTCATTTAATACACTATATATCTCAAAGACAGCTACCATATAAATCTCTCCTCTCACGATCTATTTCAACCCCCTCATCCTCCATCCACGGAATTCCGCAATCCAACCCTCCATTCTCAACCCTCAACATAGTTCTCAACATCATTTTTTCATCTCCCACATCTTCTTCAACAGCACAACACCCTCCATCCTCATCCAACTCATATCAAAGCTTGAAGTCCAAACGACTTTTCACAACACGACGATTCCCCCTCATCTTTTCACCGACAGGTAAAAGGAAGTACCATAACAAATCCACCCACCCCTTCAACCTCCCGTCCCATCAAATAGCCACCCATCAAAACGACCTCAAAACAAAATACACACAGACTAACCCGCACCGACGAACGGACAGACCCCCGGAATTCGGGTAGGAGATATAGTAGCGCGGAACCAAATCATCTACAGCAGATGTCAAAAAATATCTTTAGATGTAAGGTAGTACCAAGTAGTTATTTAACCTATTTTGTGTCTAGTCATCTATAATATCTAGTCTTGTAGTTGGATTGCACGTATTACTACCCTAGTACCAACGTTGTCTGGACTATCTCACATCTCCTCCGTCTTCTGCATCCACATATCGATCGATCCTATATACGAATCCTAGGACTAACACTCACGCAACTGCAGCTATCCCATATTGCTATTGCAAAGAACCACAGTGGACCACAATACACGCCTTAGAAGAGAACTGCTTGCACCCCGAGCCAACCATATCCATTACTCAATGTCTCTCCAAGTACAATATGAAACCTCGATATATATATCAAATTATTAACATTCCAAGCATAGAAGACTTTCTGTCCGAGGGAACACGAATGTTAGATCAGTTCCATTTAACAAAATGAGCTTATGGGAGTGGTAAGTCTCTAAATATGTTTTTTCATGGAAGTGATTACAACGACCTCCCAATATATACACTGCAAACGCCCATTTCGAACTTCATCTACCTATCTACATTCCACCACTCTCATCCTTCGAAACGCTCCATACCACTCCTCCCAAAACCCAGAAAACGCCCAGAACATAATGCAATCCGGGTCCGTAGACACGTCGGATCCCCCGTAAACCCACAAAATGCCTTCCCAGCCTAAACATGTACAAAAAGAAACGCCCAATCCATGCACGCTAAAGACAATACCAGTCCCATCATGCAATCCCAATTCCTTATGCCATGGTTTATGATACATTTCCACCCTCTCGAAACGTCACGGTCCTAAAATTCGGAGACAGTCCACCAGAAGCAGTTGTGCCAGACGAACCAGATGTGGTTTTCTCAACCGATCCCGCGACCTCTTCACTCGATGTCTCGGACCCTTGACACGGTGAACCTTCAATCGGATTCGACTCTTCGATGACCGGACTCATTCCGCCCATATCTACAGATCCATCAAGTCCTGGTCGATCCCACCAATGACTTCCACCTCTTTGAGATATCGAAGGATGAGCGGTTGCTTCTGGTCGCTGGATAACGGTCGCTCCACCCCTCCTTTCCGCTAACTCTTCGTCTCTCCTGTGATACGCATCTCGTGCCTCGCGGCTCATTTCCTGTCTCGTCTTGCCCGGTCCATGCGAGTTTGTTCGGCCGTCCGAAGGCTTCCATTCTGAGGCTAAACCAAAACTTCCCCAAAAAGTACCGTCGTGACCAGGCATATGTTTCCAGGGCTTCTCCCGGGTAGAAAATAGCCAGCAATCGATCGCGGCCTGGGAGCATACAAATACGGTTGTGACACATACTAAACCAAAAGGCGGGTCTGTAGCGAATCGATCACTATATTGGAGGACATGAGATATGAAAGGTACCACCCACATCCCCATGTATACCAGCGGGTAGATGAATAAAAATCGAAGCTGGCGTCGAATTTTGTTTCGGGTGCGGTCCATTTCGACATCTGCCAGATTTTGTCCCCGAGAATTGACAAGCTGAAGTTGCGATATCGGGGTAGGAACATCACTGACACCATCCGGTCCACGACGAAGCGCACTCATCATACCAACAACGGACGGTTGGCCGCTAACATCTGGAGAAAACCGACGAGCGAAAAATTCCTTCCAGGATGTGTGCGATCGTAAGGGGGTTTGATTTGCCGAATCTAGAGACATGTTGTCGCGTAAAGATCGAGGTATAGTATTCTCAACGCTAGATTCGGGAACGGGCGCAACCTGTGGGGAAGGAGGTTCTGTACCACTATCAGGCGTTGTCGATGGTGCTGATCCATCCACCGGTGTACTCTTCGCTACAAAGCTCTGCCACATGAACCGATGAGAAGCGCTTCCCCTTCTTAATCCGGTATCCGAAAATGTGTAAGAGTCCATCGTGGTATTCAAATCTCTCGTCGGCGCTTCATTCATTGACACCTGCCTAGAAACAGGTATCAAACCATGACAGGCGAGTGTTGGAGTTGGAGGTAAAGTGTGTCTCTTCACCGGTTTTCTCCCTGCCTCAGCAGAATCCACAGAATCGGGATTGTTCGCGTCTGGACGTTCGCTTGAGTTTGTGAAACCATGGAATTTGTATCGCACGTAGAAATATATCGATGCATATATGAAAAGGATGACGATGAAAATAATGTATCGGGGTATCCAGCTGAGCGCTAATCTGTACCAAAAAGGGCGAACGGGAAGATAACAGTACGTTCCCTCTACTACATACGAATCATGGTCGTTGATAAAGGCTAGACTTGCCATCAGCAGTGGGAAGAAGAGCCAGCAGAAATATGCGATGTATCTGTAGGGGTAAAGACCGCCCTCGCCGCCCTTGGCTTTGGGTTTGAATATGTAGAGGGCTGTGTGGATGGCGATTTGGAGGATGGCAAAATCTGTGTCACCGTAAGAAAATGTTTACATATAGTTCATCGCTTCTACCCACCTGACGCTTCGATTCCAACCGAAAGGAAGAACCCATTGACCTGGCAGAAGCGCGAATCACTCATGACCGGCCCTTGGGAAAATACCACAATTGGATATATCATAAACCAAAGCGCTTTGAACATATCACTCTGTATTAGTAGCATGATGAGGCTATTCAAAAGTTAGTATGGTTGATGCGCACAGCTGCGCGAGGTGCATGGACGTACTCATGACGAAAGGTTCTGCGCATTTTGACAAACCAGTAGAATGCAATGACCGACGACGCAACGCTGATTGCTGAAAAAGTCAAGGCAAGAACCTGCAGTGTATTTCGTTGCTCGGAAGTAGGTGTGGATGCATTGCCGCTGGTGTTTCTACCGAGATCGCGTATTTCCATCTCCATTCGAGGATATACATGATCGAGGAAGGACGGAGAGTGAGGAGCCATGTTGGGAAAGGAGCCCGACCAGCACGGCCGAATGTCGTTTCCAACCGGGCACGTATCGAGTTTGTGGTTTATTCTAGGTGTTTGCGTCGCACCTTCCCATCTTCACTATTTTCTTGACATCGGCCATCGACGACAACTTAGAAAATCAAAATGTTGATTTGCGATTGTTGGGCGTGGATTGCAAGAAACGGGAGTTTTTTTAGATGCACAGTCGACCGCTTGAAATGCCCGTTTTCCCCGGATTCTCACTTCCTTCAAAATGTTATAACGCAAGAGTGTGCGTTGTTGTCGGCGTTAATCGCGGATGGGTTGCGGCGGTGTAGTGACGGAAAATCTTGTACTTCGTCAGGTGGGTGAAACAACGAGAGACATGCGCTGGCAATCGCTGGTCTACGATTGGGATGGGCGCAGCAAACCGCGCAAAGCGAAGAGTATGAACAATGTTGAAGGATAAAAAAGAAAGACGGGGGAGGAGGAGGAAGAAGAAGAAGGAAGGGAGCAAAGATGACGGGCGGACGGTTGTTGGTTCCTTACGTTGACGACTCCCCGACTACCACTTTACCAGTCCACTACGACAGCAATGTCGCATGCCCCAGGTGCTCCGTATCGGCAGCGGCAGTAGGAGGTATTGAGTGGGTGCCGATCAGTCGAAAATTTCGGCCACACCAGGAACACGAGACGAGCAGCCAGAGAAACGCCGTTGATGACGGCAGACAAGACTCTTCATATGGAGCAACACCTGCAAGAACAAGCTCTCCCTCCTCTCTTAATTCTCCACGGAGAGAAAACATGGATGGTGCGAGGAGTGTTGGACTGGCGGGTCTTTACCAACCTCGCTAACGCTGGAAGTGCCAGTCCGCCATGAGGGTGACAAGTGGCTTGTCTCTGTCATGAAATCCAACGATAGGACTCGATGGCTTGCCGCCAGCGTGATGTAGTCCATTCAACAACTTTTGTTTGTGCACAGAAGGAGCACGACTGTGCCTTTAAATGGCATGATCTTGCGCTGGTCGACGAGAGCTTACCACACCAATGTACCGTTGGTACGTTCCTAGGTGAGTAGCAGGTGGAGAAGTTTGTTTCCATGAGGAAGCAAGCGACACACCCACACTATCATGATTCATGTAGTGTTGTAGGTACGGGGTACTTCCTCAACTGATTTTTCTGTCACTTACGGGCCGCAAGCTACGTCTACGTCTCCGGTAGGGGGCACCTCGCTTAGCCATCGTCCGCTGGGGGTAAAATCCCGGCAGTGCGGGTGTCGCTGGTCGCTGGACGCTCGTCGCTCAGAGCCGTCAGAAGAGCAACGATCACTTCGCAAGAAGGTCACCATTTGGGGCAGCCGAGCAGCCTGTAATGTAATGGGTGACAGCTTGCATTCTGCTCTGCTTTGCGTACCAGCAAGACCTCATGCTCAAGGTCACTCGCTCTGCTGATTCCGCCCACTGCACAACGGGTGATGGAAACACAGCTGACTGTTTGCAACATATTCAACCCGCCGGGACTGGTTCATGATGCATGAGGCACATCGGGGAGAAAAAGCCAACAAGATCAAAATGAGCTCCGTGCTTCCCCATCTTTCGATCCCTGGTACGTGCCAGGGAGCCGTCAAGTTGGCACGGTTCACGTTCTGATCACAGTCGGTGTCTTTTGTACCTATACTTTTGATGCCGCCACGACCATCTTGATGATTATTGTCCCAGACTCCTGGGATCGAGAACAGCCCTACACATATCCTATTTCTCTTGAAGAAGAATTCATCAAATGATAACTTCCTCACATGCAAAACATCCCCCAATAGGAAACCATCACGCCGCTTACTCGGCCAGTCCGGTTCAATAAATCTCCTGGCGGTACTGTGCTTCCACATCTCCAGCGACAGGATACTTCATGCGAGCATCCGCCCAACGGACAAGAGGCATTACAGACACATGTACTGACCGACAATTCGCTCCCCAAAATCAAGGCGTAAAAATGGTGATGCGGTTCCCCCGCGCGAACCCCCAAACTTCGGTAGGCACCGAGATCGGGCTGGAAAATATATCTCATTCGAGGGACGGGTGACATTCTGGTGTTTTTGTTTTTGCGATGCAATGCAATGGGATGGATGTGATGAAAAGAAAATGGTCTGTAATGCCGGATTTTTTGCGCTCATGTCTGAGAAGGGTGGTCGATATCTCACGTATTAAGGTATGACTATACTATTTTACACAATACCTGCTCCCTCATATATTCCGAGTCGCTTTGCACTCATCATATCAGATATGTCCTGTTACTCGTAGGTCCACCCACAGTAAACCTCCTCGCAACCCCTCCCTTGACGAGGCACCTTGATAGTGCAATAATGAGAACATGACTTTCTGGCACTCCTTATCTGACAGGTATATTTGGCCTTTGCAATAGCGGTAATAGTGTATCTTTACTTGAAAGGTAAGAGCGAATATAGCTCTTGATGTAAAACAGCGTTATCCTATCGATTTGAGGTATTCTATCAGAATTGCAACACACTGGTGAGATACTTGTCAGATATTACCGGGTTTTGCCCTCACTGCACAGAAATAGACTGGAAAGAGCTAGGTAATTATACAAGAAATAATCAACAGATAGGCTGCTATCTCAGAAGTTAATCGAGAAGTCGTATATTATCATTGTCGAGGTATCACATTCATCACAAGCTACAAGATCCAACTATTTCAATCATCGTGTGCCGCTAACCTCGCTGCGAACAACATAATTCGCAGGAACCCGTCGACGTATTATCAAAATTTTCAACTTAGGGGTCAGGAAGTTTTAAATAGAGTGGTTGTCGGGAAATAGTAGACGAAACATGCGATATATCCTCAATTGTTCGACTGCCACACCCTCCCCTCCTTGTTCTCGCACTCTCCTCCCTCAAATTCTTCCTTCATATCCAAAACGCACCACTCTTATTCAGCTGAGCTTCAGTGTCATCGACATCGCATTTAAACAGATATTAGGGTTTACCCGTAGGGACTGGCATTTGATATTGAGACGGGCAAAATGCCACCGGTGGTGTTATCAACTTTTTACTGGTTCGGGAACGTGAAATATTTGAGCCGCTTTCCTTTTTCAGATAAGGAGCTTGATATATCAAGAATAATTTATAGTTCACGTATAAGGTTCCTTGGAATATCTTCTGAATTGGACCGCGGTCAGACTTGTTACTTGAAATACTTACTTTGGATAACTGAGATCTGACATATGACATACCACCACAAATAGACCATAACCACATATATAAAATATGTACGTACCCTTCAAATCCATCACCTCTCAACTGTGTCGAATAAAGTCGAGAAAAGATATTCCTCCTTGTCTCAATATCCCCATGTCTAGAATGTGTGAAACTGGCGTAAATGGCGGATTACACGATATCTGCTTTTTATGACAACATCTTGAGCGATGAAACGTTGTTTTACTTTAGCGGTCTAGACCTCTGGTGCCGTATTTTCGTGTTTTTAGGGTATTTGGAATTGTGAATGTGCGCACGCTGGATTGAGAAAGTTGAGGTTACGGCTTGTGACTTTAGTTGAATATCAATTGAAGCAGCAATGTTGAGCAACTCGCTAAAGAGCATCACCAAAACTCAGATGAGTGGCCTTGAGTCGTTGTCTAGTTTTCAGAATTCAGATTCACATTTTTGGCCTAGGTCTTGCTTTCGCTCCTGCGAGATGCACAAGACTTGAGATCATGATGTGGAATTTTGAAATAGATGAGGTTATCGTTTGCGACTCTACTTGAATCTGGAATTGTGTAGGCTTGATACACTTAATACTGCTGAAGATCTCTTATCAAACGTATTCTAAAAAGCCAGATAAGTGGTCTTGTGGTGTTTTTCAGGTCCTGAAAGTCGTGGCTCAGAGGTATCAAGAGTCGGGTCTCTCACGAATATTTATTAGTCCGTCGAATTAACTGGAAAGTTGAAGTCCTCTGCTGGTATATAACTCTGGTAAGCCATATATGAAACATATACAAAAGTTCAAATTAACATCTCGGATATGGAGTATCGTTATAAGATGCTGAATTTCAAGTTCGTTTGATTTGTAACATTTTCATGAACTTTATATTCTAATCATGGTATCACCGCTAGTAAAGCAACGCATCATTTCATTGCTTCTCGCAAAAGAGGAGCAACCTGCTTCCTACTATTCTCCGTCCTCTCCTGCACCCAGCAGCGTCTCCATCTCACATCATCCTCACCGTCGCCATCCCACTTCCCCCCCTCATATGCCTTCAACCCCAACTTCTCCCCCGCCTCCTCCTCAAACCTCCTCCCCGCCTTCTCACCCCCCTCACTCAACGCCCACAAAAACAATTCCCTCTTAAAAACCCCCTCCTCATCACTAAACGTAGTCATAACCCCCATTAAACCCACCCCCTTCTTGCCACCTCCCAGATCCCTCTCCTCCGCCCACTTCTTCACTCCTCCCAAAAACTCCTCATCACCTCCCACCTTCTCAACCAAATACCCCAACGGCTTAACCACCGCCGCCAAACCCAAAACCATACCCCCCTCACTCCACTGCTTAAAATCCTTCCTCAAAACCTCCTCCAAGCTCAACCCATCCAAATCCCCCTTCCCCTCCCTAACCTCTTTCACTAGTTCCTCCCTAATCCCATGCGTCACCATCCCCTCCCAAAACTCCAC